CGCACGCGCCCTTCCATTCTTCAGCGTGGGGGGGACTTCATAGCAGCCCGCCATGTCCGCGGCTCATCGACCACTTCCTGCTCTGCCATAGCAAGCAGGGCACGGATCGGCATCCCAATGTGGCCATCCACGGGAAGGCGCTCGTCAGACGGATGGAACGAGGGATCATCCGGGCGTCCGAGATAGTCAGCAAGAGCGTCCGGATAAGGGAAAGGGAGAGGGTCTCCACGGGGACCGAGTAAGAGGTCAAGGTCGGGGATGGGATCATCGGAGCCGGAGAACGGAAGAGGATCGACACCAGCAGCGAGAACAGGCGCCAGAAGGGCAGGAGGGCAATTTTTACCCGAGCGAAGCAAATGTGGCACGGTGGGAGGCGATGGGGGAGGAGCAGGGACCACGGGCTCGTAGACATAGCCAGGATGATAGGGCAAGTCATCTGAAGAGGCATCATCATCCTCAACAACAGACCGAGCATCGGCAACACTCACAACGTCAACATCCTCATCAGCCGCAACATCCTCGCCAGCCTTATCATTCTCAGACTCCTCAGCCTTTGTAGCGTGACCGCCACATGGCATCCACCACCGCCACACTCTCGGAGCTACGGCGATACCTTCTCCTCCACTTCCGTCCATAGAAACTGATGCATGCCGGAGACCCAGGAGCTTCCTCTTCTTCTACTCTTCTAGAGGAACCTCCTGGCTATCCTTATCCTATCTCTTCTACTTCATCGGTTACTCCTCGTACAGCTCGCACACCGCTCGCTGCACTCGCCCCAGCCGACCCCAAAGAGATACAAGACGCTCCGGACTCTCCCCCAGACTTATTAAGCCATAGTCTGTGCTCTGTCTCCGGACACCGCCACAACTTGGGGGCCTAACTGGGAAAGTCTTTTCAGCGTCTTCGCCTCCCCAGCTCTATCGATTCACCAAATTTTGTCCGTTATCTTTTAAAACTTTCAAAACCCCGTCCAAGGATTAGCTACCCTCTCGACAACCAAAAATACGACTCGTTTTCTCTTTCTCTATAAAATACCCACAAAACACAAAAAATTTCTTTCTCGTTCTTCCGCGTTCTTGTCTCTTGCGCTCTAGATAGATTTCTTTACTCTACGACGCCGCTCATACTGCACCGCTTGCCAGAGCTTCGGTCCCGCAGTCTCATACACCGGTCATCTCACCTCGACTTCAAATCGCGAAGCACGGGAAGAGCTTCTGCAGGAGCTAGGCTATAGGCCTTCACACGACATACCAGGTTCCAGAGAATCTCCATCACCAGACTCCACGAGTCTCCTTACTTATCAGGCTCCACGAGTCTCCTCACTCATCAGGCTCCACGAGTCTCCTTACTTATCAGGCTCCACGAGTCTCCTCACTCATCAGACTCCACGAGTCTCCCCACTAACCAGACTCCTCGAGTCTTCCTACCGCATCTCTACTCATTGGTGTCTCCGTCATGTCTGACCAGGCCGTCCAACCCACCCGCCGAAACCTTCGCAGCCAAGGCGATGCGCCCTCGCAAGGTTCCGCCCCCGCCGACCATAGCTCATCTCCGCTAACTCCCCTTCTTCCTTCCGACCCTCATGTTCCCCTTGTCGATGGAGCTGCTCCCCACAGCCTCCAGTCCGAAGTCGGCAACAGGACGAGTCAGTCGGATCCGCCTCTTTCCGTTCACCATACCCCGCAGACTGCTCCCCAAGATCTCGTCCACGGCACCCACTCCGCCGCGCCCACGGTTGACTTCCTTATGCAACAAAACCGTTTCTTGATGTCTTCGATGGCCAACATGCGCGACGAGATACGCTCTCTTCGTCTCAGCCAGTCACGCGAGGCCACCCCAGTGTCCCCTCCTCCGCGTCACACTCATGCACCCAAGCTCAAGCACGAGATGTTCCCGAAGTTCCGCGGCCACGACGACGAAGACGTCGACACCTGGGTTACCTCTGTTACTGCCATCTTCGAGTTCTCCGGCGCTGCCGACACAGATTTGCTCCTCCTCCTGCCCGCCCTTCTCCAAGGTTCCGCGCAGTGATGGTTCACCGACCTCGAGCCCGAGCGCCGCCGGTCCTTACACACATGGTCGCAATGGTCCGCCGCCATCCGGTCTGTATACCTCGGTGCGAACCACGCCTCGCGTTTACGCACCAAGTGCATCTTCCGTCGCCTCAAATCTACGGAATTGCTAGCCGTATACTTCGATGACAAGAGGTCCCTGCAACGCCACCTCTACCCCGCTGGCACCCCGGACGTCGACCGTATCGACGACATCATCAACGGTCTCCCCGAGTCCATGCAAAAGCTGGTGCGCATCGACGCCCGGCTGTATCCCAACCTCGATGACTTCCGCCGAGCCCTCATCGACGGCGAGCCCTCGATGCGACCAGAGCTCTCCCGCCGCCGCCAGGATAACGCTCCTCCACGTAACCGACACCAGCAACGCGACGACCAGACCCCCTCTTCTACTCAGTCGCCCCCGAAGACTCCGTGTCGTTTTTGTCAGGGTCCGCACTGGAATCGAGACTGTCCCCAGCAAGCAGCTCCACCTGCCCGTCCCGCGCAGAGCATGGCCCCGCCCGCTCAGCCGCCCTCGTCTGCCCCAGCATATGGCAACTTCCGTCTGGCTTCTCGTCCTGAAAACAATGGGCCGTCCAGCTTCCGCCCTGCGTCCGCCTCCGCGAATGGCACCCCTCTTGGTAACTCGCGACCTCCGGGAGCGTTTACCGTATTCGTCAGGCCTTCTGCAGCCACGCATCAGCACCCTTCCGACGCACATGAAGCTGTTTACTCACCTCCTTCGTCCGACAACCAGACTCATCGAGTCTCCCATCCACAGGTTCCCCGAGCCTCCCCTCACCAGGCTCCACGAGTCTCCTCTCCCCTCGCGCTTCACGTGTCCACTCCGTCGACCGTCTCCGCGCCCAGCTCTCTTGTCGTCGAACCCAGCGAGACCGCTCCCGACACGGTAATCCCTGACGATGAGTCAGCCACATCCGAACTCGTCGACGAACCACTTTTCCTCGGCCCCGACATAGTCTCCACCGACGACGATCGCGACATTGACATCCAACCACGTCGTGCCGAAACCTCCGATCCTCTCGCATCCTTTCCTCGCTTGTCCATCAGCCGCGAGCCCACCGTCAGTCATGACAAGTCTCCCGCAATAGCGAAGGCCCATTTCGCTACTGATATCGAAGGCTCTCCCCTTCGTGACATCGTGATCGATTCCGGCGCGGCGATTACGTTGATGAACGAAGCCTACGCCAATGAGCACCTGCCAACGCTCACCCGCCATCGTCTCGAGAAGTTCCAACTCACCGGTCTCGGCGCCGCCGACTGCGCTTCCTTCCTCACGACCGACCTCCATTTCCCAACGGCTGAAGGTGGCGAAGCTGTCATCCCCGCAAACAACGAGGGCCGAAAACGATATACGGGGCGTCCAGGTGGTTAGGGTGGGTGTTTGTGGAGGAGAGATCGCAGGTGGTGTGGCGGAGGGCAGCGAGGGCCTCAGTTGCTGCGAACGACCAATCGGGGTGGGGGTGTTGCCAGAAGTCTGACACTAGTGCTCGTTCTTCGGGGAACAGATTGTTTTCGGTCTTGCGGTACACCGCGCGAGTGGGTGCGTTGACGTACATAAACTTATACTCCCAGCAGTGATGCGCGGAGGACCAGAAAACGTCGGCGAGCACGACGGACAGCTGGTGTACTAGGCGACCGTGATAACGGTAAAAAGCGGGGCCCAACATACTGTCCGTCGTGCTCGCCGACGTTTTTTGGTCCTCCGCGCATCACTGCTGGGAGTATAAGTTTATGTACGTCAACGCACCCACTCGCGCGGTGTACCGCAAGACCGAAAACAATCTGTTCCCCGAAGAACGAGCACTAGTGTCAGACTTCTGGCAACACCTTTGCGTGTCCAACTTGTTGCAAACTCTTGGGTCCTTGAGGTCACTCGCTCGCCTACACCTGCTCTTCCCGCCGTTATTGCGCCCACTGCTCCTCCTACTCCTGCTCTTCCCGCCGTTATTGCGCCTACTGCTCCTTCTGGTCGACGCCCCGCTGCTGTCTCACGATTGTTGTGGTGATAGTGGTCGTGGTATAGTTTCCGGCATGGAAATGGTAACAGTAAGAAGTGGAAGGACGGTATATACGGTCGATTTCCAGCTTCTCAAGGTCTCATAATCTGTTGTAAAGGTTATAAGGTTTCATGGATAAAGAAGAAGAAGAAGATATATGGAACTATGGAACACTCCAGCGCGACTCCAGCGCGAACGTCCGGCGGCCATCTCCGCAATCCTTTCTTCCAACATAACACAACATGGTTTCCGACCGATATGGCATAGTCGGGACATGTCGAGTCTAAGGCTTCCGCAAAGTGTTGCTCATTATTGTTGTGCTCGTACATAATCATTGGGGTGCGAGAGCTGGAGTGAAAGAAGGCCGTTGAAAAACGGATGAAGAATGTCGATCGGCACCGCAGCGGAAAAGAAGAAGATCAGCCACAGTCGGCGTTATGCGGGATTCGTCATTAAAATCAATACACACGTTATTCTGCGCGTCGATAGCTTCTTCTCTTTCTTTGTCACTCTTTAACTGCATCATTGGCCGTAGCAAGTGTTTGGGTTAGTGCTTAGGAATCTTCAGACTCCCACACTTTTTGACTACTACAAATCTTACACGTCGCAACACGCAGCAAGGCAACAATTAATTATCCTCTTTGTACTTGTCTGATCAACGGTACAGGACATGTCATGCCAATACTCTGCGCCTGTGTTACCTTCTTACGCCCTGCATTGTTCTGTGTAGAAGCTCCCGCCTTCGTTCTCGTATTAAGGTTGCCTACTTCTTCCTGCCTCGTCTGTATTAGATGGCGCAATCAACATCGTACCCCCTTTTATATTGTGTGAGGAGATGTCTTCAGATGCAATTTGATGGAGCGGCGTGGACGCATATTTGTCTTCCACTGGCGGCGAGACCAGAAGCTATACTTGCATCGCGATGTTGCTCCTTACAGTTATTCTCCATAAATGGGACATATAGATGATACTGAAGAAACATGATGGAGTGGCCTCCTTGACACATATCCACAAACTATAAAATCTTGAGAGTGTTGTTGGCTATCTTCCCACCACGACACCAGAACATTATCATCACTTGTATCGGTTACTTCTCCCAACATGTCCGAAACCATCTCCCAAGGGAAGACTCAAGACAACCCATCTTCCATCACGGATTCCTTCCCCGACCCTCGTGTGACCCACCCCTGGGCCAAAACAGAAGAGGATGAACTGGTCATCAAGATGCACGCTTTGTTGCAGATGGCGGATAGGCAAAAGACGGAATACTGGAGTAGAAACTTCAAAGGCACCAAGGAGGAGCTGAAAAGCCGGTCTACTTATAGAGAGCCTTATATCGATCCTGGTATCGACATTATCGACGAGGGGGCATCTACATCCATAAATGAGGAGGACCCCCAATCTGACCCAGCCGGGCACTCTCGCTTGAAGTTTGAGGGAGAACCTTTGATCCCGACACGTTGCCCCTAGTGGAGCGACCACCACAACCCTTGGCCTCGATTCCCACTGACTATATGTACTCGCTCCGTCGGCGCAAGTCGCAAACCCATGTTTCCCCGCTCAGCTCTGTCCTTTGACGTTTTCGATATGTCTTCCTCAGAAATCCCAACTGGCACGAGCCCTAATGGGAATGAAAAATGGCTGCTTAAAGTCAAGGACAATGTCATCATACCAGGTACGCTGAGGAGCGTGTTCGATGCCAAGGAAGCGTCGTACTTTGAGGGGCTGCAAGATGCTGGAGAGAAGTGGAAGCTGGACAGAATCGAGTGGACCGGGCCAGGGAGTCGTGTCGGTAAAGTGACTAATATGGGCTGGGCGGATGATAAATTGGACAGTGATTGGGTTTTCAGGCGTATGGAGTGAGACCTTCTTGTAGTAGAGGCAAATTTAACACAGAGTGGACATGTATACCTGGAGCGAGGACTTGACTTGGCGCCCCACCTCCCACCACATACTGTAAGGGTAGGATAGGTGAGGCGTAACCTAAGGGCGGTTACGTGGTGGATCTGACTAGGGGCGCCAGATGTCGACCTTGAATAGACTGGAGGGAGAAGGATGGATATAGGTGAGGAGGTTCTTACGAGAATACATCGATGAGGGAAAAGGATACGGAGACGCGGCACGATGTATATATGGGAACCTCATCTCGCAATCCAGCCTACGCATCCCTGAGACCATAGCAGCAACCCTAGTCACCGAACCCTGCGTCCAAAGTACACGTCACAACATCTGTACCAATCCCTTACACATACAGACATACATCCTCTCAACTGCCAACAGCAGCCACCCAAACGTTTTTTTCCCTTATCACGTATCAACCAACATTCTTATCACAGACACTCTGCTGGCCGGTTCCACGCGCACTGTTCTCGTTGGTCCTTCTCTTGTTGTTGGGGGTTGGCACCTTTCATGTCTACGAGGTTCCTTCCATGATATTTCCAATTGTAGAGTCTATGAGGAGACTGAATGATCGTTCATTGGCCTTCTCAATGACCCAGCGGCCTTCTTCTCAAAACACATTCACCACTATAAGACTCCTGCGCTGGATGTCTGTCCATCGCTTCTAATCATCAGCTGTTTTCACGACTTGTCTCAGCATGTCCAAGCCTACAGGAAGAGCGCGCCGCGCCCTCTCCTCCGTAGCCGATACCCTCTTTCCAGGCTCCCGATACCCCGACCCGCGCGTAACCCACCCGTCGGCCAAAACAGGAGCCGATGAACTGGTCATCAAAATGCACTCCTTGATCAGCCTAAGTAATTTTCAAGAGACGGAATACTGGAATACGGATTTCAAAGGTACGAAAGAAGAGCTGATGACCAAGTCTTATTATACGGAGCCGTATATCGATCCTGATATCGAGATCCTCGAGGAGGCTCCCACATCAGTCAATGAGAAGACGCAATCTCAACAGGCAGGGACATCAGCGAGCGGTGGTGCCACCGACATTCTACCGATCTCTACCGACCCTTCGAACGCCACAGGCCCCCCTCGCTCGAGATTCGAAGGCGAACCGTTAGTCCCTACACAATACCACAACCCCCACCTGGACTACCACGACCCCTGGCCCCGATTCCCGCTTACCCTCGCCGCCCGTTCCGTCGGCGCAGATCGTCATCACATGTTTCCCCGCTCAGCTCTCTCCTTTGACGTCTTTGACATGGCGAATTCGAGGATCCCTACAGACCCTGAGGTGGAGGAGGACTGGGTGCTGAAAGTGAAAAGTAATGTGATCATACCGGGTACGTTGAGGAGCGTTTTTGATGTCAAGGAAGCGTCGTATTTTGAGGGGCTGCAGGATGCGGGGGAGAGGTGGAAGCTGGATAGGGTTAAGTGGGTGGGGCATGGGAGTAGTATGGGTAGGGATAATGTGGTGGGCTGCTGGTATAGTCCATCGGAGAGTGATTGGGTGTTCAAACGTATGGAATGAGGAGTGTGCGATATGTAGTAGAGCTGAACTGGAGGATGAGGGGTTGGAATGCATGATATGGTGGTTGCATCTCCGACCCAAAGTCCACGAGTATACTTATGTTCTATCCACGGATTCGGACTGCACGAGGAACAAAACGGCGCCCCAGCCTTCGCCCATGATGACATACTCCCGATCAGTCTCGTTATCAGCAGTTTCAGCTATTCAGGGTCTCGTTGCTGCAGTCCGCGATCCGAAACCACTTATTTGTACTCACACCGGCAGCCCTGCCTCATCCAAGGAAACCCTCCACATCCTCTTCGGTACGTATACTCGCCCTACATACCCTTGCCAGCCGGCCGCTCCAATCTACGAGCAGACCTTGCCTTGTCCCCCTGCTGGAAATAGTATTGGCGACCAGCTCGAAGACGGTCGTAGAAGACGTACTGGCAGCTTCTGTTGTCTTGGCGGATTTCGATAGCGAGTCGTATCAGGTACCACTTACCTTCTTACTCGCTGTGGGAACCCGTCGAGACAACAGGGGATGCCAGTACGTCTTCAACGACCCCCTCCGAGCCGGCGAACAGTACAATCTTTAAACAGTGAGATAAGCCTAGGTCTACTCGCGAAGCTGCAGCTGACAAGGACATGCATGTGGGGTGAGGACGGAAGAGGGTGTGGAGGAGTTCTTCGGAGGAGGTAGACGTGATTGGGCTGCTGGTTTGATGGGTACGTCTCAAGAAAGGAGGTTGCATTGCATGTAAGAAGTAGAGCCGTGAACGTCTTGTTCAACTTCAAGTCGGGGAGCGCGACCGGTCTTTAAAATATACAGTGAATTGCTGAGCTTGGCTTTGTTGAGCGTTTACCCAAGAGCCTCTGTCAGTGTCTAGCTGATCAGCGAGGGATTCAAGAACGTTGTCGGATGTAGGATGCCGGGCTGGTGGTGGGGGTTGGTTAAGTATGCTTCTTTGTTCAGCTAATTGCACTTCACTGATGCATGTCGGATCCGAGGATTATTTAGCCACTCAAGTCTGCATATGCATGTGCGCATATCTACACAAAAATCAAGAAGTCGATGTTGACTGATCGCATATAGCATATGTATCCGTTGTACAGACGGGGATCATCGCCGTTGTTCGGCTCATGACCACGAGTGATACATCCAGGAATCAGGATATCACCCTGGGACATACAGTTTGTCACCGAAACTAGGAAAAAACAGACGCCCGGGTCAAGCCGGTCAACCGAGAGTCGAGACGATCGTTTTCGGGCGTACCGGTCGTGCGGCGGGCGGCGGAGCGGAGAAGAAGGGACAAAAGAGGTGGGAGACCCTGGATGTCTGCACCCGGGCGACGGCGTTGTTTTTGCCCCCCCAATCCCGTCTTTGCGCTGCTCGTTCGTTGCTGTCAGTTGACCGCTTTTCGCTGAGGAGAATGCCGGACCTGTGATTCAAAGACGACAGCTGCGATTATGACGGTGTTGAGCGCAGCCTGTAACGGTGTTACTCTCGAGATTCATACGTATCTTGAGGGATCTGTACAAAAATATACATAGATGCGAGGTCCTTCACGGAATGCAGGGAAAGGTTTTGGTAAGGAACATTGGGCTGGGAAGCCCATCTTTTGCGGTTATCGACGGCCCGATATGGAGATCTGCCGTGCCGAGAAGGCGTGTTCCTGGGAGAATTTCCCTGAAAGTTTAAATATTTGTCCCAAAAACTAAAATTACGACGTCCACCTGGTGAATCGTCTCTGGTATGAGGGTGTTCCGCAAATACCATCATCTCTTCCATCCACATCTCGTCATCTCATAAAAGCCAGCCTCATAAAAGCCAGCCTCATAAAAAAAGCCAGCCCGGCACAGCACTCCCCCTCCCCTCCCCCCTCGCTGGTCGACGTTGATCCCCCACACAACCCGTCCCCACGCTTCCGATCAGAACAACCAGACATTCTGACCCGGCGCTGGCCTCCAGACGCTCGCTCTCCCCGTCGCTTCCTATACAGCACAGCCCACAAGGAATTGCAAGCTCTTTCCCTGCCCCATCCTCAACCACATACATCCAAACAGCGCAGCTCCTTTCCACAAACGTCCTCATTTGGACACGCGGCTTGACAGTGCGGCTTCCCCACGTGAGTAACATGGATGTCACTCGAGGCGGTGTCCGGGAGGTCATTCAGCCTTCGGCCTCTGCAAAGCTCGTGCCCACCCCGTTACATACATCGTTTCTGGCACATGTGGCGTGCCATGCTTTTGTATCTCTTGCTAACATGTCTTTTCCATAGTCGTTCACGGCAAGATGCGGATCTTTGAGTACGACCGCCAAGATCCTGTCCCCGGACCCAGCTCACGGCCGCACCTCTATCCTTCTGAACACACGGATCCCACGGCGTCTGCCAGCCCCACAACACATTCATGCCCCCTAGGCTCTGCCTGCCCATTCCTCTACCCTACCCCAGCAATGGACTCTCGCCCAGCCGTTCGTCGGCCTCGTGCTACCAAAAGTCCCCAACGGAGGGTGGAGAGCAAGTTGGCGATATGGGAGCGGATCTCTAGGAGGCAGGACGAGACGAACAGTGTTCCGGCCTCGTCCTCGTGGTCCTCCAGTGAAGTGTATAGAGCGGCGGAAGTGACGACGGTGTCTGGGAGCGATTCGTCGTCGGCGTCAGATTTTACGACGTCGTATGACCCTTCCGCAACGTCGTACACAGCCTATAACGCTACCAACGCCTTATCGCCGTACTCGGCCAACAGTACGGAATCCCTCACCAAGAATGCTACCATCACTTCAACCTCAACATGCTCTTCTTCCTCTTCCTCCGCCCGAACTTCTTCCAGATCATCATGCACCAAATCCACCCGCACAACAACCTTCACATCCCTCTGGTCCACCTCCAAATCCAAAACAGCTACCGGCACCGCCTCTGCGGCAACGTCGACAAAGTCTGCGTACGTACCCGGGGTGATGCTGAATATGACCATGTCGGGGGATAGTGATACCCAGGCGGTGTATGGGGTTGAGGTGGAAATGGGGCATGATGATGATGATGGCAAGAGAAAGAGGAAGAGGGGTATCGGATGGGGTATGGGGAGGAGAGCGTCGTATGCGAAGGATTGGAAAAATCAGATGGTGAATCTGCAGGTGGATCTGGGGTCGTCGGACATGGTGAGTCTTGGCCTTCAACATTTGGCTTGGGTGTTTTCTGACGGTGGGGACTCAGTGGGTAGCTGTCAAGGAATGTTCAACAAGTGACTGCAACTCGGCACCGACACTATTCAACGAAGACCTGTCTCTCGATTCCGATACGACGGCCAACATTACATACCAAACCGGCGCGGTGGACGGAACGATCTACTGGGAGCAGCTGAACGTCGGAGACTTTAGCATAGGCTATCAGGCTTTCAGTCAGCAGCTTTCTTCGCTATGTACACAGGTGGCTGACGTTTGGTAGTCGCTGCCACAGCAGTCACAAACGAAAATCTCAAAGGCGGAAACTTTTCAGGCGTACTTGGACTCTCCCTCCCTGCTGCTTCCTCCATCTTGGCCGAGATTGGCGGTACGACAGGTTCCAATCCCGACGGCGCCACTTTCCTCGACAACCTCTTTGGTGCCGGCTCATCAGCACCTTCCGAACGTCTGTTCGCTCTATCGCTCTCCCGTCGAGAAGATGTACGAACATTATCAACATTCGGCATCGGAGCCACTTCACCCTTATTCTGTCCTTCCCCATGTTCCCCCCACTTCGTACCAATCGTCGCCCAGCCCAGCCTTGGTTCTACGGGGTATACGCACTGGCGGGTCCAGATCCAGTCTCTTTCCGTCACCACGTGGTCGGATGAGAAGAGCGGGACGGGCGCGACGACGTCAAAAGTAGCGTTGGGTAACAGTAAAGTCTACTCGACGAAAGGCTCGCCGTTGGCAGTACTCGATTCTGGTGGGGTACAGATCCTTGTGGGGAGTCGGAATTATGCGGAACAGATTTATGGTGCTATAGGGGTGTCGATGAGTTCGGATGGTCTTTGTGAGTTCTCTTTCCATCTGGGAAAGGGGAGAGACTGATAGAGTGGTAGACCGGCTGCCTTGTTCGAAGCAGATTGCATTGGCGTTTAATATCGGAGGGGTGGACATCCCTGTGCATCCACTGGACATGTCTTATGTTGATCCTTCGGATCTCGGCCAGTCGACTTGCATTGGTATGGTGCAATACTCTAGCAACCTGGGCGACAGTGGTGATTTGTAAGTCCTCATTACCTGCGCAATATGGAGGGGTGCTGATGAAAGAAATAGCATCCTCGGAAGCACATTCATGAAGAACGTCTACTCCATCTTCAAATACCCCGACACCCAGAAGCACGTCACCTGGCAACCCACCGTCGGCCTCATTCCCCTCACCAACGCCTCCATCGCCTCCCAAGACTTTTACTCTGTCCGCGTCTTGCACGAATCCCTCTCCACCGTCTCTACCACCCAGGCTACCAACGCCGGCGGGAGCGGGGTTTACAACCCCGGCTCGGGGACGGGGACGGGGTCGGGGAGTGCAGAGTCGGGGAAGAAGGCATCGAGTACGGCGATCATCGCTGCTTCGAGTGTTGGAGGGTTCTTTGTTTTGGTTGTGGTGGCGTTTTGCGCTTGGTGGTTCTTCCTTCGACGCAAATTTGGCGCTACCGGATCTGTCCCTACTCCCGATCTCAAACGCCGTCCTTCCACCTCGGGCCACAAATCCGATCACTCCATGTCCACCCTTCGCTCCAAGAAACACGACTACACCAACAGGCAGAAGAGCATTATTGATGGGTACAAAGATTGGGATGGCGATGAGTGGGTGAGCGGGACGGAGGGGGGCGATTCGATCCGGCTTGGGTATATACCCGAGGCGCTGGAAGAAGGGGATGATGAAGGGCGGCAGACGAGGGCGGTGGCGAGGTCGTCGAGGAGTTTGACGGTGAGAAGCAGTAGTCATCGGTCGAGGTCGATAGCGGAGGAACCTGGGATGGAGGAGGCGGCGCTGGTGGATCACGTGGATCCTACTAAATCGCCGACTACGCCTTTTGCGGACCCTCTGCCGGAATCACCGCAGTCAGACTCTTTCCCCCTCCATCCCTCCAACGGGCCCTATCCTTCCCCTATCCCTATCCACCAATCCGCCTCCTCGCACAGCAAGAGCCCGAGCATGTCCATGTCGGGTCCCTTCCCTTCGTCACCGGGCCCGACAGGGATGGCAAGGTACTCGACGATGAGGCTTGATTCTTCGCCAATGTATGATATCCGCACGAGCGACTACTTTACCATTGCGCCTGCACCGTCTACCGCTCAGCGTGGGAGGAGAGGGTCGAGTGGGGTACTTGGAGGGGAGGGAGCGGGGCATAGGAGGGCGAGCCCGAGTAAGGCTTCGGGGAAGGTGTTCTTTGAGGAGTCGGTGAAGGAGGAATCGGAGGGTGGGAGTTGATGGAGGGTGGATGGGCGAGAGAGGGGTGTAAGACAAAAGAAGCAAGATCTAGAAGAGACATCTGTACATCAAACAACTCAAAACTGAACCAAAGGACAATAGTTAATACAGCAGCTCATAGTATATAGCAGCTTTATCTTCGACTATCATCATCTAACCATTACTATACTGGACAATATTGGGTACACAAACTTGTAGACTAGATGCCTCGATCAATATGTGCTGTGCTCGTGATCCATGTGTATGTATCGGGTATATGTATCTTTCAAACTGTGACCGAATCAGTCTCCGACGCAAGCTGACGGAAAGCAAATGATGAGTCGTTCCAGAAGTGACCGGCGGTAGCGCCAACTGCTGAAGAGTACTGTCAAAGCATAGATGATTTGAAATGGAAGGAGGCGTATACCATTTATACACGTAAAGGAGGATCTGTCACCATCCTCTGTTCCATCTCGCATGTCTTTTCACAAAATGGGCTTCCAGTCATCAGGTATCCTTTCTGTCTTGGTAACAGTTGCAAGGAAAGTGTCCTTTCACGCAACCCTCGCGACGGTTAGATGTTGACGTCAATATAAGGTGGGGCCGGCGGGGGATGATGTCTCATTGATGACTTGTACCTTGAACGTCAAATTGGTCAGCTCTCTCAACAGACAAGTACGCATAACAGAACGACCATGATGTTGTTCACACGAAGGGCTGCTTTGGGCTTGAAATCTCGCCACAGTGTACGAACTCTTACCAACTCACCTTCCCCTCCTCCCACACGCCCAAATGGTCATCTGGAGGAAGGCAAAGAGACTCTTTTCCGAAATATGAGATACCTGCCGGCCATAGGGGCCGTGTCTCTCACAGGGGTGGTCATTGGCGTAACGGCCTACTGCCTTACCCCGCTTGAACAATCCGAGGAGGACAAAGAAGTGCCCTTCAAAGACACGACAATATTCTCCGGCACCCCAGCTCGAATACGTTCCATCGATGGTCAGCAGGTGGAGTGGAGATTCGAGGACAAACATTACTATCACCCTTTACTCAGTGACAGAGATGCCGAGAGGATGTTGACCCCTGGTCATAAGGTCACCGAGGTTAATCGTCGCGGGAACCCGCTCAAGACTTTCGACTTCAAGATACTGTTCTCAGCGGATACTGGGGAGGACAGGTGTAACTTTGAGGTCGTCACCCGTTCAGACCTCGCCGGCGTTGCGCAAAAATCGGGCAAAGGCGAGTTTTGGTGGAAATCTTGGTGGGATGCGCGCAATCGTGTCTACCCAAAAGGCAGGAATAGGAAGCCCAAAGTTGGAGATGGGTCAGAGGACGTCATCATATGTAGCGTCTGGGACGGCCATAGTGGTCACGAGATGGCTGAGCTTCTGAAGAGGGGTCTTCATGGTTGTTTGGCGTGGAACATTGGGAAAGAGCTGAACAGAAGCAAAGGCTGGACAGAGACTATCAAGACGAGCTTGGGATTCGAATCTTCAAGTGGTGAAAGCTTCCGTGATGTCCATTTTGAGCCCGAGAGTTTCTCCAACTTGATCAGTAACACGTACGTTATTGAAGACCGACAAAGACGCGCTCGCTGATGTTTTGCAGTTTCCTTGCAGTTGACCAAGATGTCGTCACCGCCCCCTCCAGGATTCTATACAGCGGGCCATCCAACACTCTCTCTCCCCATCTCCCGCCTCATTTACCCAGCTCTTTGGCTTATGGCGCGTTTGCAGGAGGTCCCGGAGCGTGCTGTGCTACCGCCATTGTGGATGTCGCCGATGACAGGTTCTATGTCGCCAATGTCGGTGACACCCGATGCATCGCCCGATGGTGGAATGAGGCAGACCAAAAGTGGCGATGTGATGTTATTACGGAGGACTGCATGGGCGATAACCCCAAAGAGTCTGCAAGGTAAGCTCCCAACACGACACAAGAGTCACAGGGACATCAATACGCTTACAGTTGTTTGCAGGATTTTGAGCGAACACCCGGAGGATGAACAGGACACAGCAATGTACAACGGCGGCAATGGAAACGGCAACCGTGTTTTGGGCCAGCTGCAGCTCACCAGAGTGTTCGGTGATAGCGATTATAAAATTGACCATGACGAGTGGCAAGAGTAAGTCGCAGAGATCTGTCAGCAATCCTCATAACACTGCTGACTTGTGCAAACAGCGTCAACAGAGCTCTCGATCAGTGTGAATACGGCATCAGATGGCCGAGATTCGACGAAGTGCCGTGCAAGACTCCGCCTTATGTTGCGGCAAAACCAGAAGTGAAGTGGCGCGATATGCACCCGGATAATGGTGACGAGTTGAAGTTCTTGATGTTGGGCACTGATGGATGTGAGTTCCCGGTACCCTGTGAAGACGAGCACGATGAGGCTGACGGGTTATCAGTGTTCGACCGTCTCACATCAGAAGAAGTATCCCATCTTCTCGCCGGGCATCACAGCAATCCCAAACAGGACGATGTGGACAAGGTCGTTTTGCCCATGCTCCACCCTCATTACGAGTCTCTCTCCGAGAATGAACACCCGTTCCCGAAGGAAGAGATGCAGACCGAAGGCGGCTGGGTCTTTGAAGATAAAAACGCTGCGATTCACCTTATCAGAAATTCCCTGGGAGGCGCAGATAGAGAGCTGCGTCGACAGTTTCTGAGTCTTCGGAAGCCTGGTGTAAGACAGGCGAGGGACGACATCACCGCATGGTGAGTATCTTTTCTTGAACTAATCCCTGAAGACTTTGGCTTATGAGCGACTGCAGTGTACTCTGGTTCGACGAGAAGGGTCCTCGAGAGGAGCGAGGCGATATGACTTCTGTATGATTGTGTCCAGCTGTTAGCAATAGTCGATTGTCATCAGATGTTGAGTAAAGCCAATGGCTGCTTGCGTCCGAGCAGAAGTGGCGTGATAGATACATGCGATACGTTTCCTACAGATACAGTGAGATTGGACATCTCCTTACTGGAGTTTCGATCAGAATTCAAAGCCCGCCCGCCTGAACTCTTCCAAATCCGTCCCAGGCCTCGCTTTCCTTGCCAAATCCGGCAGATCCTATACATCCCATTAGCATTGATTTTCCAATGACCCTCGATAGTGCCCGGAGAATCAACGTACCATAGCAACAAGAGCCTTGCGTAGAGTCCCCCAAAGGGCGGCAGAGTCGTTCGAGATCTGTTGAGGGTTCATGCCTTCTTGCTGGGACGGATGCAACGAGAGCGCCGCGAGGACTATCGAATCATCAGCTCTGTCCCTTCAAATCATACAAGAACGACGTACAATGCTCCGCCGCCTCCCGATGCACCCCAATATTCAAACACGCCACCCCAAGATTACTAACCGCCCTCGTAAACCCCGGCTTCAACTCCAACGCCCTCCTATACGCATCCACCGCCTCCTCCGAGCTACCCCCATTCGACAGCGTAGCCCCAAGCCTATTCCAGAGCAGGTAATCATCCGGCCTTTCTTTGAGGGCGGATACCCAGCAGTCGCGGGCTTGGTCGTACTCGCCCATCATGTAGTAGAGGGTACCGAGGCCGACTTGGACGTTTGGGTCGACGACGCCGCCGTGGGAGTATTGGTCGCGGGCGAGGGAGAGGAAGGAGTCGGACACTTGGGAGTGGAGAGCCCAGGGGGAGGCGGAGGAGGCTGAAGAAGGGTCGAGGAGGGGAGATGAGGTTGATGGTGCTGGTCCGGCGTGGGAGGGGTGGAGGAGGGTGAGGAAGGTGTGGAGAGTTGTGAGAGCTGCGAGGTCGAGCGACTCGTTCACGTATGAGATTGTCAGATTCTGTTTCCATCAGCTCTTTCCTAAACCCTCTGTGACAGTACTCACAGTCAGCATCTCCCCAGCGATGCCCTCCTTGCCCGCTGCCCCCTCCTGACCCAAAACCTCTCGTCCTTTCTGGAACGCCCCCAGCGCCTTCTCTTCCTTCTCATCCATCGCATGCACCCTCCCCAACAACGCCCACGCTTCCGTCAACGAAACTTCCATCTGCTGCCGTTCAGCGGCGGACGATTGCTGGATGAAGGCTTCGATGTGGTTTGCAGATGCAGAGAGGGAGCCGGAGGCTAGGAGCTTGTTTGCTTCGGCCCAGATGTATGAGGCGGACATGGATTTGAGGGCTTCGGGGGTTTGGGCTAGTAGATATCAGTCTTGTTCACCGTTTTTGGGTTGAGGGTGACGTACCAAAGTCGTAGTCACTCTGCGCCGGTAAACCATCACTTCTCACCTCAAACCCTCTCCCCAGCGCTTCCGCCCCCGATTGTTCCAACCCCTCCCACTGCTGATCCAACCCCATCTGCCCAACATCCGGTCTGTTGAGGGATTCATTCAGGATATCAAACAAATCGTCTTCGTCATTCGTAAACTGCTTACAAATCAGTCCTTTGCTCTACTCCTCGGGAAGATGTAGATAAGGAGAGACGTACTTGAGAAAAGTCATTCTCCCACTGAGCCAACTCATTCAACCTCTCCGCCTCTGGTTTCAAACTCTCCCACACCTTTTCAAAATCCCCTTTCGCCTCCTTCTCCTCCTCCACCCCTTCTCCCCTTTCCTTTTCCTTTCCCTCCTCATCGCCTTCGTGCGCTCTCGCAACCTCTTTATACATTTCCTTCATCCTCTCTGCTTCCTGTTCTGCGCGGATTGCAGATAGGTACTCTTCCGCCTGGGCATCTAGATTTGTTTCTTGCGACTGGGCGGGAGCAGAGGAAGCTTTCCAGTCGGACTCAGCTTGGCTGAAAAGATCTTCCATCTGCTTCTGATCCAGCTGTTCCGCCCCGGCCGAACCATGTCCGTTGGTGGGGAGTTGGGAGGGAGGGTGGGAGAGGTGGTTTTGGTACATGGGCGTGAATGGTTGGTGCCCCATATGCATACCCATACCCATGCCCATGCCCATGCCCCCTCCCATGCTCAATCCGGACTGATACCCTTGATACGGCTGATGGGGCTGGTACCCCTGCTGAGCCTCCACCGGCGCATAAGCCTGAGGCTGAGGTAAAGGTTCCGCCCGTTGTTTGCCTTTCCCACTACTCTGGAACTCTTGGAACCCATTCGCCCACCCTCCCCCATTGCCATTCGGATGGTACTGGGGCTGCTGAGCAAGTGGTGATCTCGCGCCATTCATCTGATACCGCTCCCAACCTTGCGCGAAACCCACCTGTGCCTGTGCTTGCGCCTGAGCTTGTGCTTGAGCTTGAGCATGAGACTGGGGCGAAGAACTCCCGCTCCTAGACTGGGAAAGAGCAGCAGAAAGGTGCGAGAGGTTGAATGGATGAGGTGTAGCGTTGGCGTGCAAGTTCGGACCATGGGTTGGGATGGAGGTGGGTTGTTGTTGAGAGGGGCCGGGGGCGGGGCGGAAAGCGTTGGGGGTCGATGAGGGGGACTGGGCGAATCGGTCCTGCTCTTCGTCAGTAAAGTCACAGCCTTCACATTAATAGCACCACGGCGTGAAAGGGGAATAAAGAGAAAGGGGAGGACGCACTTTGAAGAGACTATTATCAATGCCCTCTCTCTGCGCGACTTGCTTGAGAGGATTGGACGAAGTTCCACATTCAGCACCACCTAAGAGACCCTGCATCTTGCCTCTTCTTCTTGCTTTGTGGTGATAGAGGTCAAATAGGCAAGACAAGTCGAACGGAAATGATAGAGAAGATGAGCGCAGACAGACCGTGGATGTCGGCTATCCAGGTGGCAACAAACCCGGATTTGATCCCGCTTCCCTCCACTTTTTGAAGAGATGGGGTGCCCCGGGGTTGGATGAGGCGGGGTATGGAGGCTGGGGGCTAGGGGGTCGTCGGCCGGTGGGGAAGGGGAGGAGAATGAGAAAAGTATGTATCTGGAGGTGGATGGCGGGAGGGGGAATTGCGCGATGCATTCGCAGCAGGACTCTAAGAGGGCGATGAGCACTTTGCTCGATGCTTGAGATCGTAGAAGACAGCGCTCACGAGAGGTCAACGCCAGAAGTCGTCGATCTGCATACCGAGATACATTCATTTTCGGTACATAGTGATACAAGTCATATGTCATGTATGAAGCTACCCATCTAATACCCATCTATGTGTCGTAAATCTTCTTCTCGTCTCGCCGGTCGCCACCCCAGTCACGCGAGCTTCTCCTTCAGCCTCTTCCGTTCCCTCCCCATCTTCTTCCCCTCCCGCTCGCTCCACACCTTATTCCAATCCACCTTACTCTCCGTCGCCGTCAGTCCCCCACCAAGCGAAATGACCGTCAAGATCATCCCCACAGTGATCACAAACCTCCAGATCCCCCCTCCACTCGAATGCACATGTTCTTCTTTACTCTGCGCATGCGTCGGCTTGCGCCTGCCCCAACCTTGGTTCGTCCGTTCTGTAGTGCGGAGATTCGGGTTGAACGAGTAGTTGTACTGGTGCGCATAAGCGTACCCCTCAGGTGTGCGCCGGCCGAAGGGCGAGTAGGTCTCGGTGCGGGGTTTGGAGAAGGGGTGGTGCGCGTAGGAAGACGAGTTCCAAGAGCGGTGCGGGCCTTGAGCTGCGCGGTGCAAATGGGGATCGTGGGGGCGGAAGGAAGAGTGGCCGTGGCCGTTGGCGTACGATTGGGATTGGAATGGGCGATGGGAAGAGACGGTGGAGGAGGATTGGTCGTATTGCCGTCTGACATCGAGTTAGCAAGCGTCTCAAGGAGAGATGTGGGAAAGGGTACCTTTTGGACTCGTCGCCGAGGATGGAATACGCATCGTTGATTTCGTGAAACCTCGCTACATCGCCCTCGCTCGCATCGGGGTGGTACTTTTTGGAGAGCTGTCGCGCATCAGTCGAGCTCCACAAAGGATGGTGAGAGACGACGACTCACTTCGTAAAACTTTGCCTTGACCTGCTGCTTGGTAGCATTCCGCTGCACACTAAGCGTCTCGTAATGATCCTTCTGCCTCGCACTCCTCATAGCAGACGTCGAAAACGTCTTCACCCCCGTCCCACACCCCTTCCGCGCGCAAACTTGGCGTCGAAACATGGCAACTCTTTTTTTCGAATGACAAGAACGAGTCAAAAGCGTCTCCTTTCTTCTTTATATTAGGGCGTCCAGAAAATAGTTGGTAGGCTGTTGATGCTATGGAATCGGCCGAACTCGTTTATCTGATAAGAATCAGAAGCATATCAACCGAGCAAGACACTGTCGGGGCCGATCGCGAAAGGTGGAGGGGCGGAGGGTGCCGTGGTCACGTGGTGGGGCTGATGGATGGCTCGGAGGCCCGTCGTGTTCCTTGCTGCCTTTTCTCAACCCTGTTCTGTTTGTTCTGTTTGTTTGTCTCTGTTATTCTGGGTAGGGCCTGGAAGCAAGCAGGCTAAATCATCCCGTATAGCATTCACAGAGAAGCACAATGTCCGACTCTGTCTCCAAACTCACAGCCCTCAGAGGGCTCATGAAAGACCACAACATCGACGCCTAGTACGTCCCTCGCCCCTATCCCTCTTCCCGATCTGACAAGTTCTTTAGCATCGTACCATCGGAAGACGCTCGTACATCCCATCTGTGCTTCAGCTAGTACCTCAGCTAATGTTTCTAGATTCGTCGGAGTATCTCGCTCCCTGCGACGCCCGGCGGGCTTTCCTCACAGGCTTTACAGGTTCCGCCGGCTGTGCCATCGTCACCCACGACAAGGCTTTGTTATGGACCGACGGGAGGTATTGGATACAAGCTGAGAAGCAGCTCGGTCCTGGGTACTTCCCTCCTTATTTCGTTGACGTTTGGATTGTACTGATAGGTCATGTGTAGGTGGAGTCTGATGAAGAGCAGTGCGCCGGATGTACCTACGTGGAATGACTGGCTTGCTACCGTGCGTCTATCCCTCCAGGAGCCAGGATCCAGAGCTCACAGATAGTTAGACACTCGACCCAACCAGCAAGATCGGTATCGACCCCACCCTCCTCCCCTTCTCCGAAACAACCACCCTCCAAACATCTCTCGCCTCTTCCTCTTCTCCTTCTTCCCCAGGAACCAAAACCTCCCGCCTCATCCCCACTCCAAACCTCATCGACCCCCTATTCACGCCCACCCGCCCGCCCAAGCCCTCTGAACCCATCTTCCTCCTCCCCACAACCTACACCGGTGAATCCCTCGCCTCCAAACTCGCCCGTGTCAGAGTTTACTTGGACCTCGCGGGCAGCCCGGGGGTGGTGTTGAGTGGCTTGGACCAGGTGGCGTGGATCTTGAATTTGAGGGGGAATGATATACCGTATAATCCGGTGTTTTTTGGGTATGCTGTGATCACGCCGGGAGAGGCGAGGGTGTTTTTGAACCTGCTAGTCTTTCGGGGGAAGTGAGAGATTATCTGAAAGAAGGTGGGGTGAAGGTGGAAGAGCATGACAATATCTGGACATCTCTCAACACCTGGCGAGACCTGCTTCAAACTCAAAGAGAGGATGGGAGCAAGAAACCTCAGTTGGGAGGGCCTTCTACGGTGACGGGTGCGAATGGCGAAAAGATGGAAAAGACGGACAAAATGTTGATCGGTACCAAGACGAGTTGGGCTATTGCCCGTGCGCTTGGGGAGGAGAATGTGGAAGTGCGACGGAGTATTGTGGATGATTACAAGGCTCAGAAGAATGCTGTCAGTTTCATTTCCTTCCCAGTCGTCTTTGAAATGAGAGCTGACGGGGTCCAAGACGGAGATCGAGGGGTTCCGCCAATCCCATATCCGAGATGGCTTCGCCCTCGTCCGATACCTCGCTTGGCTTGAAGAAGTGCTCGAGAATGGAGAAGAGTGGACGGAATATGATGCTGCGACCGTCTTGGAAAACTACAGAAAGTCTGTTCTTCTTCTCCCTCTCACTGATAGAAATCATGGACATTGGCTAATAATATTACAGGGAGAACAAGTGGTTCATGGGTCTATCATTCGAAACCATCTCGTCCACCGGAGCTAACGCCGGTACGCTCCTCCTCCCTCACTAGTCCGTTGGTGCACTATGAATTTGTGGCTGATGTATGGGGTGGTTTTAGCGGTGATTCATTATGCTCCGCCGGAAGAAGGTAGTGCGATTATAAGGAAGGATCAGATGTATCTCTGCGACTCTGGCGGTAAGTCATTCCCGACAGTCTTCGTCTTCTGATGAAGGGAGCTGACTTGATTTTTCGTAGCGCAGTACCTGGATGGGACGACGGATGTTACTCGAACTCTTGTACGCTTTACCTGCACCCGCCGTTCATGGTAGCGCAAGAAGAGAAGCTGATAGAGGTGTGGCTGTAGCATTTCGGTACCCCGACTGAAGACCAGAAAATCGCTTTCACGCGGGTTCTCCAAGGACATATCTCTCTGGACACTGTCGTCTTCCCTGAAGGTACCACAGGCTACATCCTGTACGTCCTCTCTCACCCATCGTCCCTCTTCCCCGAACCACGCTAACACCCAAAACAAGCGACATCCTCGCCCGCCGCCCCCTCTGGTCCTCCCACCTCGACTACCGCCACGGCACCTCCCACGGTATCGGCCACTTCCTCAACGTGCACGAAGGTCCCCAAGGTATCGGCCAGCGTATCGCCTACAACGATGTACCCCTGAAGGAGGGGATGGTGATCAGTAATGAGCCGGGGTGTTATAAGGAGGGGGAGTGGGGGGTGAGGATTGAGGGGGTTGATGTTGTTGAGCGTAGGAGGGCGGGAGGGGGGCCGGGGGAGAAGGGGTGGTTGGGGCTGGAGCGGATTACTATGGTACGTTCATCTTTCTTCTACTTGAACTGGATCGAGGAAGAGGAAAGAAGGCTGACGACGCGCGCAGTGCCCAATCCAAACTAAACTCGTCATCCCCGCCCTAATCTCCCCAGACGAGAAAGACTGGTTGAACGCGTATCATTCGGAGGTGTATGCCAAGATATCGCCTTTGTGTAAGGAGGTTGGGGATGAGAGGGCATTGGTTTGGCTGGAAAAGGAGTGTCGGTTTATATGATGTGCGAGGGGGTTGATGGGTCGCATGGTAAGGAAAGGCGGAGCTCGGTGGGCCGAAATGGTCTTCAGGGTCACCCGAGAGGCTGAAATGTGGAAGTCAGTATGCAGATGCGTGGATTATCAATGGCAGAGGATAGATTGAGTCGGCCAGCTGCCCGTTCGAAGATGACAGTACAATTGGCGTTCGCAACATTCGATATACGAAAAGAAAGATAGCCCGACACCGCCGCCGGCGAGAGTTGTTTGTTCAGTCAACATCGGGCCAGTTTATACATCATGCTCGAAAGTTCTCCAAGAGACAAAAAACTGTCTTTTGCTGTTACCGGACATCACCTATACGAGTATAATGCCAGATGGGGTTCATGAAGTGCGCAGATATCGATATAGAGTCAAATCACGGTGCTTATATCGTAACTCTATCTGTCAGCTTACAGATAGCTGCACCCTGCAGTAGTCAGCAGACCATGAGGCTCGATCACGTAGCACTCGTTGTGCGTTACCACCACTGCAACAGATCTCCTCTCTCCCCCTAGAACTAAATGTATCATGTAGCTTATTACCGTCCATAGCCTTTCATCTCTGCTTCGATTGAACACATGTAGCCCTGCCACTCAGCGAAAATCCTTATATCATCATCAAAGACCACTAGTCACCGGACCTTCGACGATAGTTCTGTACACATCTTATCAGTGGTATTTGCAGGATAGATGATAAGACGTCTGTCAACGGCCATCGCCATCTTATCAAAACAGTGGGCCTTGTCCTGTGGCCTGTGGACAGTGCAACAATGACTGGCAACGTACCGCGTACCACCAATACCGAATCATCTACTATCAGATGTCACTGTGCCCCACATGCATAATACATCCCGCCGGTCACGTCGATTGATTTTCAATCCCCCCATCACTGGAACGAGCAGACAACCCACGATAGCCGTCCAAACCCTCCCAATGAAAGTACGTAGGGCAGAAGGCTGAGTACCCGGTCTCAGCCCGTCGTCCGTTGTCGCACTCATCTATTCAGTAAAGTGGCAATGAAAGGAAAGCTGATAGAACCGCTGCTGACGGTTGAAAGATGAGACAAAATCAGTCTTGCTGTCAAGGCGATCATCATCACAGAAGGCAGAAGGATAAACGATTGATTTCGCGTCTGATTCTGCATTTCAATATGTGAAGACAGAACTGACGCTAGGGTGTCCGCTATGATCTCATATGTCTCTACTCGAAGTGTTCTTCAGTGTTTGGATTGTTAACAACGAGAATGAAAGTAGTGGCGGCGTCCACTGCTCCTCATTCCAACACCACCCCCTTTGCGACGTTTTCTGCTTTCAGGGATTAGTTCCACCTCCTCAGCTCATGAAACGCACCATCGACTCACAGCCCGTGATTTGCCATGAGATGCCGGCCGCCATATCTCTTTCAACGCTGACATCTGTCGGTAATGACCATTCGCGCGATGATGTCACCTGACCTGGTCAGCTGCTGCATGCATGATTCGAATGTTTGGCGCTGCCTCGTTCTGCTTCAAGATGCCGCGCTTTGCCGTCCTGTACCGCGTAGTCTCTGACCTCTACGAGTACGTCTGCGTTTGTATTGTGGCCGTTGACTTAGTTGCATTTATGGAGGAGAACAAGGAAGATCCCGAAAAGATGGCAAATCAAGATGGATTCGAGGTATGTTGCCGAGCCTGTCGGCCCGTGGGCACATGCGTAATCAAACCTCATACGGGAGGGATCCAGAGGAGTCAATTTTGAACTATGTCTACGTGCACTTGCAGAGCGCCCATCGCCTCTTTCAATTCCTCGGCGCCCAAACATCGCAGCGTCTCCGCTCCGCTTATTCCCCGAGATGCACCGATCGCCCTCATCGCCTGCCCATACATGCTTCGCGTTTGCTCCACTTGTACGCTCCTTGCACTGAGGGATCGGATCGTGCATGAGGTCGGACGACGCATACGTAGTCTGTCCTTCTTCTTCTCCCCTGTCCCCTGTCCCCTGCCCCCGCCGAGTGTTTCGGGATCGTCCTTCGGGCGGAGACCCATACCTACACCATGGGGCCTTCAATGCTGCCCTGACAACCGCTCTGGGGTACATACGTGCAGAACGGTAAACATTCCGTAAATACCCGGAATGCTCCAAGGAAATTTGCCAATGACCGCCCGTAGCCGCCAATTGCCCGATTCCACAGTCGTCGACTTTCCGGTGACTTGTCTTTGGTTTGCTTATATATCTCACTCACCTCGATTTCTCCTCTCTCCCTATCATGACTTGAATTTGCCACCGCATCACCTATCTGATTGTACCTTGTATATACCACCTACCACCTACGACGAACAACAACATGGCGTCCCTAGACGCGGAGAAAGCCAGCATCGAGCACATCGAGTCGGGCGACGGGAAAGACCAGAAGATCAGTCACAGGGATATGAAGCACGGAGACAAGGCTTTGCAGTTTCTAGGCGATGAGAGAGTGGAAGTTACAGAAGAAGACGTGAGTCCTTCCCCTATTGACTTTCCGGGCTCCGTTTGGTTGTTCGGCCTTGACGCGTTGGGAATCGAAGCGAGCTTTCGTGGCGCTGACGAACCAATCAAACAGGACAAGCGAATCCGAAAGTTGACCGACAAGTATATCCTCTCGGTCCTCGCCTGGGTCTATCTGTTGCAGATCTTGGACAAGACAGTGCGTGACTGTATCGTATTTCGGGCGAAAACATTCACTAACGAGCCGCAGTTGTTGGGCTATGCGAACACTTTCGGGCTTTCGGTTGATGCCAATCTTGGCGGGAACCAGTACTCCATGGTCGGCTCCATCAGTGCCATTATGCAACTTTGCTGGCAGCCCTTCTCTTCGTGGCTGTTGGTAAAAGTGCCTCCACGGTACCTCATGCCTACCATGGTATTTGGATGGGGAGCCGCTCAGGCGTGTATGGCTGCCGCGCGAAAGTGAGTATGATCATTATCTGGTATGGTCCCTTCTGACGAGACACAGCTATTCTTCCTTGATGGCCTGCCGAGCTCTCTTGGGTCTGTTTGAAGCTGGATGCCTTCCCCTCTTCTCTCTAATGACCTCTCAATGGTACCGTCGATCCGAACAGCCTCTCCGAGTCGCCATCTGGTACTCTACCAATGGTATCGCCACTATCCTCGCTTCAATCTTAGCTTTCGGCCTCAGTCACATCGACAACCCGCATATCAAGGGTTATGAAGTGCTCTTCTTGCTTTGTGGCCTTGTCACCGTATTGACCGCACCCGTCATATATCTCTTGATCGACAACGATATATCCACCGCGAGGTTTCTGTCGGACGAAGACAAGGCTAAGGGAATCGAGAGATTGAGGGCGAACCAAACGGGTACCGGGTCTACCGAGTACAAGTGGGCGCATGTGTTTGAGATCTTCTACGACCCCAAGTCGCTTCTCTTCTTCGCCATCACCTTTTTTGTCAACACCGGTACGTCTCGTCTTTTCTCTCCCTGTCTCTCAAGCTGACCAATCCTTAAGGTGCCTCCACCGTCAACGTTTTTGGCCCTACCTTGATCAGCGGCTTCGGGTTCGACGCCAACATCACTTCCCTTCTCAACATGCCCCTTGGCGCTCTCCAGTTTCTCACCATCATCGGCGGTTGCTTCTGCGCCTCCAAGTTCAAACTGAAGTCTGCTGTACTCGCTGCTTTTGTAATCCCTGTCATCATTGGTCTTGCCCTTCTCTATGTCGAAAACACTAGAAAAGGCGGAAATGGACTGAGGCAAGGTCCGGCATTGGTGGGGTACTATCTGTTGGCGTTCTTGTTTGGGACAAACCCGATTACTGTTTCATGGATTGTGGCAAACACAGGTGGACAGACGAAGAAGGCGTTGTTGATGTCGATCTACAACGGCGCCTCTTGTTTGGGTACGCCCTCTTCTCCTTCCCCTACTTCCTTCATGCTGACCATTGTCAAAGGCAACGTTATTGGCCCCCTCCTCTTCAACGCAAAAGACAGACCCCACTACCTCCCCGGTATTCGCGCCAACCTCGGCCTCTTTTGCGCCCTCTTCGGCACTGTCGGCCTCTGCGCCTTCTACCTCTTTGACCTCAACAAGCAGAGGCAGAGACAGAGGGTGGCGGTTGGGAAACCAAAGTATATCAAGGATACGTCGATGAGCAGCAAGTATGAGACTTATGGGGCTGATGATGCTACTTTGGGGCAGAATGGTGAGTCTTAGTCCTAACGCTTTGGGATCACTGCTAATAGGCGGACTTTAGCTTTGCTCGATTTGACGGACTTTAAGAATGACGAATTTGTGTATGTGTACTGAGCTTTGGGAGTGTATGTCTATCTGTTTGCCAGGGCCGGGCTTGGTTCTGAGATGTAGAGAAGAGAAGAAGGGGCTGAATCTCTTCCACTGTAGAGTGTGTATACAGTAGATCTCCTAAGACGAAAGAAGTAGTAAATTGAAATGTGTACCAGTAAATTGAAATGTGTACCAGTAAATAAGTGTACTAGTAGATAAGTGTATGTACTCTACTGTACCATGAACCAATATCTCATGGCTAGGCTGTCGAATACTTGGAACTTGTGGGCTTCTGTGATAACGTGCTTATCATGCCCAAGCTTGAATAGCGACAAAGTACTTCTCGCACACCGCACCGCACTTGAGTTGGTTCATGGACCATGGGAGGAAACGTCGATATCACAAGAGTCTACTAGCATACTTTCCTACTGGCAGAGTATGTGAAGGCTACGAAGGACCATGCAGTGCTTGACTGAATTATCCCAGCCAGAGGCACGTCGGGGGAATCGCAAGGAGGACGGTGAACGCACAGCGCTCGGGACACCTTGCGGAACGCTTCCCAAGGCGGATTTGCCAGATCTGGAAAACTAGATTTGCTCGATATGGAAAAGTAGACCGGCTACTAGAATTGAAGATCAATCTTGCTGGATTTGGAGAGCTGGATTTACTACTTCTGGAATGCGAATATCTTGTCTGTTGATTTGCGCATCTTTCACCCCATCGTATCGTATACGATACATCATGGCCACCTATGTACTTGAGGATGATACAGTTAATAGTTGGTTGTTCGGAGTTCCGAAACTAACCATTTGATGGTAATCTGCTCAGGCTTCGCCGGCTCCAGCCTTTTCCTTTTCGTATGTCTGATGCTTTGCCGCCCTGTTTCTCTTGCAAACAGTCTTCAGCCTGCATCAGTTGTCGGATGTATGTAATAGCAATGCGGGTCAGCCCTTCGGGGCTCGGTCTTCCGCGGGGTGGATTCGGGATGAAAAGCGCGCTAGTCCACTGCTGCCAACGCACGTTTCCTCTTTTCTTTTGTCTCCACTATTATCTAAGCATGATGTCCATCATGTCACGTAAAGCTCGCCATTCGTCAACCATCAGGGTAGGCAGTTCGAGGTGCCACGTTCGATATGCGCTGACTCTTCTCAGCACTTGTGATTGGGCAGCATCCCCGACAGGCCTCCACAACTTATTTCCGCTTGGATATACATATAGTCCCCAACATGCAAGATGATCATCCTCGAACGAAAGCACCATGCTGACCTTGGCATTGCTCTCCATTGCCGGCACTGCCCTCGCATCAATAGAGGGCAACAAGGCTTATATGACTCGTCCTCTCATCGCATTCCTCAGCTGGCCCGTGACCGTAAGATCGTAGAAAGAAATCACAAGAGATGGGAGTATCATGATGGCCAGCTCAATTTTCCTTACGGGGTAGCTTCCGGTGATCCATGTAAGCGTCCTCGCCGTCTAACGAGTATTACGCTTACGCAGGCCTCCAGATCCCAACTCTGTCATCCTCTGGACACACCCAGTTCCTTCCACCGACGACTTCCGACCTGTCTGTCTCGAGTATCAAGTCAGCAATTCGAACAGCTCTTGGTCCGAGCTCGTCACTTCGGATCAAGTCTGGACGACCCAAGACGTCGACTACTCCTACAAGGTAGAAAGAAGCTGGGAACCTCGAGCCGAAACAGACGTACTTCTATCGCTTCGTCAATTGCGCCGACAAAGACAACGTCTCGCCGGTTGGTAGATTCAAAACGATTCCATATCAAGACGATGATGATATAGACTCCTTATCTTTTGCGTACGTATGGTAGAAACGACTTCGTTGGCACTCTGCTAACGCTCAATCAGTGTCTATTCTTGCTCAAACTACCCCTTCGGTTTCTTCAACGCTTATGGCAATGCTGCTCGCCGAGATGATGTTGACTATGCTTTGCACGTTGGTGATTACATATACGAGTATCAGGGAGACGGATGCGAAGATGGCAACACGTGCTACCGTGATGGGCGTGATATGTAAGTTGCGGATACGACTTCTTGCTCCTTGAGCTGATACTTTTTCCTCTAGCGATCGCGTCCCCCTCCCCAACCACGAGATTCTTACCTTCGACGACTACCGACAGAGGTACAAGACTTACCGCTCCGACCCCGACCTCCAGCTCCTCCACCAAAAGCACGCCTGGCAGCTGATCTGGGACCACCACGAAGTCGCCGATAATACCTGGATGTCTGGTTCTGCCGATTCAAACGACACTATCACCGGGACTTATTACAATGTATCTTTTACGCAGAGGAAGGCGAATGCGGTCAAGGTCTACTTTGAATGGCTTCCCATCCGAACGGTGAGCTTCGAAACATCCTCGAGCGAAGAGAGACTGATCGCACCCACAGGTGGAGACGGATGATAGTTTGAGAATCTGGAGGTCTTTCCAGTTCGGTACCCTTGCCGACTTCTACATGCTCAACACTCGTCAATACAATCGTGACTTGACCGACCTTTACTATAACAGTAAGTGATATCGAACGAGACTGTGCTTGCCGAATTTGTGGTGCAGGACGAGGCGAACAAGCTGTAGAGGCCTATTGCTGGTGGACAGGTTGAAGGGGGCGCTCTGAAGGGCAAATAGTGATGTTTGATGGGGGAACTCCGGCAAGGTATATGGTATTAATGTGGGGACAGAGGGGCGACCGGAGGGGAACGGCAAAATACCTCTTGATGATGACGCTATATAGTCAAGCACTATCATTGTATGTAATGCAGCTCACTTCGTTTGATATAGACGACTGTAGACACAAAATCATTCTTGTTACATCACGCAATATCTTGGTACGGTAGAGTACTCGTACTGTACTCGTAAGGAATCAACTTTCCTGATCTGAAATGTATTTGTGGCGATTTTCATAATCACTCAACCTTAGTTTTGGGGAATACATCTTTCTCCGTTGGCTCCCTCGATCTATGATTGGGTCAGCTCTAACGATGTATTGCCTGTAGTAATGTCAATCACTGAGCTCGGAAGGTCCATCTCGCGTTGTCATACTGCTTTGACAAGTTGCCATTCTTTCTAGTATCTGACTGGAAAGCACCGCGAAATCTGCTGTTATTCACCAGCTCTCCTTCTTCATCCCCATTGACGTAATCACCGACCTCCACGCTCAAGAGCTCGTACTCGTTCCCCGTTTCTTCTTGTACATCTTCAAAGTATTTTCTCTCAGCTGAGTGAAAGAACGTTGCGTCGGTTGCCTTGGTGCCTTCTTGTGCTTGAGTCACCCATGATCCGGAGAAACGACCTTCCCGAATGTCTCCCAGAGGGGTGGTAAAATCGATAGGTTGGTCTTGGGTTTTGATCGCGGATACGATTCCATCACGATCGCCTATAGTCCCCGCCTGAATGCACAATTTTTTGAGATACCAGTCATGATAACCGGACTTGACTAACCACCTGTCCGTCGCAGCAGAAGATGGATCCTTACTTGGATCCACTTTCGAGAGGATAAGGGCCCCAGGACCCTCAGTGTCGAGTCTGTATGAGATCTCAGCAGGAAATACGAGTGTAATATCTGTAGTATCGTCGGATGTGGAACACGATGTACAACTCAAAGCTGATTCTTTTTCATGCTCGGGTTGTGGAGCCTCGCTCGACTGTCGAGAAAAAGCTGAAAGTTTGGAGAAGAACATGCTCAGTGTTTGTAATTTCTGGTCTTGCAGTGTCGAGAAGTGTAATATCTGAATGAGCTGCTCGACGATTTGCTTTGAGCACGAAAGCGCATATGAATATCTCTCTACCTGATGTGGCGACCGTTGTGTGACTAAAATAGAGACAACATGCAGGATGGACAAAGGGTCTCTTGGTTGTCTGCGGCGATCATGTGAAAACGGGTGCTCAACCACACATGAATGGAACGAATATGAGTGCTTCGCGCTTCTCATATACTCGAATCAGTGGCAGGCTATCCTGATTATCAGACGGGAAAGTAGTAAATCGTTTCTTAGACCAACGTCCTTTGGATATATCGGATCTCTTCTTCTTCCTTATCTATGAAGCCTATAAAACCTTTCAACGGGATCGCCACCTATGAGGAGTGTTTCGCTTCGACCCGACTCTGTACAGGGCAATAGCTAGGAAGGACCATGCGGTCAAGCGGCAGAAGATTGTGTACTTTGACGGGCGGCCTGGGCTAATCAAAAGGAGGAACCCAACGACGCGCAGTAGTATGCTATGGTGGTGTCGTCATCATGGGCCGGATGCTCTGCAGATCTCAGTTCGCTTGGAGTATATACTGGAGGAGAATGAGATGCTTTTAGTCGGTCAAGGGGTCAAATATCTCGATGTTCATGTACTCCAGAGGGCGTAGAGATTGGTACAGAAAGTAGTAGGCAGCAGCAGAGTTGCCAACACAACTCTTCATCATTCTCATATCATTCTTCCGCCTTCTTGTCTGGTAGATTGCCTTCTGTCGGTACTCTGAGTCTATAATTATGTGAGTCTTTGGGATAACTAGAGAGATGAAATAGCTTCTCACTGAGCGCGAAAGTTCCATCTCGCCTTGCTATACCGTTTCGTCACAGTGGCGGTTTTCCGATCCCCTATCTCGGAAACATCTCGGGTATTGACCAGAGTACCTTGATCTCCTGGGTCAATGTCCTCACAGTAATCACCCATTTCCACGTTCACGAGTCTATATACGTTTCCTGATTCTTCTTCCAAATGTTTGAAAAAGTCCCTCTCGGTCCTATGGAATGAATTCGGGTCACTTGCCTTGGTAGTGACTTGCCCTCCGAAGGCCTGTTTGGTTGTGAACGGGCCTGAAAAATGTCCCTCTCTCAGATCACCAGAGGGAATAGGATAGTTTGCAAGTTCGCTTTGTGTTCCCAGTGCTGATACCGTGCCACAAGCGCCTATAGATCCGGCCCGAACCGAAAAGTTGCCCAAGTACCAATTCTGCCCCGACTCTGCCATCCACCCGCTCTTCTGCTTGGACATAGCAGTTTGAGGCAAGTTGGCAGTACGTGAGGTGGGTTTAGGAAGAAGGGTTCCAGTGGGCAAGGTATCGACTCTGTATTCTATCTCGGCAGGGAACTCGAGAGTGATATCATCGGTAGTGGCAGAGATGTGTCTATAAGTCGGTATGTGCTTGGAACTCTTGCCCAATTTGGACGAAAGGCGGGAAGACAAGGACTCCAACATGATTGGTGCTTGTGTGTCACTGGTGGCGGAGACTAGAATGCAGTATCTGAATGGAAAGAGTCAGCTGTATGACGGCTCGGCTTCTGAAGAGATCAGGAAGAAGAGCGTCTTATTCAGATGTCGTTGCTGTTGTGTGCAATTATTATATGAAGAAGGAGTGGGTGCGTGTAGTGGGATGCCTATTATCGTCTTTTCATGCTCGCGCATGTATGTTGGCGGGCTCTCAATTAGAACATCAATGGAAACGGGAGCATTACGGCCTGGTTCAGAGTACAAATGTTCTACATGAAGGGAAAAATGTTTGCAAGGTGGATAAAGGAGCTACTAGATAGTAGGAAGGAGGATATGTATGACCGGCAAGTCGTTCAACACGATGACCATGTTTGCCGAGTTGCAGCAGCGGCCAGTGAGGTGGTACCATCTTCTGCTCAGAAGGGAAGGTTGTAGAGCGTGAGCAGCTTGCTTTTAGTCCTGATTTCATCGTGACAAATATCGGGTTCTGTGTAAGGCAGCTCGTATTCTTCGAAGCGAACTCTATGGGACAAAGTCATTATCGCTGCATTCTTCAGCTCGTCAAAGGAATACCCAGAAACCGACAATCTCATCAGTTCACCAGATATCTCAGCTGTATTGCTTTGCTACTTCAGTCTATATATCTGTCAGGGCTGCCACGTAGTGCCAGCAAAGAAGGATGAAAACCGCTCACCTTGCTTCAAAGTTCCAACTGGCATATTTCATACCGCTTCCACATCATGACCATCTTTCCACCCTCATCCTCTTCCTCATACTCTACCTCTACAGTGTCCCCTTTATGCTCCTGCCCAGGACTATCTATGATATCCACACTACTCAGCATGCACTGGTTGGTTTGTTGGCATTGCGAGGTGACGAGTTTATATAGAGGATGGAGGGATAAAGGATGTCTTCAGTCGGTATCGTCAGCGCGACACACTTTATCCACATGTCTCTCAATATATCATCCCAATACCGCCTACTCTGCCCCTCAGATCAATGGAAGCGGTATCGAAAGCGTGATGCAGACCACCTAAAGAGAGTTATCTTGATCAGTAGAGTAGGCGAAAGAAGCAGGGATGTGTGATTCTATTTCGGGTCGTTTGGATGGTTAATATAGAGACTCGGCTCCTTTGGAGGGCTCTGGCAGAGAACGGCCATTGGAATCTGGGGTTATGACTTGAGGGACATTGGGCGAGGTAAAGAGCAGACAGAGGTTGACAATGCGTTGATGAGTGCATAATTGTACAAGTCCCATGATGCCATAATGTCTATCCTTGTCTCTGCGCCGATGTCAGCTTCGTAAAGACGATTTCATTGGAGAGATCTCACCTGCTTGTGCTTTGGGTTTTTCGAGCAAATGACATATATTCTCCCCTTTCTCCTCACAACCAAACACCCATCACAGAACTTCTTGACACTGCTCCTGACTTTCATGCCCCTCACTTGTCCGAGCCCTTGTTGTTGCGAGAGCGGCGACAGCGCATTGCTCCGAAGTGGTGAAAGCGAAGCGACTAATGACGGTGAGGTCGGTCGGAGGGAGGGGGTGAGTGCGCGCGAGGGTGGGGGGCAGGAGGAGCAGCACCTCTGCCCCGCAGGTGAAGGGCGGGCCAAGGGGAGGGGGATACGTTTGAGGAGGTTGAGCATTGTGCGTGTGGGTATAGCTGGGTAGAAAGGGGCGAGATTGCAAGAGAAGAGTGAAAAAGTGCCACACCGGGAATCGCCGCCTTACGCCGGTGGTAGCGACCTCGCTCTTACCTCCACTTCCTCCACTGTGTTCCCTCCACCTGCCTCCACCCTCCCTCTCCATCTTGTCTCCATCGCTCCCCTGCCGCTGTAGTCGACCAGAGACCAACGCAGCGCACACGTCACGAGTACTACTACCGAGCGCGGCTCTCCCCGCCACCCTACGGATTAGTCAGCGAGGCCTGATATGGCAGCCATCCCAGCCCCGGCGGACAGCCCCGTCGTCACAGAACCATCTCCCCTCTCACTGGCGCCCCCGCCTCCACCTACCCCTGCCACCGGCGGCTCGGGCCGCGGGAGGAACAAGGATGGGAAAGAGAAGGAGTCGTTTGCCTGTACTTTTCCCGGATGTGGTCAGGTAAGTGTTCGCGATGAGATGTTGGATGATGGTGCTGAGGTATGTGCTAGTCGTACAGCCGTATGGAGTATCTCAAAAGGCATCAGAGGAAACGTAAGTGTTGCCACCGAGGTAGCAAAGATTGCCGGCTTCAGGGAGTAACGCAAAACTGACCGCGCGCCTTTCAGACCAAGACGACAGACCATTCCAGTGCAAAGACTGTTCCAAAGCATTCGCCCGAAGGTGATTTCTCTCCCACCACATGCTAGCCCCCAATACTGATAGCAAACAGTGATGTACTCCTCCGCCACCGCCGCCGATGCCACCCCACCCCACCCCCAGTCGACCGCGACACCTCCCCTCCCCCCTCCAACCGGATCTACAACAACATGCCCGTTTCATCCTCCCGCACCGACGCCCGCGAACAATCCCCCCCTCGCGCCCGGGGCCGCAAACACGCCCGCCAAAGTGACGCTGCCGACGACCAGCGCGACCGTTCGCGCCCCCGGATCGATCCTGCTCTGCAACACGAGCATGAGCCCGAGTATGCTGCCGAGCACGGCGCGAATGGGGAGCATGATGAGCGGTATGAAGAGGAGAGGGGGTATGATGGGAATGTGTATGGGCAGTATTATGGGCAGACGAACCAGGATGACCATCCGAATTATTCGTCTCACCTCATGCCGATGTTTGCGCAGAATCAGGCGTATCACAGTCTCAACGACCCGAATCATCTTGAAGATGCGTCTGTGCTGCTCAGTATGGCTTACCCGAGTGGGGTACCAGGCGGCGAGGGACAGCAAGAGCAGGAGCAGAGGGATCTCCCGGACTGGGCGAGTAATCCGACAATCAACTTGATCATGGAGACTGCTGTGGCCAGCGCCAACGGCGAGCATGATGCTCTGCCCAAAGATACGAACGGTGACGGCCAAGAGGGGGCAGACGCATCTGCCGAGAAAGAGAACGGCACTACGCAAGCCGAACCGACAGCCGCGCAAGTCATCTCCAACCTCGCCGAAGCCGCCGCCGCTCCCCAACCCATCCCCAACGGTACTTCCAACGACAACCCCGCCGTGAACGGTGATTCAACGGAAGGCGGGATCAGTTCAGAAGTCATCGATCCGACTCTGCAAGACGGGACCCCGGGGTCCGAGGGTTTTCTCAACGCGATGAGCTGGTTGTCGGGACTGGACAACCAGGGAGTGTTAAATTTGAACAAGAGCTCTACTTTGGGGACCTCGACGTCGACATCGGCGGCGACATCGAGGGAGGGGAGTCTGGGGAAGAGTATGTCAAGCTCGACGACGCAGGAGAGTCGGGGGCAGGAGGTGGCGAGTTTGAAAATGGGCTTCACGCCTGAGGAGAATTCATTTCTCATGACGTCCCTCTTTTCGCCCTCTGCTCTCAACGCTTCTCTTGGTGGGAACAGTAACGATGGTTCTACGGAACAAGCATCCACCCCGCACATCCTCTACATCCTCGAACAACTCGCCAAATACGAAGTCCCCCAAACCATCGCCAACCCCAACCCCGAACGTCCTCTTCTCCGGCTGGACCACGCTGCCATGGCGCTCCGAGCAGGCGAAGCATTCGATCAAGACTCGCGTTTCTACCTCCCAGCCGAACGCTTTGCTGGTTGCTACCAAATTCCGCACTGGGCCCTACCACCGCTCAAGACGTTGTCTGTGATGGCGTGCCGGACGTTTCATACGGTGCTGAACCATTTCTCCTTTGTCCATTTACCGACCTTCAAACTCGTCGACACCGCCGCCTGCCTCGCATTCGCAATCTGCACAGTCGGCGGTATTAAAACCGGCAACGCCTCCCTATCCGACCGTTTCCTCTGGCGTTCGCCCGAAGGGAACGGCCGACCATCATCAGTAGGTGCAGGAGCCTTGGATGGGCCGGTTGTGCCGGATCAGAGCTGGGAGAGTTTGTACGAGGATAATTGGTATAGATGTACGGAGCCGGCTAGGGCGGCGGAAGTGAAGAATGTGGCGAATTGGGCGAATGGGCCGGTTGTGAGGAGTGAAAAGACGAATATGCTTGTCAAAGTGAGTCCTTCCCCTTCTTCCCCTTTCTATACAAAGCAGGAAAAGAAGGAGGCTGATGGGGGTTGAACAGTCGTTTTCCCTGGCGAAAGGGGTGTTGATGACAGAGTATAATGTGGCGTTGTTGCAGGCGTTGATCTTGTATCACGCGCCGAATTTTTTGAGTGAGAATGAGAGAGAGAGGGTGCCGGCTAATATGTTCCTTGGAACCATCGTCAACGTGAGCCACACACTTCCCCTCACCGTACAACAGCTCACGAAGCAAAAACAGATTACCCGCCAAATCGGCTTCTTCACCACCGAAAACGACCACGTCACCCCCTCCATCTCCCTCCCCTCCGAGCCCTTCACCCCACACGAACTCGACCGCGCCTGGCACGACTGGATCCAACTCGAAACCCGACGGCGCACCGCCTTCCTCGTCTACCAACTCGACACCATCTCGTCCTTCGAATCCAACATTCCCTGCATCCTATCCGGCTGCGAGGTGGCGTATCTGCCATTGCCCGCGCCGGACAGTTTGTGGAAAGCGCCGAATGCGCAGAGTTGGTTGAAGGGGGTGAAAAACTATAGGCCGATGACGTTGGACGAGGCGATGAGGAGGACTTTTTTTTTGCCGACGTATGGGGCGTTTGATGCGTTGCACGAAAAGGCGGATACGCAGTTTTACAATCTGCTCAACCAGAGCGATTACGGCCCTTTTGCGCGGATGGCTATGGTCATCACCTTGCTCAGAGGTATCATCGATATTGGAGAAGGCAAGCGCGATAGAGGGGATTGGCGGGATTTGACGGATCTCTGGGTGGGGTGTTCGTGGTTGAAGCCGGGAAAACAGATTATCGCGCAAGATGGCACGGATCTGGGGATCATTACGCGGGAGAGTCTGAAAGAGAGGTTTAGGCTGGGCCTGCAAAAGTGGAGGGAGGGGTGGGACTTTGATAGTCTTTGTTCGAGTCCGACGAGGGCTGCTACAAGGCATTATAAGAGGCCTGGGGCGGCAAGCGCGGGGATGAGTCCGGAGAGTGATTCGACGTCGCCGAGGGAGGATGAACAGAGTATCCCGAAGGAAACCTTGAATTACTGTGAAGGTGAGTCCCCTTCAATATACATGTTGATCAAAGCTAACAATATCAAAAAGACGCTCTCCCGCTCTACTGGCTCGCCTCAGGCCTCCTCGGCGCCATCATCAGCAACACCACCCACAAACCCGGGCAAAACATGTTCTCCGGCTTCAACTATGGCGACATGCTCAAGTCTGCGCGCACGTTTACGAGGACAGGCGAGGGGGTGCCGGTCAAGTTACGAAACATGTCGGCGAGCCATGCGCGGAATGAGAGGCATCCGAGTGCTGGTCCGCCAGTGTACGGGGATGCGTCAAGGAATCCGAATATGCCGACGCCGACGTCGGCGTCGTCTTCAGCTTCGTCTGGCCCACCTTCAAACCCACCTGCTTCCCTCGACCCATCGACGCATTCTTCACACTCCACCATACCCACATCAGTCTCTCCACCAGACCAGGCTGGGAACGATATCATGAACCAAGAACTCTCGTCGCTGGCGGAGGGTATGAGCGATGGGACGTTTGCTGGGATTATGCAGGCGTTGACGGCGGGCTCGGGGGATTTGAGTATGCAGATGGGGTTGATCAATGAGCAGGGGGAAGGGGAAGGTGTCAGGGAGGGAGCTGGGGCTGGGGCAGAGGGTGGGAATGAGGGGAATGGCGGAGGGGAGGAGAGTTTGCAGGGGTTGTCGGATCAGGATATTGCAAAGCAGCTGGGGTTTATGATTTAGGAAGAAGCGATGTGATTCTGAATTTGGATATGTAATGGGAATCATAGGATATCGTTTCGTGGGCCGTGGGTGGAGTTTTCTATAGCTCGTGTATTGAATTAGTCTCACGTTCCGATACATGCAGTCGCGCTTTCCAACTGAACGCATATTGGTATACTTCTGTACTCGTACTTTACTCTAGGTGAGTGTGACGGAGAGACCGGGCTCTGTACTCGGGTAGTATATATATCTGAAAGACATGTCTTTTTGACCGAGAGCCCTCCCCAGCAGCTTCAAGCCGCTAGCAACGCCTATATCGTCCCATCTCCTCAATCGTGATACGTCCTCAACGCCTCCTGCAGCCCCTCCCAAACATACCCAGCAGCCACCTCCCTCCCAATCCTCCTCCCGCCATCCGTGACGATCTCCTTGAGCTCGGCGGCCCTTTCCCAGATCTTGGTAGCCTCGGCTGCATCGGGGGTGGCACCGACGACTTTGAGGAGGGCTTTGGTGAGGGTTTTGGTGTCGCATCCGGGCCTATGATGAGTAGTGTCAGCGCTTGGAAGGTTGGAGGGGTGTGAGAAGGAAGGGGAGAACTTACGCAGAGCCTTTGTTACCCCAAGCACCATTGCCGAGATACTCGAGACGAGCGGCAAAGTCGTAGCAATCTACCCAGGCCGCGAGGATAATCTGTGGGGTACCCGTCCTACATCGTATCAGCTTTCTGTATCACGATCAGTGTGATGATGTGTAATCACTGTAAGGCTTCATGGTAAGAGTTCGACCCTCCGTGATTCACGAAGCAAGCAATGTTGCCAGTCTCGAGGATCGCAATGGGATCCGCCTCGAGCCACTGAACCACCTTGACCCTATCCTCCTTCTCCTTCCACCCAGCAATCTCAAACTCGCAATCCTTCCTCACCTTCCACAAAACCTGGATATCCGGCCTCGCATCGAGCAACACATTCAACGCCGCCATCACCTTGTTTGCATACTCTTCCGACGTGACAAAGTGCGAGCCCAGCACGATCAGCACCGTGGGCTTTGCCATGACCCATTCGTACATCTTTTCATCGACCTCTTGCAGAGGCTTGCTATGCTGCAAGATGGGTCCGCAGCAGATGACGCCAGGAGGGTAGACAGCGGGGATCTCGGCTTCTGGGGTGGACATGCACATGATCTTGGAGTATTTGGTTTGATGGGCCTGCCATTTGGGGAGGAGGTCTGGGTAGCCGGCGGCGTGGCGGGTGCGGATGAGGGTGAGGAAACGTTCGTAGCGGCGAAAGTAAAAGAGAGGGAAGATGGAGGCGACGATGTTGAGCGGGATCAGGTGCCAGGGGACGAGATAGGCGTAGCCGGACACGAGTCTGTACAAAGGTCAGCTGTCATACCCCAAGCCTGGACGCTGGACTCACGCTGGCCATTTCCAGAGTCTAACGAGCCCTTGGTTCTTCCCGGCTACCTCCTTGATGGTGTTGGGGCTGATCAAGATGAACTTGCGGCCGGAGTTGATGATGGCATCTCGAGCTTGGTCAAAGAGGTCGTCACAGACGATAAAGTCGGGGTTGACGTCGGCGAGGATTTTGGCGACATCGTTTGCGCTTGCGACATACACTTCGGGGCTCTCTGGGTGGAGGAGAGGGAGAAGACGGGGGTAAGCCATACAGGCTGGGAAGAAGCCGGTAGGGGAAGAGATCGTCTTGAATGCCTCCTCTGTGAGATAGTCAGTCGGTGTCTCTGGGCGAGCTCGAGAGGACTCACGAAGACCAGCTTTGGGACTACCGGTGATCTTCTCAAAGTACCTGACGATTCCTTCACCTTTGACACTATGAAAAGTGACTGAAGGGGGCGTTCGATTTTCGAGCTCTGGATAGGAACAAAGGTGAATGTCAATATCATCTCCATAGTGCTCGCGGAGACATGTGATGACTGCGAACTGGCAGTTGGCTTGACCATGTTCAGGACTGTGGTGTATTTCAGCATAGGTTATTTGGGCGCAGAAGAACACTCACGAGGTCAAGAAAAGAAGCGAGGGTCTCTTTTCGGAAGACATCGTGTCAATCGTCAGTCGTGTTGGAGGGGAAGAAGGTAGAAGAGGGGGTGAGCTGCACGCTGCCCCCAGTTATATCAAGATCCGTGGGGGAGCATACCGAGAGGATAGAGTTAAACAGTTTGCGATGGGAATGAAGGAACGAAAAAGGGAAGATTGAACGGGAAAGAGTTATCAGTCAATCATCTTGCGTTCTTCTCCACCGGTTTCATCCGTGATCCTTACCCCGCGCTCCCCCTGTTTACTAGTTGGTTTCATCGGCAGAACTGCGCGACCCGATGGGCTTGGGTGTGAGAAGCGAGGCCCGGGTGGTCCCCAAAGAACATGGCGAAGGTCTATGAATGATCTGGGGTCTTGTTGATGGGAGAGACGATGGCGAGTCGAATGCGATTTATGTAGATATGCCCAGGCATTTGCGGAATAAAGAGCTTACGCTATCACTGTTGAGATATGCTACACCCTGGAAAAGGAGCTGCCAGATGCTGGAGGTTATAGGCGGCGCACAGACATGCAAACAAACGCCCCAAAAGTGAAAGGTGAGTCGTGAGACAAAAAGTCCGCGCAGTACATATGTGGTCCTGGTGCCTCGTTCCTGAACTTTGAATCTTGAATCTGCGGATGCAACTACATAGCGCCGGGTATCCTTCTGGGCTGCTTTCGAGGCACTTCACTCAACTTGTCTGCTATTCGCTGTCATTCGCCTATCAGTAATGTACCATACATATATACTGCCTATGACATATACCCAAAATCATGAAAAATAAGACACGACGAGACGATACACAGCCGCCACCAGGAATCAGCCACAAATAGCGTAGTAGAAGACTTTTTCCACAGTGTTTGTGACCCAGGAATACGGTACGAGTACTACTCGCCGATATGGCCTTCCAGTAGCTAAAAAGTGGTCATGATACAGTAAGCAGTCTATAGACGACGTATATGCCACCTGGATAGGTACTCACCAGCCATAACTGAATGCTGCCAGTAGCGCCTACTACTACGCGTTCCATACAAACATTGCGATCAACAAAGCACCCAAGAAGTACACTCCTTGGACAGCTCCCGAAGCATATTCAGTCTTCGGTACATCCAAGCTAGGCTCTCTTTGTCCTAGCATCACCACTCCCAGAGCTGCAAGGCCCATGCCGAGCAAGGTACGCCCATCGCCAAAGATGACGTCTTCCAAAGCCCAAATCAACGACTCGATCGTCTCTAGTAGAATGACAATAAGTGGTGTCAGTCCACTCTGAGCACCCGAGATTGATACTTCAGCGATAGGTACTATGGCAGTCGATGTCCAGCCAATCCACCCGACCCATGCAAAACTCCAGTCTGCAAGGTAAGCGCAGAGCAAGAACACAGTCATTGCGAGTACCGCCTGAGTCGAGGGTGGCAGATAGTCGGGTTGCGAGTATCGTTTCTTGGGGTAATCCATGACCCAGTCATAAAGGAGGGGAAGAGCGACTATCACAGTCGTTATGAACATCTTGTATAGCCTGTCGGGATTTGCTGGACCGGTGAACCGGAAGTGTATGGGCTCCCATACCGTTTCCTCCACTATGACTGGCGGAGCTTCTGCCGCTGAGGATGATGACGTTTCTTCGACTACTACCTCAATTGGGGGAGCATCCCCGCCTCCCGATCCGCCTGGGGAGTTTACATTATTGTTGATATTGATTTGAGTTTTAGGCTCTGGTGGGGTGTCGTTGACTACCCATCGCGTCTCAGCCGCTCTGGATCGTCTAGCTTTAGCACTGGCAAAAGCCGCTCTAGCTCTTGTGGAAGCCATGACAGGCGGCTTCAACATGCTCGCCAGACCCCCAGACCCAAGCACAGAAGGCCTACGGAGAGTTGGTGTACTGAGCATTGGCATGCTCGGCTTACCGAACATTGCGATGAGAGGGATGAGAAGCAGCAGTCCCAACAATAATGGCGGGCTGAACCATGATTTGGATCTCTCGCCGCCATGTTTTTTACTGTGTTTTCCAGAAGAGGAGTCCCCCGTTCCACCGTCACCTGTGCTCGCGGCCTCCCGCCTCTTCCTTTCTTTTCTCTGCTCCGGTGTCTCGTTTGCTCGCTCGCGCTTCTTGCGCTCGGCTCTTTGTTCTGGAGTCTCGTTGGCTCTTTCAGCCTCGCGTTTCTTGCGCTCCTCTCGCTCTTCTGGCGTCTCATTGGCCTTTTCAGCCTCACGCTTCTTACGTGCTTCTCTTTGTTCTGGCGTCTCATTCGCCCTTTCTTGCTTCTTACGTTCTGCTCTTTGTTCTGGCGTTTCGTTTGCCCTTTCTTGCTTTTCCTTTTCCCTCTTCTCCCGTCTTTCTCTCCTCGCTTTCTCCTCTGGAGTCTCATTTTCGGCCGGGGCACCGGTGGTGGATCCCCCACCTCCTCCGCCATTGGTCGTTGTAGCACCATCAGCCTTAGCTTTAGCCTCAGCCTCACGCTTCTTGCGTGCTGCTCTTTGTTCTGGCGTCTCGTTTGCCCTTTCTTGCTTTTCCTTCTCCCTTTTCTCCCGTCTTTCTCTCCCCGCTTTCCCCTCTGGAGTCTCATTTTCGGCCGGGGCACCGGTGGTGGATCCCCCACCTCCTCCGCCATTGGTCGTTGTAGCAGCATCAGCCTTAGCTTTAGCCTCAGCCTCACGTTTCTTGCGTGCTGCTCTTTGCTCTGGAGTCTCGTTGGCTTTTTCAGCCTCGCGTTTCTTGCGTGCATTTCTCTCCTCCGGCGTTTCGTTGGCTCTTCTTTCAGCCTCGCGCTTTTTACGTTCTTCTCTCTGTTCTGGTGTTTCATTGGCTTTTTCTTGTTGCTTACGTGCCTCTCGTTGCTCAGGCGTCTCGTTGGCTCTCTCCTGTCTCTCCCTCTCCCTTTTCTCTTTCTTTTCCCTCTTTGCTTTCTGCTCGGGGGTTTCATTCTCGGGGGCACCGCTCGGGGCAGCTCCTTGCGTCGAATCTGTACCACCACCAGCTTGTTTACTGGCCGCTTCACGCGCCTTGCGTGCTTTCCTCTGTTCTGGAGTTTCGCCGGATCCATTACTGGGCGCGGATCCTCCCGCCGGCGGGTTGGCCGGGTTCCCACCACTACCAGTGTTGGCTTTGGCATTTTTAGCGTCCTGGGCGGCCTTTGCAGCAGCTCTAGCTTCCTCCTTCTCCTTCTTCTCCTTTTCTCTTTTCTCCTTCCCTTCCTTCTCAGCTTTCTCTATCGCGTGCTTTTCTTTCTCCGCTTTTTCTGCCTTGATAGCTGCATCTCTTTCCTTTTTGGTCTTTGAGTCGGATCCAGCATTAGATGCTGGTGGTTGGCTTCCTCCATTTGCAGCCGCCTCAGCCGCTTTCCTCGCGTCCCTTTCAGCTTTTTGGGCTGCTCTTGCATCTTCTCTCTCCTTCTTTTCCTTCTCTTTTTTCTCCTTTGCCTCTTTTTCTGCCTTTGCCGCTTTGGCAGCTGCGTCTGTCTCCTTCGTACTCCGGCCTCCAGGATCTGCTCCTCCTTTTGCAGCTGCTTCAGCTGCGGCTTTGGCCTCTTTCTCGGCCTTGGCGGCTGCTCTCCCGGCATCCCTCTCCTTCTTCTCCTTATCTCGTTTATCCTTCGCTTCCTTCTCGGCCTTCTCTCTCTCTTTTCTTTCCTTCTCAGCTTTTGCTGATTTTGCAGCTGCATCCTGTTCCTGCTTGCTCTTTGCCTCGGATCCAGAATTAGATGCTGGTGGTTGGCCTCCTCCATTTGCAGCCGCCTCGGCCGCTTTTTTAGCATCCTTTTCAGCTTTTGCTGCTGCTCTCGCTTCTTCCCGCTCCTTCTTCTCCTTCTCTCTTTTCTCCTTTGCGTCCTTTTCTGCTTTTGCAGCTTGGGCAGCAGCTTTGGCGGCTGCTTCTTTCTCCTTCTTGCTCTTTCCGTCGGAGCCTGCAGTTGATGCTGGCACGCCTCCATTCGCAGCCTCTTCAGCTGTTTTTTTGGCCTCCTTTTCTGCCTTTGCAGCTGCTCTAGCTTCCTCCCTCTCTTTCTTCTCCCTATCCTTTTTCTCTCTCGCTGCTTTGGCCGCCTCTCTCTCCTTCTTGCTCTGTCCGTCGGCGCCTGTGGTAGAGCCAGCAGGTTCGTCGCTTCCATTCGCTGCAGCTTCAGCAGCCCTTCTCGCCTCTTTTTCTTTCTTCTCCCTCTCCCTTTTTTGCTTTGCTGCTGCCGTTTTCTCCTCCTTCTCTTTCTTGTCTTTGGCGGCTTCGTCACTGCCGTTTTCCGCGGAGCTGTCTGGTGTAGCACCTCCCGCGGACGTTTTGTTGATGGACTTGGATTTCTTTCCGTCCTTCTCATCGCTGGACCAGCTAGCGTTGAGCGCTATGATAATAATAAGAAGCAAAGCCAAGGCCAGACCGGCACCCGGCAAGTCGACATGCTTGAAGTTGGTTCCATTCGACAGGTCTTCGTCCAACGTGGCGTTGGCGCGCTCGGTTGCGTTCGTCTCGATGGGAAGCTTGTCCCGCAGACAGTCGCCCGGGTGAAGGTCGCAGTAGTGTTGCCGGAGATCGGACGGTGGTGGGTAGAATGAAGGAGGGGCAATGACCACCTGTTGGTTGCCATTCTGGCTGCTACTACCGGCCGCTGGCAGAGAGTCATTCGGCAGGATAGGCGACGAGTACGGTATCCAGCTCTCCTCGAAAATCTCGTCGTCGTAATAGTCTTCCTCTTGCCGGTAATCGCTGGGATCAATCCACTCGTCATGTATCTCGATATCGTCGAAAGGGTCCTCCTCCGAGGAAACATACTCTGGCAAGTCATAGATGGGCTCAGGAGGACGGGAGTAGTCTTCAACAAATCCATAATCTGGATGGACCTGGGGCGGGTAGTCGTAGTTGGGGAGAGGCGGGGAGGCATGATCAATGTAGTCTGGGGGTGCTTGCTGAGGGTACGCTGGCGGGATGTCTTCATAGATGGGGAAGGCCTCCATCTTTACTTGAGCCACGATACAGTAAAGGGTGCATCTGTACATATACCAGACAAATAAAATGAAGTATGTGATTCAGATCCTTTGTTACACAGGCAAGAAGGGAGCGGTGAAAGGAAGATGTTCTGCTAGAATGCAAAGTTCGTGCATTACACATGTAGAGTAATAGTGCTACAGAATCTTATCATGGGGTCGAGACCACATCCACTGTCAAGATTGCTACCAGACCATCTGAGACTTCCTCACCAACTACTTGTACTCTTCCGCATATGATTACGTCAGTGGTCCACCAAAGGATATGACATACCCGGTATAATGATTCCATTCAGCTGCGATATGTGTCAGGCTTGTTGATGAACTTGATATGACATGAAAACCACTTACTGCGATTACTCGGCAACAGCCCGTCCTGGTAAGTGATCCTTGTTCGGTATCTATATCCTCTCTTTTCGATCTCCCCAGTTAACTCTGAGCGGGTGGTAAGCTCGTTTTCTATCGCTTTTCCGGTGATGTTGCCACAGAAAAGGTCTCGTCCTTGATCGTAACTGCAGTGGATATGTAAGTCACCAGATTTATGAAAGATTACTTCTTACATACGCGTCAGTGCCAAGATTATGATTAGTCGTGCTATCCATCTCAGCAGATGAGCTCAGAAAGTACGCCCCACTACGTCCCCTGTGAGCTTCATGCTTGCATCAGCAGCACACAATGAGAATTACCTAGTTGCTTGTTTGAAGATCCTCACATGATTACCGCCATATATTGATTCCAAACAGGTTCCTAGAAAGTGGTCATGGAAGTATTGATACCTGAGTATACTTCGTTGCGTTTCTTGTTATGTTCTGTCAGCTCCAGCACTAGTCGCGCTAGTAGCCTCTTCGCTGAGAGGCACAAAACGTCAGCAGACCTTGGACTCACGATTTTTATCACCATCTCCCAGATTGACTTGCTGTGCGTCCCCCATATGCAGCCCCATACACTCCCCGCCAAATCCTGCCGCCTCTAGATAGTTGTAGAGCCCACCTTCAAACATCGTCTCGGCCAGGACGCGGGGGGAGGATCGGTTGGAGATAATGATATTGAGAGGTTCACCGAGGTTGGCTGGCGTGGTCCATAACGTGTACTGGACTTATCTCAGAAGTGAATATTAAATGAAAAAAAAAAAATGACGCACAGTGAGCATAGTCCCATTCCCTTCTTTGGGATCTATGAATCCATTCTCGGCATAAACAGTCGATAACAGGACTGTTTGCGCTAAAGCTAAGGTTAGTAGCAGAAACATTGAGAGTATGGCCAAGGTATCAAGTATGGCACTCTTGCATAGACTGTGATATCAACGAGATAGACCATCCTTTGTCTTGCTTCAAAATACATCTAGCCCCAAACTAAGGCAGCACAAAGGATCTGTCCTGCTGGATGTATCAGTTCGAGGTCCAAGACACCGCGGGTTACCAGCCATCGAATCTTTATCATCGCCTCCATCGCGTAGCACATGGTGGTATACCTTAAGACATATGTTTTTCTGCGAGATCTGTCTTCTTCTTAGGATCCTCCTCATTCGCCCTCGAGATGATAAGGTAAATCAATCCCACAGCGGCAAAGCATAGTATGATGGTAGCCTCTTGCCAATTGTCCAGCGCTAAAGAGTCTACCGGATCCACCGGCGGGGGTGCTATCACTGCTGCGGGAGCTACAGTGACATAGACGCTTAGTACCTTTCTCCAGCCAAGGGGAGGAAAGTGATAGCTTACGAGGAGGAGCTGCTTGTGGGACGATGACAATTTTCGGATCGTCGGCAGGAGGCGGGCTGGCGTGGATGATTTTCGTTTTTGGCCTGCTTCGCTTCGTCTTATGTTGTACACCTGCAGCTCTGTCAGTTGTCATGTAAGCTCCATAACATCAGCACTTACTGTGTACACTGATCTTCGGCCTTTTCTCTCTCATCCTTCTACCCTCTCTTTCTTCTCCATAACCATAATCGTCCCCCCGGTTGTTGTTGTTGTTGTTATTGTTGTTGTTCCCTTGATTGGCAGCGCTGTTTTGTATGTTCTGCATACTTTGATGAGTCATAGCAGCCATTTGAGCGGCTTGCTGTTGGCCAGCTTGCATTTGCTGCATCATCATCTGGTTCATCATCATCATTTGCATTTGGTCTGCCATCTTGTTTGACGAGGACGATGAAGAGGAGCTGGCGTCCTGTCCGCCTTGCGTGATGATCTGGATAGTCTGGGGTCTGTATGTCGTCAGCAACAGACGGGTCGAGCCAGGGGCAAAGACGGACAATTCTTTCTCTTTAGGCTCTTTGTACCTTTTAACCTGCTTATACTGCCTTTCCTCCCTCTCGTTCGCTCGGCCCTTCTGCTGCTGCTGCTGAGGTGGCGAAGAGGGCGGGACCGGTGCTGGAGGTGGTGGCGGAGGAGGCGCTCCTTGCCAAGGATCATACGGGTCGCGCGGATGATGATGATAATGATACTGCAGTCGCATCCCATCATCTGAATAGTGCTGGGGCGGTACATGGCCGGGGTGATGAGGAGGAGGAGGGACAGAAGGGTGATGGACGTCCGGTGGCATAGGCTGCGAGTACACCGCAGGTGCATGACCCTGGACGTCAACGTTTTGATGGCCATTTTTGGATGCCGCCGGGTCGTTTGACTGCGGATAGTGATACAGCCCCTGAGGGTCTGCGGGTGGTACATGATTAGGCGGAGGAGATGATGGTGGGAGATTTTCAAGCGGAGGGTAGTATCCTTGCCCTTGAGGGGGGTGAGGAGGAAGAGGTGGAGGAGGTGGTGACTGTTGTTGAGCGTAGTAAGGAGCCTGGTGGGCTTGTTCTGGGTATTGCTGCTTTGTCTGAGCGTATGGAGATTGTGGAGGGTGTGATTGGTGCTGTTGATAGTACTCGGGTGGGTACTGACCAGAATGGTTATCCTGGGGAAAGCTGAAATGTTTGATGAGCTTCCGGGGTTCATGACTAGTCGCAAACGCCGCTACTAGTACCCTGTTGACTGATGGAATTTATCTTCGACTTACCTTGGATATCCCCCCTGCATCATTGGTGGCTCAGGCGTCGCCATGATTGTCAAGTATTCTCCCTGATAGATGTCGGGATGTAATATCTGACAAGACTGGGATGTTATATTGGCATCATGATGGGCGTGAGATGTGGCAAAAGGAGGTGAGTCTACAAAGGATTCTCCCCGGATGGAGTCGGGGTAAAGGATCGGGCTTGGGGTAGGAGGCTAGGCTCCCATCATTGTCATGCTCTCTTGACAGGCGCTGAAGGGGTCATCCTACGCCGAATAACTGATACTATCAAATATGGCCTCGGGTTCACTGTTAACAGCAATTTCAGACCAAACACCGTATTTGCATTGGTACAGTATTTATGTTGCTATACTACAACAATTCTCTGTTGTTACAACATGTTATCACTTCCAAAATACCCTTATCATCTCCTAACCAATTGCTCTGCCATATGGGTCGGATATCCCCACAGTGGCCCTCCAGGCAAGGAAGCATACAGCACATCCGCCTTTCCCACACTATAACAAAAACGCCTATGATCCGGCTTCTGATATCTCAGATACTTTGGCTGCCCATACGTATGACCCCCCGTCAGCGGCGTCACAGACCCCCACCCAAAGAGCGGCGTTGGGCCGAAGCCGAGATCTTGTAAAGGCTGGGAAGGGGTGTAAGGGTGCGGTCGGGGATGTGCGTGGCCGAGAAGAGGGATGTAGTTTGTGGTGTACATGTGGGCGTTGTTGGGAGGCGGGAGAGTAGAATGGGGGGTGATAAATCCACCCTGGGGATTGTCGTAGTATACCTGCGTGGAGTGAGGATCGTGCGCGCTCGGATAGTGAGGCTGGCGATGAGAGTCTCGCTTGAGAAATCCGCCTTCAGGGTTGTCGTAGAACACGGGGGTGGGGTTGGTGTGGTAAGCAGGGCGATTGTGGGAGTCGCAGTGATGGTTCGCGTTGCCGTTGTGGCCTGAGTCAGAGGAATAAGTAGAGGGTGTGAAGTGGGCGTGGCGGCTCATGGCATTGACTGTCGTGTCGATGGGTGTTATAAATCTGATTGTACGATGGTGCATCAAGACCTCGCCACTGCACGGCAATGTCATATACGTTACTACCCGGGTATGTTCTACTCCCCACCCGATAACAAACAAACCTTTCACCCTGTCCTTTCAGTGGCCCCTCAGCCCCTGATCGTCCCTGACGGTGGCCGGGTTCAAGCCACCCGATGACCCGGGTTGAGACTCATGAGCCTGGCCCGATAGTACACATCAGGTTCTTTCTCAAAGTAGCAGTTCAACAGTGAGAAAGAAAGGTGGAAAAAAAGGAAGGTGAAGCAGTGGTGAGGCTCTACTATGTGGCACATAGCGGCATGGCGGCAGGACGAGACGATGAGTACGACGTTGCAGATGAGCGCGGAGCGGAGATGATATATTGGAAGTGCGGGAAAGCAGCAGTGCGAAGAGCTCACGGGTGGCGTATCATGGAAGTCACTGAGCGAAATGTACACAGACATCGTGGAACATATGCATGGCTAGTACAGGTGACGATAGCGAAAAAGCTTATAATACAACATATTTTGTTGGACTTCTGACTCGTTCCCCTCACCCCTCGCCATCGTCTACCAATAGGTTCCCGACATGTAAGAGTAAGGGTTCTGCCCGTACCAGCTCCCCCCCCATCCAGTACCATAGTTCGGTCCCACACCATATCGCCCCCAGCCGGTGTACATGCTCCCGTACACGGGGTTGTAGAAGGGGGCAGAGGACATGATGGGGCCGGCGGCGGTGTACATGAGCATGCTGAGTGCTTGTAAGTGCATGCGCTTGATCGTCAGGAGGTAGGGACTTACTTGTTTAATAGGTGTCTGTTGTATTTGCTTCAAGCAATGGGCAGCTCTGCTGACAGTCGTAGGTGTTTCTTGTTCAAAGTGTGTTTGAAATAGTTGTTGTTGAAGAAAGAAATACTTGCGCCGCCGGCTGTCTCTTATATCTTTCCAGTTTGCCGAGTCATCCGACCACGGGCAATCTCGCACAAGACCTCACTGGGAAGTGTCCTCCTCACAACCATAAATTGAAACAAGTCACAATTCTCAGCATCCTTTGACCCATCCGGGGACCCCCAGGGCGGGGGCAGCCAAGGAGGGCTGTTTGTGTGAAAAGAGGTCAGGTGATGTCCTTTGTGTCCCATGACGAGTCTTTCTTTTGGATCCTTTATGATAGTCTTTGCTTTGAGATAACAAAAATACAGCAATGATGACAAGCGTCGCCGGAAACGTCTACAGCCGAAAGTTGCAGAACAGCCTGCTTGACGACACAAAGCTATGCCCACTGCGCTCATCAGTACGAGACGACGGTAGTCAAACATGAGTGCCTCCGCGAGCATTCCTTCCGGTTCGACATCAAGCGATACATCCGTAAACGTATACATCCCTCCAAGCTCTCCATTACTCACCTACTCGCCGGGGAGAAACGGTGTATCAGGCTCGTCTTGGCTTCAGGTGGATGGTGGTTCGAGCGAATGTCAGGGGCAGAGCACCTTTGCCGTTGAGGTTGACGCCCTATACTGTAAGCGTGTAGTCATCTCTGTAGGCGCCACAGCTGATTGAATTATCAGTCTCGGACATAGCATTCTTCTACTCTACATCCTCGTCATACACCGTCAAGGCTGGCCTCGACGGCTCCCTCTCAGCAACAACCTCTGATCAAGGCGTAGCAACGCTAAGCACTCAGAGCTTCGGTAACCACTCGGCCAGGTTGGAGTGCGAGGGTGGTGATGGAGGTGCAACTGGAGGGTTTCAGCTGACGAGGGTCATGCTTCAGACCGAAGTGGTCGAGTCTGGGTGCGTACTTCTCGATGAAAGAAGGTGAAAGGGTCCGAGCGCTGACATTGCTTCAGAACTCCCAACAATGCAACCCTAGACGACGCTTCCTCTCAAATAACATATGCGGGTTTCCAATCTACCTCTCCTTCCGGATCTTCCATAGAAGCCATCAACGAAGGCAGCTTCTACAAGAATACCATAAGCTGGACGAACGCTGCGGATGCTACGGCGGCCTTCTCGTTCACAGGTATGTCGCTTCTGCCGTCAAGAGCAAAATCGGACTGACATTGCGTGTTGGATGCAGGTTCTGCCTTGTACATATTTGGCATGACTGGCCCCGACTTTGGCTGCTTTTCCATCACCATCGACTCGTCCTCTTACGGCACATTCAATGCTTCCACCACCATATCAACATCCAGTACCCTCCTCTTCTTTACGACCTACCTCGACGCCGGCACGGAACATCAAGTGGAGGTCAAGAATGTCAACGACGGGATGGTCCTGGCTCTGGACTACTTTGTTGCCGTAGCGCCCCAAGGCTCTGGATCCGGGTCGGCGTCTGGCTCTGGTGGGGTCGGAACAGCGACAGCTACGGGAAGTAGAAGTGGTTCAAGCGCAACAGCGGTATTTGGCGACGGTCAAGCGAACGGTAACTCTGGACCAGGCGGAGATTCAACTGCAGGCATCATAGGCGGCATACTCGGAGGTCTTGCAGGTCTCGTACGTTCCTCTCTCCTCTTCTACCTGTTCTTAAGGCCAAACTCACCCAAGTTAGGCTCTCATCTGGCTCTGGTGGGCCTACCGCCGCTGGAAGAAAGCTGGTGGAGAAGGGTCGTTCCTCGCCGCCTTGTGCGGAAAAGCAAAAGGGAAGCCTGCACCGCCGCCACCGGAGAAGAAGAAGGATTGGCCGTTGTGGCCGATGATGTGGTCTCGGCCTAAGTACGCTGTACCAAAAGACTAATATCGCTTGAACTGCGCTGCAGTTTGTCGAGAAATGAACTACAGGATTAGTTCTTTCAAGTAAATTCGGCATGCACTGCGTGTAGTGAACAACGGCCCTGTTGAAGATCGTCGATCAAACAATTTGACTGGAGCACTCAATAGCAGTATGATCTGAGCCACCAACGATGACACTGAACACAGCTGCGACCAAACTATTATTATCACATGCAATTATCTGTCAGTTCCATATATCAATATCTATTGATTTTCCTATGGATCTACACGTATAATAATATCCTAAACTTCACAGGGGCCGCCAGTATACAGCAAGCATGGTAAATGCTAAGCGTGTTAACAGCCCCCAAACGATGCCCATCACATCCTCGTGTTCACCTTCCGTTTTGACGCCTACGAAGCGACTTTCACAACCGCATTTAACGCCCCTATATCATTGACGATTCCTTCAATTCGAACAGTGCTTGTGCCGCACAAATGTCTCAACCAGTGTTTGACTGAACTTAATCACAGCCATAATGACAAGTAAAGCCTTCATGATCGGCACTTCTCTCCTCATCGGCGCTCTAACAACCGCCATCGGGTTCTATCTGTACTCTTACGCACAGGAGCCAATATCGCCACCGTTAGTGCTGGACATTGACTTCGAAGGCGATCTACCGCCGACTGGTACTAGTTTGCGAGTAGGGCCGGGGAGTGTACTTCCTCAGATCATCACGGCGCCTACACCCGAGCTAGATCCAGAGGTGCCTCCAACGCCGGAAGCGACCCCGCCCCCGGCGCCCACCTCACCGTCTTCGCCTCCAGTACCAAAGAACATCTGGCCTCCAGGCTCCAAGCTAGAAAGAAGGCTCGCCAGAACGTTTGGGGCAAAATACGAAGAAGGGGATGTCTTTGATTGGAAGAGGTTTGTCGTCATCTCGTCTTCTTCTTACATTGACGATGATGGCATAGATTCCATACCGTAGTCTTTCTCAGCGAGAGTAAGCTCACCAACTCGGTCGCTCGGACTCCAGGTACGTCTCCGATCCAGCTCTTCAGCAGATTAGAGTGCCGGAAGGTAACATACCCTCTCTACTCTCTCGCCTCTCTTTGTTAAGGCTTAGAGCCCGCCAACGCACAAGACGCATACGACTATCTCACGGGCAAAGATTCTCCCTTCCTCAACAAAAGGGCAGACGGGAAAGTCGTTGACATGCTGTAAGTGGCTCATGCGATTGTGGAGATCGTAGAATGACGGGTGAAACAGGTTGGTGTTGCTAAACGATAGGGATAGGGATATGGGGGATGAGTTTCCGCTGATGGAGACGACCAAGTTCTATCTCCGATGGGGAAAGCTCCATTATTGACTCGTCTGGTGATTTGAGCTGCTGCATGCAACAGTTGATCTAAACAATCAGAAAGGTTCGCCAGGACATACCCCTGCTCCGAACGATCCCCGTCATTCTCCCATTCAAGCTAGAGGAATCCCGTCCCCACCCTTTCCTTCCTGATATACGCTACTCAAAGCATTATACTGATCCCGGACCGCTTTCACCTTCGCCTCCCACTCGGCTCTTTCCCCTTGTGGAACGTCGGCAATGAGGTCGGCGATGGAAAAGGCGGAGAAGAAATGGTTCGTTTTGTTGTACAATGGACGCTGGGCGAGCTGGGAGGAATCTTCGTGGGGAGAGAGGGAGGGGACCCGGAAAACCTATATCATTCATCAGCTGATGCTCTTGTCGTTATCCCGACGATACGACAGAAGACGAAGAGACCGAGATGGAGATGGGAAAAGATAAAGTATGTAAACGCACTTCTTCCAGGATTTTGATGTCGTGCGGAATGCTGAACGCGTCTCTGGTGTCTTCATAGGTGAAAAGGAAATGGATGTTGTCGAATCCGGACCACGTTATCCCTGATAGACCTAGGTGCAAGATATATGAGCACAAGAAGGGCGAAGTGGAGACACAATGGCCGAACACCCACATAAAGAACAAGGCTCATGTGTCGCAAAGAACACACAGTCTTTCGCATCTGGTCGCTTGGCTTTTGGGAGTGCATAAAAGTTTTGGATACACGAGATTTCTCCATGCTACAGGTTTATCAGCCGTCGTCCATCCCAATTCTCTTCCCATCGGAGCAGAGGAAGGGAACTCACAAGCAAAGGCGACTCTGTCTCTTGATTGGTCCCCGCAATCACCAAGCTAAGGTCATCCCTACGCAGTACGGCAGCGCCAAACACTTTGCAGCCAGCTGCGACGGCGGGAGCTGTAAGGGGGATGATATCGTCGGTAGTAGTTTTGAGGAGAGCTTTGAGTAGAGTTTGAGGTGGGTGGGAAGACATCTGGGTAGAGGGGTGGGATAGCTAGTGGTGAGTATGTATTAATGAAGCAAAGTGAGAAAAGCGCGAAGGAATCAAGCCAGATGAAAACGAGAACAACAAGAACCAGACAAGGAACCCCGAAAAAGCCGGGTGAAGTGAATGGGCGGGAGCCAGGCGGGAGCAGATAACGACGAGCTGAGCGTCGGTGCTCCGAGTTGGCAAGCCCGAGCAAAGCCCGAGAAGAGCGCTCAGCTCAGACGGATAAAGTCCCATTAGATATATCATATAAGAGCTCTCAAATGCCAAGTTTAATATGAATGTCTATCATCCAAATGCGCGTATTTATCTTCCATGCTCCTCCTATCCATCTTGCTCAGTCTTGCCAATAATGAAGCCGCCACCACCTTCCGTGTAACGGTCTCGCTCTATCCCCTCGTACTCTAGATCCATCTTCTCATCTGCCAGGTCCCTTGCGTGAACCATATAAGGCACCCCTGTCTTTCGGCTTCATAAAATCATCTTCACTAGCGCCTTTGTCAGAGCTGACTTCGCTATCCGAGACCGGCTGCAGCGGATCCACCTCCCGGACCCATACGATCTGCTTCCATAGTCATGTTTTTGGTGGGACCCACATTTCTGACCGGTGGTTCTTGGACACTCTTGTCGCCGATCTTGGTCCCCATCTCGGTCCCGACTTCCTCTACTATGACAATGAGCCGGACTCTGACAAATGTCACAAGGAAAGGCTGCAGACGGGACACGAGGATTGACCGAAGTGACAGAGGCCGTAAGTGCCATAGTAGAGGAAGTCGACGCGGCATGGAGGCGGTAACAGTGGGACCGAGGTGGGGACCAAGATCAAGAATCACCGGTCAAAATCGTACCCGGCAGCCTTTATCGCCTCAGGCTTCTACCCAAAACAATCTTGAGTTGCTTTGACCAGAGGAGATAGTTTGAGGCGGCGGTGAGAGGGGGTACCAAGGAGACGACATCCCTAAGGTGGGTGGCCCACAGATCACAGGCGTCCCAGGTGGATGGGAGAGAGGCGACAGAGACCGACATGGAGAATTTTCAGAGAGCGGTTGTCGTAGGGTTGTTGAAGGACCTTGTAGAGGTAACAGGAAGAAGTAGAAGGATGGTATATGCGGTCGATTTTCAGCTTCTCAAGGTCTCATAATCTGTTGTAAGGTTTGGTAGGTTTCATAGATAAGGAAGAAGAAGACATCTACTATGGAACACTCCAGCCGCAGGGTGTGCCGGCGGACGTGCTGGGAATGCCTCTCCGTTTCATAGATAATTTTGACCATGCATATCTCTTCATCTGCTTAAGATGCTTTGACCTGCCATTCTTGGCTTCTGCGCCCAGAGACATACCAACAAAGCAGATGCAGAGGCGTAAAGGGTTGAACGCACAGCGCTCGGGACACCCTGTACCGATGGGTTTCGCAGGATTTGCTATTTCTGGAAGGAGGGATTTGCCATTTCCAGCAAGAGGGATTTGCTGTTTTCGACAAGCTGGATTTGCTGTTTTCGACAAGCGGGATTTGCTGTTTTCCAAAATCGGAAAACCGCAAATCCTTGGTGGATAACGTTTCCGACCGGGTGTCCCGAGCGCTGTGCGTTCGCTCCTACTACGATAACCTCAGTCCTATCATTGCGGACAAGTAGTACAGTATCGAGGATGTGGAACGGTCAACATGTGTTGGGCCCTTACTGCACCACCCCCATAGAGCTCACATTCTACTGAAAGCAAAAGGGCGGTCCTCATGAGCCGCCTGTTGTGATGACTAAAGCGTATGCCATTCCTTGCTCGCCGTTGAATGACAGCGGTAGAGGAGAGGGTTTATATGTCGGTACGTGTATGTCGGTACGTGGCAGTTGATATATGTACCATCACACGGATAGAGCGAGCGTGATATGGCAAGCTGTGTAGTCGCTCCTCAGTTTCAGTCTGTTTTTCTCGCCCCAGCCGCGGCAGCTAAGCTAGTAGCAGCGACGACGATGACGGCTGACGCTATGCGCTCCCCATCGCATCGGTCCACAGACAGGACGTGATAGAGCGGACTGAGAGTCTCATCTATAATCTGTTGAGGTGCATATGCGTGGGTATGGGCCAAGCTTGCATGCATATTTTGAGAGAGCGGCCCAAATGACGACGAGCCACAGAGCATCAAGCCGGTCTGCCGTTCAACAAGACAGGCGGCCATCCCCGCCGCATGCATGAGGTCGGTATTTGCTCCACAGAGCGGATTCCGTCACCCTTGTCAAGTTACCGTAACTACCGAGAAGGCTTTTGACGGAAGTATTGTGTCTTCCTAGATGGCTTTTGCGTTTAGGCCGTGTTCGATGGAAAAGACCCCCCTTTCTCGAAATCCTAATGCCCTTCCTAATCACCATAACCCCTCTGCTAATGCCATTACAAACAAACCCTAATGAAAGGAATGAAAGAATGTGAACGCACAGCGCTCGGGACACCGGAAAGGCTGACGGCGTTGGTCCACCCACAAATTGTCTGCGATTACGTACGGCTTAGGCGTGCATCGCGATCGTAAAAAGCAGGCGTGCCGGAGAATTTGATGTCTGCAACCCATGACCAGGGCCTTGTCAGTGCCTCTCTTCGTGTTATGCACAATAGCACAAAGAGCCTGATGTGTGTTGTCCTGTACACTGTCACCCTTCACCGTCTCATCAAGCACTCTCGCCATGTCAATTGTTCTTCTTCATTCATACTCCTTGCCTCTCTCAGCAGCAGTCAACAAGCAGTCACCATGCCCAACATCGTCCAGCCAAGTTCATGCTCACGCTGCCGCCGCGTCCTCCCCCCTGACTGCACTACTCGTCAGTGTGATCGCTGCAAGGAGGCCTGTAGGGCTTCCCGGAAAGCTCAGTATGCCCCAATCAAAAAGAAATCTGAAGCACCTATCGTATGTCGCCTGCGCTTCTTTACGCATGATCATGACTGACGCTATGAATATTAGATAAAATATAAATCTTGGGAGGACCTTCGAGAGGATTTTCTCCAAGATGTAGGAGACCATGCCTCTCAGCGACCTGCACAGCATCATCTCATTGAGAGACTCCATTTCCATGGTCAATGCGTTCTAGATGACGGCCTTCGACCTGAGAGTGACGACCACGAGACAGGAAAGACTTGCTTACGCCGACTGGGGATTTTCCTGGCGGGTGTAGACTCTGGTTCGGACTATCGCTTTGGGTGAGCTCCTTGATCGCACTGAGGCTCCATTCGACAGTAAAATCGTCAAACTTGCGTTTCACTCCATATGAGATCTGCAACGAGCATAAGCATATGAGATGGGTGTACAACAGAACAGAAACCTACTTGCTCATGTGGAGGACTTCCAGGTGATTTGCGCGAAGTTGTTGGTGTCATGGTCAGGGGAGGGGGCGAGTACTCAAGCTTGTCAGTGAGAGTAAGTTTGATATTGGAGTTCAGGAAGGAGAGGAATCTTGTCCATATTTATAGAGAGCTCTGTCCATTCGAAACAGTATCAAGGGGCAACTTGAACAATGAGAACAATGTGAGCACATGATTTTGAAACGATGTGAACGATGTGAACAATGGGAACGATGGAAAGATGAGCTTGAATAACAAAGAGAAATTCGATGGAACAAGGTCTTTCTGACAAGAACAAAAAGCGTTCGTAAAAACATCATGATCGATCATGATTGCAATCAAAGGGGGCAGTTGTGTTGATGGGACGAACTACGGACAAGTCGGCGATCCGACGGACAAGTCGGCGATCAACGTCCGATCAGGGTGCTCAGCGCGTGCCTACATGTTGGCGCGCCTTTCACGGTCATCATCGTACGTAATCGCATACAATTTGTGGGTGGAGTACCGCCGTGTCCGGAAAGGCTTTTGACGGAAGTATTTAGTCTTCCGCTGGCTTTTGCGTCTATGGAAAAGGCCCCCCCCCTTTTCCCGGGCTTTTGCCCGTTCCCAGGAAAAGCCCCATTGTTGATCCTTCCTCACTTTGCACTGATAATACCCGTATGATTTTGCAAGTGAGTCAGGGTTGAACGCCAAGGATTTCGAGTTGTCGGTTGTAGGCGGCAGGTCGTAGCGGGCACGGGCGACGGACTTTCTTACCTGCCGCCTACGACCGACAACTCGAAATCCTTGGCATTCAACCCTGACTCACTTGCAAAATCATACGGGCTTGAACTCATATTGCCCACTAGCATCGACTTCTCCTTTGAACAAATTCGCTCGTGGCACAAATTCAACCAGGCCGAGATGCAGCGGTACAGCGAAGTTATCAAGGAGCGTCGGATCTACTACCGAGTGATGCAAGAGTGCTGTCCCCCGATCAAGCCCAACTCCGTTTCGTCGCTGGCAGGAGACGGGGGAGTAGCCTCGGGTTGCGTTGGATGGCGGATGAGTGAGAGATGTATGCGAGCACCATTGTAGTAAAGTATAGATGATGTTTGCCAGGTAAAGTATTTATCAGTGCAAAGTGGGGTTGCAGGATCAAAGAATGGGGAAAAGGGGGGCCTTTTCCATAATAAACGCAAAAGCCAGAGGAAGACAAAATACTTCCGTCACAAGCCTTTCCGGTGTCCCGAGCGCTGTGCGTTCACATTCTTTCATCAGGGTTCGTTTGTAATGGCATTAGCAGAGGGGTGATCGTAATTAGGAAGGGCATTAGAATTTCGAGAAAGGGCGCACGGGTTGACGTTGGGCCATGTTCACCATGTGCACCGTAGTGTCGGTAGACCTTTCGCTGACAATGCAAGCGAAGCAGTACCTTCGATGCTACCAAATGTACTCCGAGCTCCTCCTACCTTGTGATCTCGCACTTCAATGGCCCATCGCCCAACGCCCTGTCTCGGGTTACAAGATCTCGCATCATCAAACTTTCATCCCATCAAGACCTCTACATAGAGCAAGGATCTCATCACAGTCGTTTCTCACCACTTTGTGCCTCTGCAGCCTGGCAACCATCCAGTCACGGGTGTCCTATGTACTTGCACTGCCCGAACAACCGGCTGGCGGTGAGAATTGAAATCGAAAGGAGGTGGTGTTGGCTTGGTGTTGGCACATGGGATGGTTTATTTGGTAACCCGTAACTGGATTTGGGGATCGCCGAGGGGAGAGATAGACCGGCGTCTGGTTTTGCGCCACCTATAGAGAGAAATTGCTGACGCTACGCGGCATGCACGCGGTTCACCTCGGATGTCCATCCAGGCGGCGCGCATCCTCTTTCCTTCCAACTGCCGACATTTCCGACCCCCATCTTCAGTGTGTTTGAAATGTGGCTCGTGACGTGCACATGACATGACGACAATCTCTCCCCGCTCTCTGCAGCCGGAAGCCAATCGCTGTACCTGCCGCACGCCGACCCTGCCGTGTGTGGGTGCAAATGTAACGATCCCCCAAGATTAGGGGAGAAAGGACGCGCGCATACACTCACAACGCGACCGGTTTCCCACACCCGTCGATGCTCCACTTCGTATGCTCCACTCTCTCGGTAGCTAGAGAGTGGTGCGCATGCATGTGGGGTCCAAAGGGCGTACTTGGTACATGGCCATGTATGAGCGGCGGAAAAGGGTGGACGGAAAGAGGTGAGGAATTTTTCGTCGTGCGGATAGGGAAAGGAGGTGTTACCGCAGAGCCAAATAACAACAAATGATATATAGATCGTCCCTCCATTTCCTTTTCTTTTCTTCTCTTTCTCTCAGTGAGCTCAAAATACCCAGCATGTCCAGAACTACCCTCGTCGCATCTCTCCACCCACCAGACCTCACCCTCCCCCATTCCCCTTTCGCCTCTCCCGACGACGACCAAGTTACCACCCCTCTCGACCCCACTCCCTCCCCCTCCCTCCCTCCCTCCGTAAAACACAGCCCTCCGCCTTTTGCCACCGACGACCAGTCCCCATCACAGCGCGCCGCCGCCTACCTCAAATTTCTTTCCGACTGCAACCCATTCCGTGTGGTAGACGACGGTCACGAGTCTGATTCAGAGCCGGAAGGGACGGAAGACGCGACGGGCGCCGACGCGTATGAGGGGCGTGGTGGCGCCGACGCTGAAGGCGAGGCTTGGGGTGAGGTCGCGGGCGGTGCTCCCAATGCTGCGTGTGCGGAGGTACATATACAGGAGGCAGTGGCAAACCTTTCTGCCGTTTCTTCACAGCCGACCCTGTACGATCCTACCCCCGCTCATGGAATGGCGGGCTCCTCCACCATCCCTCCTAGCCCCCTCTCGTCATCCAACCTTCTTTGTTCAACTCCGTCTCTCTCAACTTCTCTCCTCTCGTCTTCTCTCTCCCGCCCGCCCTCTCGCCGACAGACCTCTACCTACTACCAGGCAGCCCCTTCTCTCGCTGCGCCTCGCAGATTCGCAGACTCGAAGCAGGACGTCGCTCTCACGGCGCTGCTCGCGGAGAAAGACCCGGGTACGCGCCGCTGGACGCGAGCGGTGGCGAAAAAGACCAAATTCAAGATCGAGGCGAGCGTGGATGAGAGCATGCTCGAGCGAGACTTGAAGGGGGAGGTGTCGATGGAGAGGAGAGTTAGCTGGCCGTTGTATGAAGTTAGCGGAGTGGTCATGGATCGCCAGCAGGTGGTACGTCGTCTCTTTCCTGAGGAGAATCTATTGCTGACGTAACTCTAGGCCGACCAACGACAGCAGCAGAACCCCGTCAAGATGCAGCGCAACCCCGTGCATACCCCCAAGCGACGCGCCCACTTTGCCACCCGCTCTGTCGACCAAGTACGTCCCTCTCTCATATTCTCTCTTCCGTCCTAACACCTCGAAACAGCTCGATAACCCACCCCAGCGCGTGCCATCCCCGCCGACTCCCGATATCGATCCACAGCGAATCTCCGGATCCCAAGACACTATCGATGATGGGCAAGTCCATGATCCAGCCAAGACTTTGCAGCAGTTGCAGCAGCAGTCCTCCCAATCTGCCTTCACCGATCCCTGTCAGCCCTGTCAGACCTCTGCATGTCCACAGCCACAGCTACAGCAGCGAGCCCCTGCCCCCAATTCTTTTGCTCCCTCTCTCCTCCCTCCCACCTTCATCGAGCCTCAGCACATCCTCAAAGTCGCAGGCTCCCCTCATCCATCCGCCGCAGCACCAAAGAGAAGAGTGCGATACGCTCACCGCTCTTCTTCCCGTCTCGGCGTCCACCTTCCTGCCGTACCGCAGACACCAAGCCCGACCCCTTCGGTGTTTTTCGCTGCGTGCGCGAGGGCCGATGCAAAGATGGCTGCTAAAGCCGGCAAAGGAGAGGAAGAGAAGCGCGAAGAGCAGGATGAGCAGGAGAAGATTGTGGAAGAGGCAGAGTGGAAGAGTAGGAGGATCATGGCGGGTTTGGCAGAATGGTTCACTGGGTGGACTTCGTCTTCGCCTTCTGGTACTAGCGATGGGGAGGGAGAGGATGACAACGAGGTGACGGGAGGGATGAATGCAAGGGAGATGGAGTCGCTTTGCCCTATCGCTGGGGTCCAGGTTCAGTTCTACTGAAAACCAAACACTTTCCTGATCCGAACCTCTTCTCCCACTCCTACTCTTCAAATCATACTTCTCTTCGAGGACGGTCTGTTCTCTATATCCAAGTGTATCCATCCTCCCACCCCATTTGTTTCCACTAGGTTGTACCGCTCCCCCACTTTCCTTCTTCCGCCACTTCGATCTTTCATTCTTTCGCTTTTTCGCTTGCCCCTTTTCCACCCTCGCGTTCAGTTCGAGCGTTGGCGAGGAATCGAGTTGCCACCATTAGTTGTTGATTTGTAGTACCATGTCTGTGATACCAACCCCCTCCGCTTGCGGGACCCTTCTTTCCTCTTGTACTATACCCCTTTACCTTTTTTTCGCAGTTCTGTTTTGTAGTTATACCTTGTTCGCTTTTACTATATTCCATACACGGTTGTATTGCTCATCGAGCACCATATTCGAGTGGGGAGGCGATGAGGGTCGGAGAGACGATTAAAAGTATTATGCAGAGTTATTTGTCACAATTGGTGAACAGGGTGAGCAGGGCTGAAGATGGACAACGCATACATGTCAATGATCGGACCTGATGATATCGTTCTACAACTGTCTATTGAGGCGGGGTGTACGGCTCGAGCAGCATCTACACACCAGTCAGCACCCTTTTTACCCACCTCAGACCAAAAGAAATGACTCACCTTACTGAACTTTTTGATCTTCTCCACCCCCCTGACCTCCTCCGTCAAAAGCGGCAACTCCACAATATGGAACTCGCCCTCATAAAGCTCATACGCCTCCCCAAGATACTTTTTCTGCATTTTCTGCCTGACACTGCATTGTTCGCAGTTGTCTCCGGGTTTGGGGTAGAGCAGCTGGTTGACGACAATGTTGTGGGTGTCGATTTGGTAGGAAGTGAGTTCTTGGATGAGACGCTCGGTTTCGTAGAGGGAGAGGAACTCGGAGATGCAGATACAGACGAATGTCGTTTTTTCCTATTCCCCCATCAGCTCCCACGCCTCGCACAAGGAAGGAAGGAAGAGAGAAGGAAAGATGGACGTACAGGATCCTTAAACTGGTTGTTGACCTCCGTGATGATCTCCCGCATACCCTCCAACTTGGCAAACATATCATCTGTCCCGCCGGCTGCGCCACCACCAAACATGCTCTGCATTTGGTTGATCATGGGGCCAAACTTGCCAGAGAGGGAAGAGAGTTTGCCGAGGGCTTTTTCGAGGACGGAGGGGAAGGAGAGGAAACGGAGGGTGTGGCCGGTGGGGGCGGTGTCGAATACGATGGTGGAGAACTCCATGGACTTGACATGCCTAGAGGAGAGTTAGTTATCGTATCCACAGGGGAGAGAAGGGGAAGGAGAGAGGAGGGACTGACTTCATGATTTCAGCGAAACCCATGGCTTCGTCGACACCTGGGATGGCGAATGCGAGGTCTTGCATCATACCGCCCATACCACCTCCTGATTGGTCGGCTACGCGTCTCTGTCAGTTCAATGCTCCTCATATACGCCATGTTCCCTCTCTTCCCACCCCTCCCGCGCCATCCGAGCGGCTCACTCCTCCACCAGCCTCCTTCTCCGAATCAAGCTCCCTCCAGCGTCCGCATACCCCCCAAGCGTTTGGGAATAAACATACAATTCTCAATCATCTCCTGCAAGCTTCCATTCGGGTCAATCTCCATAGCATAGAGGTTGTCAAAACCGTTGACTTTGGTAGCGTCTTTGCCGAATTTCTGGGAGAAGGCGTCGGATAAGTTGTGTGCGGGGTCTGTAGACTGTTCACTTTGTCAGCGCTACTCTTGGTAATGTCATGGCGTTCGATGAAGGGTAAGAGGTCGTATGGTGATGATAAGAGGGGATGAGGACGTACGATAAGCAAGACAGACTCCCGATGCTGGGCGAGCTGGACGGCGAGTGAACATGAAGTGGTTGTTTTGCCTACGCATCACCCCCAAGTCAGTTTCTCCTCTTCCTTTTCTCCGTACATCATAGACGCTCACCAACACCACCTTTACCACCTATCATTCATCGTCAGCGGAATACCAAGTCAAATGAAGAGAGAAGCGTACCGCAAAAGATCCATTTCAAGCTCTGCTGGTCGATGATATTCTGGAGCGTAGGGGGGAGAGATTCGAGGTCGTCCGACATTGTTCTATTTGTGCTTGGAGGGCGAAAAGGGTGAAAAGCGAAAGATGGAAACAGTAAAGGTGGATGGCTGAAACGCGTGGAATGAGCGAGAGGAAAGCGACCTCCACCGCGACACTCCGAGCCCGACGGAGCATGACGATGGGGTGTGTTGACATTCATGGGGCAGCATTTCTGCATCGCAGTGGCTGGCCGAAGTCTTCATGGAGTAGCCACAGGCTAAACACGACGACTTCAGCTTTCGAATCGATAATATATGCATTGATAGTCATCTGCCTATTATTATTCTTCTGGATTCTTCTTCCACCTTCTCCACCACCTCCCCCCAACGTCCCTCCGCCTAATCATCCTGAACAATCTTCTTCGACCTGGGCGTCCTCCTCTTAGCAGGAGTAGGCGTCTCCACAGCCTTAGGAATAGCTTCCCTCTCTGACGGCTTGCTGTCAATCTCCACGACTTGCTCAACGGCGTATTCAGAAACGGTCTTCGGGAGCGGAAGGCGGGCTTGTTGGTGGGGTGATAGGGCAAAGTCTTTGATGGAGGAGGCGGTGGGGCGGGCAATACCGAGGAGCCAGGCAGAGCTGTAGGGGGGTTAGTAAGGAAGATATGGGGAGAGTGGTGGAGACTTACCGGACGAGGAAGAGGACGGAGGTGATCCAGACGTTTCCTTTGAGAACATAAGTCCAGGCGGAGGGGTCCTGGAGATGTGATACGGGGAGGGCGAGGAGAGTAAGACCAATGCTATGATACAGTCAGAGGATGAACCTATCACAAAGCAGTCAATCTGCTTACTGGACGAGCTACATAAAAGTCAGTGAAATGCGCGACACATATCCAATAGCACTTACATCAGCGATGGCAAGAGGGATAAGCAACGCCTTGACAAGCTTTTCTTGAACAGCAGGCTGGTCCTTGAAGTTCTTCTTGATTACCCAGAAGAGCGAGAACGAAATCATCGCCAAAAGCAAGAAGCCTGCCCTGGTATCAGCACTTTCCCAGCTTATCCACCCCATACCCCTCTATCAAATGCAAACTTACAAGACCCAAGCTGCGTAGTCACAAGCTGCCCCCTAACACTCTTCCCAACCAACGCACTAGCCCTCTCAATATTCAGAGGCAAACTGTCTTTGGCAAACGCAACAGGGTCGTAAATTGCAGAGACACCGCCGGCGACTGTGAGGAGGGGCTCGATAAGCCAGAAGAAGTAGTAGTATGCACCTGGGAGGACGGAGGGGCGGGAGTGCATGATGTTTGAGCTTTGGTGGGGGGCGAGGTGGGAAGGGATCAAGGGAGAGAGAAGAGGAGAAAGTGCATGAGACGAATTATATCTGGCTCATGACTTTCCGCTGATGACGTAACCTCTTTGACCACATGCATGATGACGGTCAGCGCCGAAGAGAATGCTAAACGACCTCAAGATGGAAGATGCATAGATGAGACTAGCTATTCGAACGTGTCTGTATGGCAATCATGAGGCAAGACCCTTAACAGTGTGAGACCAATATTGTGTTGCGTAGCTGAGAGGAGCGTCCTCATCATCAGGAGAACGACTTTTGTCGGCAAACAAGATCAAGCTGTAATAGCGATACCGTCAGCATCAGGCTGTTTGGTATAAGATAGGCACTTACAGCATATCGATTTGATTCTTGTCTCTCACGCTGATTGTTTCAGGATCGAGGTCATTCTGTCTCCTTACTAGGTAGTCGTATGCGTCTTGCGAGCTGATCTGCTCCAATCCTAAACACTCCACGTCAGTAATTGTCACCGCTTTCAACGCACTTCCTCAACGTAAGAAACTCACCTGGACACTCGCTTATAGAGCCCGAAAGCGTTCCTGCATTCAGAAGCACAACGTCATTCAACCTACCTACGATCAGCACCCGTTCAAAGACAGTTGACAGTTTCAGACATACCGGTCCCAGTCGATCCGATCTCTTTCATCATACTCTACCCCGAACGCTCGAGCCATTTGCCATTCCAACAACGAATTGTGAGGCAGAGACTCGACTTTGGGGATTACAAACAAGAGATTGCTCCGGTTATCGTCTTCTTCCTCTTCTTCTGAGGGAGTACCACATGCAGATGCCTGTGGGCAAGGGGAGGAAGCGGGGCGGGAGTGGAGGTAGAGACCGAGGGCTGAGGTCACACCGCCTGCCAGTAGAGCACCTCCTATGTAATACGGGCTGGAGGTCTTTTTTGGCTCCTTCTTCGGCGGGGGAGGGGGAGGGGGAAGAGGAGGGGATTGGGGGTGAGGTATAGGCGTCATCTTGAGGACCGCAGCCGCTCGCGGCACATTCGCAAGAGACCGATGTTGACCGATGGCAGCTCGAGAAGAGCAGTGTATGAGGCGGATCTGCTGTCTGGCAAACATAGTGCTGGTATATTTGGTGTGCTAGTAGATCTCTTGGAAGAAGTATTCTCTGAGTTATATAGCCCTTTGGCGGGGACTGCGTACAATGCAGAGCTTGAGAAAGGATTGGAGGCATATTATCAGTGAGACTCGACGAGCGACCGCTGCAGATCAAAGGAGTATATCTTAGCTTTGGACTACTCCAGTGCAATACCTATGAGCTTATATGTGCCTTTTTACCACTGAGAGAATCGAGTCTTCAGTAGACTTGTCAGGCGTGGTTTTGTCTTCGCCAGTCGAGCCTTTGATCTACTGCTGCGAGGTGGCTGAACGCCGTCTGACACTCTTTTCCTCGTCCACAGAGTGACCTCGATCTAATGCTGGCATTGTTTATAGCTGTGACAAGGATCTCCCTACGAAGATCTCTCTCAGCACGACATCATTCTGCTCTGCTTGTCACCGCGCACATGGCGGGCAGCTGAGCGGACGCTGTCAGCTGCCGTCTTCCCAGGTAGATCGGCCAGCCTTTTTAGTGTAGGCGACACTGTTTGCTATTAAAGCTGCGATACATCGATGAGCACTCTGCATGAAGTCGACAGCATGCATGCATGAGACGTTGAACGATCTCGTCAGGCAACAATAAGCTGTGTGACTGTCTCTTATCAGCGGCATTACCCGGCGAAAGTGACGTGGCAGTTCCCGCCTTTCTTTGCGTCATGAGGTGCTTGTTTCGACAACAACCATTTCCCTTTCCTTTCTATTTCTTTCTCTTTTGTTCTCCCCCCGCCTCAGACTGCCTCTCGCCGCCCCCAGGTGACCCCACGACACCCCGCCAGCAACCGCCGCATCGCACCCAGCAGCCCCCTCGCGTGACCCCACCTCGTGTCCGTCAATCAACCTCATACACTTGCTTCCATCGCCTGATTGGTCTTTCGTCAGCCTTTCCCACTTCATCCTACGCCCAGGAGTTGACATTTTTCCCAGAGACACCACCCCTGTCACCCAAGCACCAAGCTAGATCAAAACGTCAAAATGTCTGTCGAACTCAGCCCCGCTACTCAGTTGGGTTTCCCTCGTAAGTTGTGTTCCTGGTGAGCGTGATAAGAGTCTTGGGATAGATGGGGGTTGCGGTATGGGTGGCAACTATCAGTCACCATTGGATCGAGTCGATGGACGCGTCGGATGGAGCGAAGGTGGCTGCTACGGTTGCCGCACTATGGGGTCCCTCCCGCCTTCGCTTTGCTCTAGCAGTATCTACACGTTGCTTGATGCTGACATCTCACCTCAAGGTCCCTTTACCGCCATCACCAAGCGAACCCTCTACATCCACAACCCCCACTCCTACCCCGTCGCCTTCAAGGTCAAGACCACCGCTCCCAAGCAGTACTCTGTGAGGCCCAACTCGGGGCGTATCGAGCCGGGAGACAGCGTTGATGTGAACAGTGAGTATTGCTCATCCTCTCTGGGGCCCTAGACGGGTGTGATTAGAGATGAGCCATTTCTGACTGTACTGCGCAGTCATGTTGCAACCCATGGCCGAGGAACCGCCGGCCCACGCCAAGTGCAAGGACAAGTTCTTGGTCCAGTCTGCATTCATCCACGCCGATGACGAAGTGCGCTCTTTGTCACAGATGGTACGTACCACTCTTCTCGTTCCGAGTCCATGCTAATTACCGATGTAGTGGACTCTGCTGGAACAGACCAACAAGGCCGGTATCGAGGAGAAGAAGCTCAAAGTTGTCTTCTTGGCACCCGAAGGTCAGGCCGATGGTCGGGGTATCCCAGAGGAGATGGAAGATAGCAGAATTGAGGAATCAGTGAGTCCATCAGTCCATTCTCTGGCGGCGGTCGATTTGACCCGCCCTTCTTTTCGCTCCTTTTTCCAATCTTCCACTTCAACTCTTCCTTTTTGAAAACCATTTCCTGCTTTGGCAAGTTCAACGATCCCCACGATGGTCTTACAAGGTGGACCACCAAGTCCGACAAAGAGTATGACCCTGTCTTGTTCCCGAACAAAGGACTTTCCGTCTGGGAAGACCCTTACAACAAGCCCATCTACGTCCCAAAGGCTCCCGTTCTCCACAAGCCCGTCACTGTTGGTACCCATACTCAACCCCCTATCTATCTCCACTTTTGTTCATGCCATATACCCCACAAATTGACCTGCAACTGCAAGAATCCAAAGCTGACAACCTCCAAGGCCATCTTCAGCCACGCCCAGACTTCACCCACACCTCTCGACAGGTCTGTTGGCCCCAGCGATCCCTCCAGGTCTTTCGCCGCCGGCCCTTCTGCCCCCGCCGTCAACGAGCCCGCCCTTCCACCCCTTTCTGCCGCCGACATCCAACCCACCAACGCCGCCCTCGAAGAATCCCTCTCTGCTACCACGAGCGACTCTGAGAAGCTTGCCGTCGCTCTCAAAGAGATTGAGCGTCTCAAGGCCGAGGTTGCCGGTAACACTGGTCCTCAGGTGACTGGGTTGAGGAAGAGGGGTGTCCAGGGTGGGGCGGATACGATTGTGGAGAAGCCTGTGCAGGCGGCGGCTGTTGCTGCTCAGCAAGGCGTGCCGCTCGAAGTGGTCGTCGGACTTGTGGCGGGTGTCTTTGTGTTGACTTATTTGTTCTTTTAAAAGGTTTTTTTGAAAGGTTGGAATGGAGGAGATGGAGATTTGTTGTGGATATTTTCAAGAATGGGCTTTTCATGCACGACTGAAACACGAGGTGTTTTTTTTTGTATATCGAACAGGACTATCGTTATAGGGGTTCTTTATTCGTTACTTGCCTTCAGTAGTAATTTGAATGTGATCTAGGTTTATGATATTTGTCCGCGAGACCTTGGTGACTTCCTTACGAGTACTGACCTTCGAGAGGGTCGGTTCAGGGAGAAAGGACCGACTCTGGTGCTGGCAAGTGGACCGGCGGCACCAAGAAGCATGGTACAAACGTGCTACGCACGGCGCCTGCTATGTCTTCCTTCTAATGCAAGCCAATGATACGGCAATATATTCTTTGAACACTCGACTCCTTTCAAGAGTCCCAAAGGCCGATGTAGAGCATATGAACACTTGCCTGGTGATGATGGCGATCCTTACATGGAAGGCAACGAGTCCCCCGGTGTACATCATGGCGCTCTGCTCGTGACCAAATCGACATGGCTATCCTCAGCTGGAAACTTAGTGGTATGTCGTTCCATTTGTATGTCTGTCTCTAATCTTACTCGAGTATGTTATTTACTATCGATCTCTGGTTCCAATCTTACACATTGAACTCCTCCACGATAGTTCCTTGCATTCTAGGCTTTGAGAGGCGTATTTTGTTCCGTTACACTCCTCGAAATCGTTAGAGACTAGACAGTCGGTCGTCCTTTCTTCCTAAAACCCGGGAATAGAAAGGATCGTCGCAATAAGTGTCATCAACCTCAAGTCTTTACTTTATAAGCAGACGGCCTATCAGATTCTGATACCCATTCAGTAAATATGTCAGCCCCCGAAGAGAACCAGCATCAGTCGCAAGACGATGGCTCTATTGATGATGCTATCGCCCAGGTGGAGCGATCCGAATACAACTTGGGCACTGTCAGCGATTCCTTCATCTCTACTGAGGGTGATATTGTCCATTTGGATCCAGTCATGGTGTACACCAAGGGAAACTTGGATGGGCGAGCCGGATTTCTCTCACCTGACATGATCGCAAAGAGTATCGATACCTGGAACAACAACCCGCTTTACGCTTCTTCTGAAAATGATCCCAATCAAAGAGTAGCAACTCTCGAGGAGGTTTTGGATAAGATTGTCTTTGAAAATGCGCCGCCAGCTCCAGGCGAAGAGTCTTTTATGGATCTCAATTCTATCAAAACGGTGAGACGAAACGTGACAGTTCCTCTTCAAACCAACAGCTCGGAGGGGACCGACGAGAAGAAGAAGCCAAGCTGGATTGTCCTTCGCCAATATCCTGGCTCTGAATTGGATAGTCTGGCGAAGTCGTTCAGGGGAGATGAAGATCCTAGCGTCTCTGAAAGCATCAATAAAACCTGCCCTTCGCTGGATTATAAGCCTCATTTCCTCGCATGGCGACCTGGAACACCCCTTGGTGTGAATACAGATATCACTCATGAGGGTAGTATGTATTTTGTCAACCCTGCGTGTCTCATTGCCGGCCTCCGTGCGACTGGGGCGAGTATTGCGGAAAGTCGTCGTACTCACCGCGACGCTCCCGATTATCAGAACACCTTCACGACCAGGCTTCTGGAAGGTATCAATCATTCCATCGCTGAAAGTTTCATTCGCGATGGACAAGTCATGAAGGATAACGATACGTACACGTCGTACGTGGGTGATGCTGCCAAGTCTGAGGCATTGGAGTTGAGAGTAAACGCGGACTCAGCGGATGATCGAGGAGTTCCCGAACATATCTTCATTCCGAGATACTCGCACAAATGTGTTGAAGATGTGACTGTGCGTTCAAGTACAGAGCTTGGAGCCCGGCCCTCGCATGTATGAAACTCCGCTTGGGGCCCATGAGGTTTCCTCGCCGAGGGATGAAAGGGGTGTAGTGTAGTACAGGCGATTAATATATGGCAGAGGGGAGGGGATCCTTGGTAGATAGAAGACGAGCGATGGCTTTATCATGCAACTTCTCCTCTTGTTCTCACTGTCTGGCATTGAACACTATGCATCACCATTCACGCGGAGCTCGCGAACCGTATTCTCTCTTTTCACCATTGGCTCTTCTAATATGTATAATATGTATGGTCCTTTCTTCGACCATCATAATCCCTTCATCGAATTGAACTCCACATCAATTACTATCAGCGAACGAAGACTATATATACCATCAGCAAATTTCCGCACGGATTCTACTACTTAGTATTCCCACATCATTCACTACGATAAATCTTACTGATTGTTCTTCTTCATATACGATACGATGTCGCTACACGAAAACAGCAGCATAGCCCGCAGCAGGACATCTGTCAATAATGACAATGCCGGAGACACGGAATACGAGCTTCGCACCAGCACCGACCCCTTCTTCTCCAGAGACGGGACTGTCCTCCACGTCAACCCAGTTGTCATATTGCGCAACACAACAAGCGCCAGGTCCAATTTTATCTCTCCAGAGACCCTCAAAGCCGGTATTGAAAGCTGGCTAAGCAGTCCTGACAGTACTAGCCCGGACGCCAGACAGCGACGAGAAAGTGTTCGTGGCGCGATCGATGATGTAGTACACAAACAAGGCCCGGAGCAGTCATCTGGTGGGCTCATCGATCCTTTGAATGATTTTGTCAAGAGGAACGTCATTGTACCTCTCTCCGATATCTCGGACGCGAGCCAAGAAGGAGTCCCGAGTACTATGGTTTTACGAGGCTATGCCCAGAGTGGACTTGCCGACCTCGCATGGACATTTGGAGGCAGCGAAGATCCAAACGTCAGCCAGAGTATCATCCGTTCTTGTCCATCCCTCAAGTTTGCCCCCATCTTTCCAGATGTTGATGGCAATGAGATCCACGTCGAATCTCGTCTCACCGCTGAGGGATACTACCTCCGCCCCGCAACTATCCTGGGACATTTCTCCATGACTGGTAATTCCATCCAGCCCAGGCATCGTACACACCGAGATACCCCCGAATATCAATCAGCGTTCGTCAAAAGATTCACCGACAAGGTCAATCAGACCATTGCGGAGAGCTTCATAAAAGATGGACAGCAGATGTGCGACAACGATGTGTACAGGCATTATGATGGTACCATCTATGACAGTGTTGGGGTCAACCTTCAAAGCGAGGTAGCCGATGTGGAAGGCATTCCAAATAGGTTGACCTTTGCAAACTACCCGTCCCAGTGGACAGGGAACTTGGCTGGAAGAGCACATCGCCAGTTATCTGCTGAGAGCGTCGTCCCCAACGACAGGCCCGTGGGACGTTTGGGTTTGCCAGAGGAGTTGAGCGACAATTGGTGGGCGTGATGATGTACCGTAGATTGGCACCCACGTGATGGAAGAGCTGAGCGGTGTGCAAGAGTTGATTAGGCTTGCTAGGGTGCGAATACAATGCAGAGCTCTGGATGATCAAGAAGTAGCAGATCAGAGACAGTATAGCTCCTTCCACACCATTGTCCACAGCAACTAAGTGTCCATACCTTTCAAAACCTGCAAACGAATTCGTGCATACATTCACCACTCTTCAGGTTCATCCACCCACTCTCCCTTTCTTCTCAGCTTCCTCTCCTCCTCTCTCAGCTTCCTATACCCACCCCATCGAGCCTCTACTCCATTCGCATCATTCCTCGAAACACCCAGCTCCCGCCTAAGTTCTCCCACCCCTTGCTCCCACCTCTTCTCCCAGTACACCGTTACCAAGCTTCTTCCTTCTCGGCCGGTACGGAGCGCCCAAGGGACCCAATCTCTTGACCAAGTTTCCTTGCGTTTCAGCCGCAGGGGTCCAAATACTGAGGAGAGGAGTGCGACGGGGAGTTTCATGTTGGAGAATTCGAGGACCTTGAGAGAGAGCTCATGTGGGAGAGTGGGGGGCAGGGAGAAGAGGGTGTGGTAAAGGTCGTGGGTTTGGCGGTAGCGGAGCATGGTGTAGGCCAGAGTTGGAGAGTCGATGTAATTCACCTGTTGAGACAATCAGTTAGTGCTTCAGAAGACCAATATGCACTTACTGGTACTCTACTCTCTGGTTCCAGCCCCCCATCGCCCATCCACTCCACATACTCTCTCCCCAGCGTACCCCTCTTCAAGTTCTTCAGCCCCTCAATCGTCTGACTCGTTATTTGCGGGCGATCTTTCATAATCTGACGTCCTTCGGGAGTGACCTTCATCTTGTCGTGTAGGGCTGGCAAGAATATGCCGGCCGTAGACTCGGAAAGAGATGCGATGAGGTCGCCGCGCGAGACGTCTACGACACCCATGACGCCCGATCCGACTGCGAGGAGGGCATTCTGGGAGTAGGAGAGGGGGATATGGCCTGGGTAGTTGGGTGTCCTGGTAAGCAGGCGGAGAGAGGGGCGCATGGTGTTGTACGGGAAATATAAAGTGTAAGAGAAAGTCAAGACTGCAGGTGACGGCTCGGCTCGGAAAGTCGCGTGTCCGGCCATGTCCGCCTGTCCGCGTCTCTCATTCATCATGTCCATATGTCTTCAAAGTGTCTTCACGATATCAATTGCCTTTTCAGTCGACAACTACACCAAATGTGTCCCTTACCTTGATATCATCGACGTCTCCGTCTATCTTAGCGCAAAAAAAATGCTCTTGGTCAACACTCAGCGAGCCAACTTGGTGCTGGCACGACGCGTACGGATCAAAAAAGGCAAAAAAACTCGGCACCTGGGATTCCCAGGTGGTCCCCCACCCTGGTACTGACCAAGCGATAAGCAAGTTGTCTTCGCGGATCGAACGGGACGCGGAATTTTGTACTTTCTATGGCAGAGCATGTCAGGTTAAAGTTGGGAAGAGGGACGCCAGCTCAGGGAAGGAATGTGAGGGGCGACGAGGCCTCAGATGAGGAGGTGGGAAGTCTGCGATGTATATTCCAAGCAGACAGGTATGAAAGACGATGCACGTTCGATGGATATATGCGCATCAATTTCTGCCCAGGGTACGCTCATTAATGCATTATTGACCTCGACGTCGAAGATGGTGTAGTATCGGCCAGCCGAACATCGGTCATCGCCGCGATCATGTTGTGTATCACGTTGACTGACCAAATCTATTGACCAAATCTATAGGCTGATATTGTTTTCTATCAAAACCTCCATCTAACCCTTTTCATATCGTAGCCATGTCTACCCCCCTTACCCCCATCCCTTTTTCCACGCCCAAACGAGCCAGCGAGGACGACGACGAGAAGCCCCAGAAAGTCTCTCCAGTCCAGCGAAAGACGTCTGACGGCCGAGTGCTCTACAAAGGGTGGTCGGATGACTCTCTGGACACCCTGATCGTTAGCAGCGATGACAAGGGGTTCTACATCGAGGGATGCATGCTCGAGGGGCATAGGTGCGTTATCGTCTTTTTCTCATGGTAGAGCCTGAGCTGACCGTGCCGCGCCCCAGCACCGTTTTCCGGGACATATTCTCTGTGCAAGCTGCCACCTCCCCACCCCAAACACCCGTCTCTCCTTCCTCATCAGGATCCCCCCACCCACGTCTCCTCGAGCTCACCGACACCACCTTCGAAGACTCCCAAACCATCTCCTCCGTGCTCTTCATCCTCGAAGACGCCCAATACACACTCTCCCGCCTCATCGCCTTTGCTGGTGTCAGAACTGTTCCCATCCTTCACCATGTCCTCCTCTTTGCCCAGAAGTGGGACATCAGGTTCATCACATCCCGTCTCCACGAGTGGATTTGCGAGGTAGCCATCGAAAGTCACAGGGCGCCTTACAACAAGTTTAGCCAATACGACTTGCTCAAACTGGCAATGTTGGCAGACTTGCCTTACGCTGGGTATACCGTGATCGGCTCTTGGTCGCCGCCAGTGGCTCTCACTGTTACTTATGGGTTTTGGAGAGAAAGGAGTGAAGATGCGCTGGACATCATGAAGTGGACGAAAAAGGCTTGGGCAGAATGGACGCCAGAGTGGCTTTACGCCTTCAGCACTCTTCAGTCGACTCGCCGGGGGATGAACAGAAGCGTGCTGCTTCTTTCATCAAACACCTCACATCGTAATCGTTATTGAAACATCAATGAGATCATATGTACGCTTTGAAATTTGCATTTGTTCGATCATCCAGGTTTCAACATATCACTTTGAGCGTATCATGCCTTCAGAGTCACAGAAGGAAACAGCAGTCGTACTGTACCACAGGATCGGCTCGCCGAACAACGGTCATCGCCGCAAAGTCCATAGAATCGTACTTCGTTCCCTCACAACTTTCATCTTTGTCCCTCTCGCATCAGTGTCCAGAGCTCCGACATCCCCTCAAACCTTTTCATCCAGTGCTCCTCCCCTCGTCACTGCATCCACATCCCCTACATCCATGGACTCCACCGCCCCCACACCGAAAAGAGCCAAAACGGCCGAAGAGCAAGACCAGCAGATGCCGTCCCCAGCCACGCTCAAAAGGTCTCACGACCGACAGCTTCACGATGGATTGTCTGATGGGTCTCTGGATACGCTGCTTGTGAGCAGTTATGTTGAGGGATTTTTCATTGAAGGATGCTTGCTCGAGGTACACAGATGCGTCAAATCATTTGGTCTCGAATAATGGAGAGGTGAGCTGACCATGCGCAGTGCAGTCTTTAGGGACATGTTCTCGAACCCCATCCCAATCCGAGACTCCCTTCTCGGCATCTTCATCCGGCGTTCCTCGGTCCCGCCTCCTCGAACTTACCGACACCACCTTCGAAAACTCCCCAGCCATCTCCACGGTCCTGTCCATCCTCAAAGATGAGCAATACACCCTCTCTCGCCTCATCGCTTCTGCCGGCGCCAAGACCACCCTCATCTTGTGGCACGTACTTCTGTTTGCAAAGAAGTGGGAAATGCGGTATCTCAAATTTCGTTTGCAAGAGTGGATCTGCGAGGTAGCTATTGAGAGCTACAAGGCCAGTATGACTTTTTTCGAGTTGGCAGCAATGCTGGCAGGTCTACCTCACGCGGGGGTATACTGTGATCAGCTCATGGACGCCGCCAGAGCCTATGGAAGATGCTTATTCGCTCTGGGGTGTCAAACACGAGCATGCGCTGGACGCCATGAAGTGGACGAAAAAGGCTTGGGTAGAATGGACGCCAGAGTGGCTTTACGCGCTCCAGCACGCCTCAGCTCGATGGCCGGGGGCGGGGGACAAGCAGAATCGTGCTGCTGGTTTTATCAGGCTTCTCCAACAGCAATCGTCTTGAGTCCCACAGAGTCTACGATTTGGCATTGTGCCATAGTGAAAGCGCCCTCCTCCTACAGTTCTCTTGGGTGTGAAATCGTATATGCATTACAAGTAGCCCTTCTACATTTCTTCTTTACTGAAGCTGCGCGCCGTACCCTCTCAAACCCTCGGCAAAGCCCCACTCGGTGGCAGCAGACCTCGAGTCGCTGATCCTGATACCCTCTGCTGTGATGGTCGCAATTTGGTACTACCCAACCGTCAGCTCCTTTCAAACTACATATACCAAACCAGCTCACCTTGTTGATGCTCCTCGCATCCCTGTAGAACAACACCTTCATACAGTCCTCCACCAACTTCTCCGCCTCCGCCTCTGTCAATTTTGGTCCCTTCCCATCAGTCCCCGCCTTCTTCTCATACGCTTCCCTCAGAAGCGGTTGCGCCAAATGCGCGCCGAAACCCGTCGCCAACGTCGGCGCAGTGTAAGTCGTACCGAGCAAGTCAACGTAAGCGAGGAAAGGCTCGGCAGACTTGGGGTCGACGCCGCCGAGGAGGACGGCGTTCCAGATGGGGTCGACCTTGGAACGACGGGCGTAGAAGAGGTTGGAGAGGAGGGTGTAGAGGTTGGAAGGTGAGAGGGAGGGGTGGGAGTCGGTGTGGTTGAATGTGTCTTCTTCGCGTCTATCCCCAATGTCAGTTGTTTGCCGGATGTGATGGGAGGGGTGCTTACAACAAAGCGTCGAGCTCCTTCTTCAACCACTGGTAGTCCGCCATATCACCAGCAACGCCAATCAAAGTGTTCTTGCCAAGAGGATGCAGACGCTGAATATCCTTGAACCTCGCAAGAGATCCATAAGAACCTGGTCCACCATCAGCCCTTGATATCCCTCAGGCTTCGCACTTTCCAGAGTCCTTTACATACCAAGGTTGTCAGCAGCAATCATGACACCCCCATCAAACTTGACACCGAGCACAGAGGTACCGGTGACGATAGGCTGGGACGTGTGAGAGACGGGTTGTTGGTGGGCGCGGTTAGTCTGGGCGAGGGGGAAGGTGTTGTAGTCGTTGAAGGTGGAGTGGGTGGGCGCGGGCTGCTTCCAGAGGGCGGGGTGCTGCAGAGTGGTTAGTGCTACACCCCAGCTCGAGGGCACCGGGACTGACGTTGGAGACGGACATGGCGATGGTGGAGAGTATAAGGAGACAGCGAAAGAGAACGACGCGAGTGCGGCGGCGTCACTGATGTGGCATTATTTACGTAACCTGCGCCCATCTCCTCTTTCATTCATTCAACACGACTATCTCTGTGCATATCACGTACGATGACAAAGGTATATCGTGGGTAGCTAGAGTCAACTTCATGTGAATAGTGCGCAGGCATGAGAGGCGACAAATCGCAGAAGCCATCACTTTAGCGGACACTCGCCAAATCGTTACGTTCTTCGTCGATTTTAGCAGCGAAGATCCAGCGACTGATGAGAAACCAGATACAAGTGTCCTGGACTGGTGATCTGGACATGAGAATGCACTTTTTCCGGAGGATACGAAATCAGCAGAAGAAGCGTACAGCCTTCTCTGGCTCCACGTTGACATATCATAACGACATATATGCTTACATATGAACCGTGCAGCGAAGAATGCAAGATGCAACCACAGACAGATCTACTTTCCCAGCCTCTGCTCCACCTTCACCCAAGCCCTCATCGCCCCATCCCACTCATCTCGGCTCAAAGCACTGCCCGCGGGCTTTCCAGGCTCCCCTATGGCGTTGCCAACTTTCCTGATAGAGGGTAGAGACGAGTTGCGAAGGGTTTTTATGAGCAAGCTTAGGTAGTGGAGGAATGGCATTGGCGTTGGAGGTTGGCTGGTGAAAGAGTCAGTAAGCTGGGGGCATGAGGGTCTGAAGGGGACGTACTATATTTCGGTGATTCGAAGCGCCCAGAAGGGGTATCCCCAGAGTTCTGGTGCTCGTCTCGGCAAAAGCGTCGCGTAGAATGGCGGAGGTGTAAGGTGATGTACGACCAGCAAATCAGGATACTCTCGGAAATGCAGCTGCTCTACACCACCTCATCAGCTCATATTCCAACCCCATATCCCCCAGAAGCTTACTTTTTATATCCTCATCCACCTTCTTCACCGTGACCTCCTCCACCTCCACCTTGCCCTTGACATACTGCTTTGTCAGATTCACAACCCCCACAGCACCACTGGAAGGCGGTACGAAATGCACCACAAGCTCTTTCCTGCTCCCCCCCGCCGCCTTTTTCGAATCCCCTTTCCCAAAGGACGGCCAGACGGTGATACTCGTCACCCCGCCGCCCAGCGTTTCCGTCCTCTTCGGCGGGGACGGCGAGGGGGAAGAAGGGCGGGAGAAGGGGGATGCGTCTTGTGTTGGCCTGGAAGAAGGGGAGGGGGAGGTGGGGGGCGAAGGGGGTATGGAGGTGGTGCTTAGGGTGCGCAGTAGTGTTGGCAGTGCCGCCTGCGTAAGGCCTTGAGGACACGTTGAAAAAAAGTCAGCCATGCGATTCACGACGCCTTGAGAAGCATGCTTGGAAAAAAAAACGCACCTTGTCCATCCCATATCGAAAGCTCCGCCACCCCCCTCTCGCCTGCCCACTGAACCACCCTCTTAACACTCTCCACCAATCCTTCCCTCTCCTTTCTCCTCCTCTCCGCCCGGCCCGACCTTCCACCTTTCCCCCCGCCGAGCCCTACATTCAGCCCAAGAGCAGAGGGCACGAGCACGAGAGCGACGTGCCGCGGGGGGGAGACGTGCTCGATGTCGATAGTATGAGGGACGGGGGTCGTGAGGGACTGGAAGATGCGGAGGGAGAGGGAGCTGAGGGTGAAGGTGAGGTGGAGGAGGAGGAAGAGGGGGTAGAGGAGGATGGCAAAGATGGGGCGGAACAGGGAGGGCATGGCGAAAAGTTGAAAGCAAGAAGGGTGTTATGGCAGGAAAGAAGAGAAAGAAAGACGCATGTCAGAGAGCGTCGGTGGCAGTGGAGGTCGCCGCGTGGAATTTCGGAAACCCGAAATGAATCGTCCTATGTATGCGTCGTCGTATATGAACAGCTTACATACAGTACTCTACTCTAGACGGGAGGTATGGATCAAAGGTTTGGTGCCGGAAGCGACCGCTTAATCATATATGAGCTTGAGAAACTCTAAACGTGTTGAACCCGCGTCTATTGAGGGTATTGATTGAAAAATGCTTTCTCTGGGTGATTATCACATTATCATGGGCATACTCTCTTTTCTTCCCATCACTTTCCTCGGGCATGTCCCATAGGAGAAGTACCGCATAAGCGGCGAAAGGACGGTCGATATTTGACGCAACTTTGAGGATGTCATATTGCTCAAGCTTACTGAAAGGCTCAGAACTGCTTCTAGAGCTGATAGTGACAACGGCCCGTTCAAGGCCATCCAGCACCAGACGACAATCCCATTTGTTGGCAAACGACTTCAGGTTCGACAGAATCGGCGAAGTTTTGGCTTCGTTGGCCTCCACAAAAGCCTTTACGTCAAACGTGCCATCCATCAATTGCAAGGCCCACGCAACGACCCGAGAAGTTTCGAAAGTCTTGTCTGTCAACTCTAGAGTGTGATGGTCATTGCCAGAGGCCCCTTTTGAGTTTGACGAGGAAAGGCTGGATAGAGACTGCCCCTTGGCATGCCCGGTTATGATGTCGCAGAAGGCAGTGCTACCAGCAAGTGTCAGCATACCCTGCCGCCCCCAGTATACTAAGATGACTTACCTGTGGGCTTGTAGCTTATAAGCCGGAACATAGAATCCAACACCGTCGCTGCTGACCAGCAAAGCGTCCAAAGAGTCATCCTTCCACTCCTCGTGTATCTTCGAAGCGGGAGACGGCGAAGCCGAAGTCGTCTGGGGTGACTGCTTTTCCGGCGCGTCTTGAAGACCGGCTATGGATTCCGACATCGTAGCGAGGATTTCGGTGTGATTTCGGTGTGATTTCGGCGTATGATAGGGGGCTGATGGGATCTGATGGATGGAGGTCGCTATCCGAGCACAGGCTTGCTGCTATGGAGTCAGTCCTGAAGCCTATGCCCTCATATGTCACCTACAACGATGACTTTTTGGGTCGCTGTAAAGACCAGATAGGTGGAGAAGGTGTTTGGGATTGATATAGGTGCGCTTGGTGATACGGAGGACCAGCAAGATACTGCGAAGATCCCAGCGCGTCTTGAGCGCGTCAAGAAACGGGGATTTCGGTCGCCGAGTAATTTGATTCCGCCAGATGATCTCTATTAACTCTATGTAGTGGAGATGTACGAGTACGAATACAGTACATAACAACACGCAGAGCAGCTACAGAGCAGAGCGTATGAGATAAGATACGTATGTACTAAACCAGGAGTACTACAGCCGAAGATTTGACAGTGAGATGCTTAATCCGTCTGCTCGACTTCTCGGTGGATGACTTCCTGGAGAGCGTAGAGGTACTTGGACAGTCCGGTTATACGCCGCTACCACACGCTTCACAAGTTTCAACCTGCAGTGAATGCAGCAATACATACAGCACCCTATTGTACAAGAGCCATTTAACCATGTAACCTCCTCCCATCCCAGCTCTACATGTCCGTCGTGACCATCGCTTGAAACTCCCTAGCCCTCGCCAGCCTATCCCTGGGATGCAACGTCAACGACCTCTGCAATGCCCTCTTATACTCTGGCGGCAACGCCACCCACTCCCTCCTCGTCAAAAACTCTGGGTTCAATGGCCTACATCCCGTAAACGCCCACACTGTCCATTCTGGCTTGTCCTTCGGACACCACCACGTCGAGAGCACCACCGACGCCGCATGCGGCAGACCGGAACAAGCTGCCAGCTTGAAAAAGTCGAATTGGCTGAATTTGTTGTAAGGGGGTTTGTGGGATTCGACGGCGAGCTGGCAGATCCAGTCGCTCAGGCGGGAGCAGAGAAAGGGCATGTCCCACTTCTTGGCAAAGAGGAGGATGGACCACATGATGGTGGGGGTTTTGGATTTGTGAGTGGTTACAAAGTCGGTGAGGGTATAGTCGAGAGAGTCGAGGAGGGTGAGGACGATGGTGAGGTTTTCGGCGTTTTCGAGCTCGTCATCTATGAGCTCGAGGACGTGGTGGTGCCGTTGAGGGGGTAATTTGGCATTTCCGTCCGATCTTGACAAGAAGGGATCAAGCAGCTCGCTTGAGAGCATGTCCCGAAAGACTGCACTATCCCGAGGTCAGCTTCATCCACAGTATCGCGCTTCAAATTTGTACCCACCTCTGGGCCTTGAGCATATATGAAGGCACATAGAACGCTTCTTCGTCACTACTGACGAGCTTGACATCGTGCGAATCGTCTGTCCACATCGAAGCTGACTTTGCCAGCTTTCGGGGCGGTGGCTTCTTCTGATCGGCGTAAGAGTCGGTGTCCAAGCCGTCGGAGGTTAGATCGATGTAACTCGGGCCTTTGCGCTTGTTACACTGTTGCTTAGCGGAGTTGAACATGGGGCGGCAGGGGGGGGGGGGAGGAAGAGAAAGTAGTGTAAACTGAAGATGACAATCGGAAAGAATCAAAGATGATCCGTCTGTTATGACTTGTGAGTTCGTTGTGACTGGACTTGTGATTGTCGCGAAAAGCGGGCCACAACACCGGCGAGCACCGCACCTGCTTTGGGGTTTGGGCGCGTCAAATCGGGCACCCGAGGCTCACGAGAGCTGCACGAGAGAGTGAGATTGAGCAACTGCTCAGCAAGTGAATACTATCCAAACCTTGAGTGCTCTCTACCTTCATAACAGCCGGTACACCCCAGCTACATTATCACATATCTGGATCTTCCATCCGACTGACTGCGAGTTCAATTTGGGTGGAGCACCTATGCTAGTGATCATCATCTGGGCGGGCCTCAAGTTGAAAGAGCTGTTCAAGAGGAAGATTGCCTATAATCAGTCTTGTTACATCAGTCACATATATGGAAAGCTTCAGAGAAGTTCTAATTTGTGATCATCGAGCGGATAATGCCTCCGCAAAAGTACATCCCACCCTCGCTTGTTTCCTACTTGTAAGACGGCATTGGTTCCTCTAGAAACTTGCGGAACGCATCCGCTCAGAGCTTTTGGTCCATAGGATGTTGCCTGAACGACTTGTGAAGCGCATAAATATAATCTATCGAAAAGAGGCTGTATCCGAATCGTGTGAGAACAGTAACATCGAAAGGCCTCTTCTTGGTGATTGTCGTCTCGTAGTAACGGTACTCCCGCTTCTCGTCGCTATCGGGTGCATCCCAATGGAGGAGTACCGCATAAGCCGCATAAGGACGATTGATATTAGATGCCACAGTCAAAATGTCAAATTGAGCAAGTTTGTTGAAAGGTTCGGTATGGCTGTCGCAGCTGATCGTGATGATAGCGCGCTCAAGACCGTCCAGTACTGAACGACAATCCCATTTGTTGGCAAACGATTTCACCTTTGTCAGACTAAGTATTGTTTCGGCTTTTTGGTCCTCTACGAAAGTATTTGTGTCGAACGTGCCATGCATCAATTGCAGTACCCATGCGACGACAGAGGAAGTCTCGAAAGAGTTGTCTGTCAGCTCGAGAGTGTGGTGTTTGGTGGAAGGGTCGCTTTGAGCCCGAGTTTGTCCGGTCAGACCGCCGGAGATGATATCGCGAAAGACCGCACTAAGAACCGAGGTAAGCACTTTCCGCCAAGTTCCCAAACAGCGGAATAGGGACCATACCTGTGAGCTTGGAGCATATACGCCGGGAGGTAAAAACCGACACCGTTGCTGCTCACCATCAAAGCGTCTAGAGTATCATCTGTCCAGTCTTGATGTGTTTCTTTCACGAACGGGGAGGGAGATGTCGGAGTGGTTTGAGATGACTGCTTTTGCGGGGCGTCTTGAACGGTGGTGGCGGAACTGGAGCTATCGGGTTCGAGGGTGTCGGGCATGACGAAGGGGTATGGCGGATGAGGTGTTTTCGTTGGTTTCGCTACTTTGACATCAACATTGCAATGTATACCCGTAGATGTCGCTCACAATATAGTGTCTACTGGAATAATCTTCGGGATTGAAAAAAAAAGAAAATGGAAGATACAGCTGTGATCCCGCTCGCGCAAAACGAGCTGGGTACGTACGTGGTCTTGCGGGTTTCCTGGGTGTCCTGTCAATGACCACCAAGCAGCCGCCAATACCGGTCTAACATAGCACATCGACGCACATTCTATATGCATGCAAAAATTACATATCCATGCCTCAGTACAACTTGTACAAAACCCCACCCCCCCGGCTTCTCGCTCTTAGATCTCCCCATAAGACCCAGCCTTGAAGACGGTCGTCTCCTTCTCGACGATATCGTACAAGGCCTTGAGCCATGCCTCGAGCTTGACAGTGACTTCCGCTTGGGGCTCGCCGAGTTTGGGGTAGAAGGTAGCTCGGTAGGGGCAAGCTTTCATGGCGAGCTACCTCCGTAGTCAGTATCTTTGTTGCTATTTGGCTGGAGGGGGAAGAACGTACGTAGAAAACAGGCCTAACCATCATCCCATGATACTTTTTCAAACTCTGCTCGTACGCCTTTGTAAACGACGCCGAAAGCTCCTCATCCTTATTCTCCAAGTTGATCTTCAAGCCCAGGGAGGTAAACTTGAGGCCACGGAGCAACCACATGAGGGCGTCGGTGGCGACGCGGTCTTTGGGCTTGGGGACGTTGGCCTTTTCGGTGGCGATGAGGGATTCGAGGGTGGAGGCGGAGGTGGGGTTTTGGGCGAGGTAGGCTCGGATTTTCTGGAGGGGCGAGCGAGATTGGGGGAGGGGAGAGGGTCACGGTGAATTGTCGTTTCGGTAGGGTGGGGGAATACAATGAAGGGAAGCAGAGAAATCAGTCAGCTGATGTTACTTTGCTGGAAAAGCAGAGACACAAAGTGTCCATCTAACACTTACGGCGATGTTACCAGTCAAGTCGTTCTGGACGACGGTGAAAGCAGGGTTACCGAAGAGGTCTGTGGATCAATCAGCATATATCGCTGAAAATCACGCAGGCGTATACTCACTGAAGATCTTGACAAGGCCCTCGGCAGCTTCGAGGAACTCGGCAGTGTTGACACCAGCCTCAGTGATGGTCACGTCCGTGAAAGACTAGCGCCACAGTAAGCTTCTGATTCTGATCGCTGTTCTGATCCTCGGAGGGGCGTACCTTGGTGATAGTCTCAAAGAATTGGGGCTCGCTCATGGTGTCTGATGTATATCACTGTCTAAGAAATGTCGAGATGCAAGATGCGATGCGTGGCACGACGGTTGCACGACGGTCGGCGGGCGGCGGCGGACAAAAGGGTACCTGGTGGGGTTACGTAACTCATATTACCTCGAAATTACCCCTTTGGGAAATTGTTACGCGACGCGTCTTTCGTGTCAACAAACATTTCGGCTCCTTCTCATCCATCTCCATCTTTTTCATTCTTCTTTCATTCTTCGCCGCACCCGGGGGCACCTCGGTAGCCATGTCTGAATTCGCCCTCCAAGAAAACCTGCTCGCCCTCTCCGACCCTTCCCTCTACCAAATCCAGTCCGAACTCGACGTCCCCTCCCTCTCCGCCAACAGCATTGATTCCTCCCTCTCCACAGCGATAGAAATCATCGCCGGCGACCCTGATGCGCTGTACCACTCCTCCCCCCAGACATTCAACATCTTCCTCTCCATCCTCAAATACGCCGACCAACCTCAGATCAATGCGACAGTCTTGACCAAGCTGCTAGACGTGATCGTCTCTGGCTTGACGCACCACTCCAATGCTGTCATGACGATCGTCAACAGCCAGTCGTTTGGGAGCGAGGCTGATATGGACGCGCCGATGATCCACAAGCAGCCTTTGGAGATGTGGGCGTTTTTACTGCAGTGGCTGGTGAATGCCGCGGAACGAGGTGCTGGACGGACGAACGACGAGCCCCGAGCTACAACGGGAAGAGGAAAGAAAAAGACAAAGAACGCTCCTCCATCCACCTCTTTCCAATTCGGCGACCACCTCCCCCTCGTCCTCGGTGCCATGCACAAGACGCTCCGAATCCCTTCTTCCCGGTTATGGCGCACCAGCTCCGAAAGAGAAGCCTTCATCTCTTGCTTCGTCAAGCCAGCCTACCAACTAGCAGAGACCGAAGCCTATCTCAAAGTTCAAGAGATCCGCCTCGGCATCTTCAAAACCATCTGCCTCGCCGTCAAATTCCACCAACACGCCTTTGGCGCCCAAACCAGCATCATGCAAAACCTCACCTATTTCGAACACCTCTCCGAACCAATGGCGGAGCTGCTAGCGATTCTGGAGAAGGAGTTTGATTTTTCGCAGTTGGGTGAAGAGGTTTTGAGGGATGTGGCGGGAAAGAGCTTTGCGCACAATGATGCGAAGGGTCCGAGGAGTTTCTCAAAATTTTTGGTGAGGCTGGCGGAGCTGAGTCCGAGGATGGTGCAGAAGCAGATGCCGCTTTTACTAGCTCATCTGGATAGCGATGTGAGCTCCCCCAAGTGCCCTGTTGGTGACTGAAGCTGACTTGTATACAGGCGCATCCCATGCGAATGGCGATCGTCGAAATCATCGGTATCCTCATCCGCGACATCTCATCCTCCGACGAAGGCGACGAAGAGCAAAAGACAAAGCAGGTCAACAAGTTCTTTGAGTTGCTCATGGAGCGTTATCTCGATCTCAACTCTTGGGTGAGATGTAAAGTCTTGACAACACTGATCAAGCTCTGCGAGTACGTAACCTCTCACCTCGGACTCAGTGCAAAGCTGATAGAATGATAGCCTCCCAGCCAAATTCCCCAAACAACGCCGCCAAATAACAGAACTCACCATCCGAACCCTCGAAGACAAGACCTCCTCCGCCCGGCGATACGCCATCCAACTCCTATGCAAATTGCTCGAGACGCACCCGTTCGGAGCGCTCCATGGGGGGACGCTGAATATTGACGAGTGGCAGGAGAGGTATACGAAGATTAATGAAGAGTTGAAGAAGGTGGATGCGGTGGAGTTGGAGAAGGCGAAAAGGGAGGTTGGGGTGCCGGATGAGCATGAGGAGGATGAGGAGGATGAGGGGGAGAAGACGGAGGTGGATGAGTATGAGGAGAGCCAGGAGAGTACTGTCAAGACCGAAGAGGCGGGCGAAGCTGGAGAAGATGGTGAGGCCGCCCCTGCGAAAGAAAAGAAGAAGCCTCGTCAATCCCACCTCGACCTCTCCGGCATCCAATCCGAACAAACCCAACTCGACCCCAGACTCGTCAACAAACTCCGCCTCACGAAGAAATACTACGCCGACGCTCTCCGTTTCGTCACCCAGCTCGAAAACGCCATCCCCACCCTCTGCCAGCTGCTCGTCTCCACCACCAAGACGGAAGTCTTGGAAGCGATGCGCTTCTTCAGGGTGGCGTACGAGTATGATCTTGCTGGGGCGGAGAACGGGATCAAGACGATGTTGCATCTGATTTGGACGAAGGATAATAATGCGACGGCTGGGGAGGAGAATGAGGGTAAGGGTGTGAGGGGGAGTGTTATTGAGTGTTATAGGAGCTTGTACTTTGATGTCGTCCCGGACTTGTCGCCCAAGCAGCAGGTGAATAGGATCGCAAAGAACATGATCGAGTGAGTCTTTGATTCAAGCGATAGAGATAGTGCTGATAGTGTGTAGGCGGACTTATAATGCTACGTTGGCAGAGTTGACGAGTTTGGAAGAGTTGATGCGGACGATGATGAATGAGGGTGGAGTGCATAGTGATGTGATCAACAAGCTCTGGCAGGTTTACAGTACGTTCACCTCTCCAGCGCTTCAGTCCAAGGGCTCATGTGATTTAGGTACGGACCAAGAGATCCCCAAACCTCAACGTCAAGGCGCTATCATCATCCTTGGTATGCTCGCTCTCGCCAAGCGAGAGGTCGTGACAGAGAGGGTCGAAAGCCTTCTCAAAATCGGTCTCGGGTCTTTAGGCATGGTGAGTGTTGTATCCTGTTCCAGTGAGCCAAGTCTGACTCATCTTCCAGCACGACTTGGTGCTCGCCCGATACAGCTGTATCGCCCTCCAACGTCTCGGCGGTTCCGTCAAAAAAGTCAAAGGTTCCCTCACAGACAAGACCATGCGTCTCCCCATGGACAATCCCATCTTCATCAAGCTTCGCGACATTATCGAGTATTCTCCGAAATCGCAATCGCCCCATTGGTTTGCGATGGCCGAACAGGCTATCAATACAATTTATTTGTTGGGCGAGCAACCTGATGGGCTTTGCGGGCAGATTGTGAAAAATCTGACAAAGAGGGTTTATGAGGGGCAGAAGAAGGAGGCTGCGGTGGCGGCGGAGAAGGAGGCCGAGCCGGTTGCTGAAGAGCAGGGGCAAGGTCAAGAGGAGGGGGTTGAAGGGGAGGAAGCGGCGCCCGATGGGGAGGCTGCTGTCGAGGCTTCCGAGGCTCCCGAAGCCCCCGAGACTCCTACTACGCCCGTCGTCGATGCCCAAGAGGACAAGCCAGGAACTACCAGCAGTTTCCGCCTCGCCCAGCTTGTATTCAGTGTCGGCCACGTCGCTATCAAGCACATTGTCTACCTCGAGCTGGTGGAGAGAGAATTCAAGAGAAGAAAGGACGAGAAGGCTAAAGGTGAGCCGTGTCTTGTTTGAGTTGGACTGACCCCTTTACAGAGAAGGCTGCAGGCAAGGCCGGAGAGAAGGACCAGAATGATCTCGACGCTGTTGCCGGTAATGCTGAGGATGATATTGGCGATCTGATCTCTGGCGTTCGTGAGAAGGAGCTGCTCTATGGAGAACAGAGTCTGCTGGCGGTGTATGGCCCTATGATTGCGCACATATGTGCCAGTCCCAAGCGATACCGCGTACGTCCACGAATTTCGTGGAGAGATCTCTACTGACAGCGATGCAGAATCCCACTCTCCGTCAAGCCGCAACCCTTGCGATGACAAAGCTCATGTGTGTCTCTGCTGAGTTCTGTGAGGCGCATTTGCTCTTGGTATTCCGAATCCTTGAGACTAGCAAGGACCCGGTGGTGAGGAGTAACATCGTAATCGCCCTCGGTGATATTGCGGTCTGCTTCGGAAATCTTATAGACGACGTGAGTGTCAAACGGACGTGCCACGACAGGCGCTGATGATCTTCCAGAACTCTGAACGCTTGTATCAAGGCCTCGCCGACTCCGACCTTGTCGTAAAGAAGAACACCTTGATGGTCCTCACCCATCTGATCCTCAACGGTATGATCAAGGTCAAGGGACAGCTCGGTGAAATGGCCAAGTGCCTCGAAGATCCCGATCAACGTATCTCCGACCTTGCCAAATTGTTCTTCACCGAGCTCTCCACCAAGGACAATGCTCTGTACAACAACTTGCAGGACGTCATCAGTCATCTCAGTATTGGCGCGCACGCGGTGGATGAAGAGACTTTCGAGAGGACTATGCGGTTCATCTTCACCTTCATCGAGAAGGTATGTGGTCTTACTATCATATGGCTTGATCGCTGATCATGGGCTTAGGACAAGCAAGCGGAAGCCATTGTGGAAAAGCTCTGTCAGAGATTCAGGCTGGCAACGGAAGAAAGACAATGGCGCGATATATCGTACTGTCTGTCGCTCTTGCCGTTCAAGTCCGAGAGGTCTTTGAAGAGGCTCATTGAAGGGTATGTCTGAAGCCCAATTCAATGGCGCATGGGCTAATTTGACCTAGTCTGCCGTTCTATCAAGACAAGCTTCACGAGGAGACAGTCTTCAAGCGTTTCGTTGAGATCCTGGCGAAGGCTCGAGCCAACAAGGCTGCCAACAAGCCCGAGACAGAGATGCAAGAATTCGAGCGTGTACGTCTCTTCCTCATTTTTGAGAATCTTGTGCTGATATAATCGCAGATTCTCAACGAACATCAAGCCAAGGGCCTCGAAGACCAAGCTCTCGAAGCCGACGTACTGCGCAAGACCAAAGCCGCCAAACGACGAGCCGCCAAGAGACCAGCCCAAACCAACACGCGAACCTCCAGGCGCAAGGCTGCGACCCGAGAAGAGGATGAAGAAGAAGAGGATGCGGGGTTGGAGGAGGAAGCTGTGGAAGCCGAGGAACAGGAAGAGGTCGAAGAGGAAGAGGTCAGACCGAAAAGAGGGAAGAAGGCGCCAGCTGCCAAGAAAGCGCCTGCGCGGAGAGGGAGAAAGAAGGTAGTGGAGAGCGAGGACGAGGAAGAAGAGGAAGAGGATGACGAGTAGAGGAAGGTATATTGATCGCTCATGGGGTTTTGGACATTTCATATATTTACTTGCTAGGGTGTTGTACGTAAAACGCATTTCTGAATCTTGGAGTTCTCAACACAGATGGTACATGGTTACATCAGATACAGGCGAGGGTTTTCACTTTGCTACAAGGTGCACGTCACAAAATCATGTGCGCTTCTTGTCCTGGGGCCTCCCAACCATTCAAGTATACCACATCCTGCCCCAGAACCAATCCTTCAAACCAACCATGCTGAGTGCCCACATGGCCAAGTCGATGGCAAACGACCCGTTCGCCGTTCTGACATAACCAGGAGGGTTCACCTTGTCGATCTGGCTTGCTACATGCTCGCCGACCTTCTTGGGGGACGAGGTCAGGGGCTCTTGGGACTTTGAGTCTTCTTCAATCCTTGATTTGATCTCTGGCCAGGCTGGGTAGAAACCGCTTGGAGTAGAGGAGAGAGTGGGGAAGAGCTTGCCGTTATCGAACATGTCGGTTTTGACAGAGCCTATTCATGGTTAGTCTTGACGTATCACGAGCCTAAGAGAGCGCACCGACGTGCAAGTTCATGACCTTGACATTCAGCCCAGCCATCTCCATTCTCAGCGTATCGCTAAGGCACTCCAATGCAGCCTTGCTGGAGCAATATGCCCCCTTCCATGGAACTCCAAATTTGGCCATACTACCCACGTTCAGGACGACACTCTTGCGCTCCGTCTTTCTAGCCGTCTCGATAAGGTAAGGTGAAAATGCCTGGGTGACAGAGATTGGGGCAATAGTGTTGATCTCGAATACTTGTCGAAGGGAGTCGATCGAGGTATCGAGAAGGGGCGAGAACATGTCCACACCGGCCTAACGCAAGGTCAATACTGTACTTCTTCGCCTTCCACAAATACGGCCACTCACATTGTTTACCAATACATCAAGCCTTCCTCCAGTCTTCTCCCCCACACCCGCCGCCGCCTTCTTGATACTCTCCAAATCGGTGACATCCATGATCACCTCCTGGCATTCGCTCTTCCCTTCCAGATGGTCCAGATCGCCCTGGTGGCGGACGCTGCAGAAGACATAGTAGCCACGAGAGTGAAGGGCAGTTGCAATGTTGGAAGCTATTCCATTGGCGGAGGAGCAGCCTGTGATGAGCGCGATTCGCTGGGCTGGGCCGATTGTTGACATGGTAGTGTGCTGATGACGAAGGATGATTGGGCGGGTCTGGAAAGATGGAAAATGTGAGATCGGTATATATGGGAATCCTGATGATGCGTGGCTCCGCCATCGACTCCCATGTTGCGTAGATACCCCTTTCAGAGTTTGACATGATGATGCTGGCTAGTGCGACAACGCCGCCGGCCAACAATCGACGGCAAGCATCGCGTCGGCCTTCCGATCCGGGACCCGGGGCCCACCCTTATTACAATTGGCCTCAGCCTGTGGACGTTAAATCATCCCTGACGCGATTGTAACAGCCCAGAAACAGACAAGGATGAATGCATACCAAATGCTGAAATACTGGTACAAGTGACTCTAAACTATCTCTCCCTTCAGCCTCGCATCTTCCTCGACTTCTTCTTGCCCACCTTTGCCTTTGCCTTACTCTCCATCTCTTTCTCCTTCTTTTCAGCATCGCCATCAATAAACGCTGCCAGCTCGTCCAGCGTAAGGTCCGGAAGAAGGCCAGTAGACGGATTGACCGCCACGATCACAGGCCTAATGGGATCGTCGGGGGATCGGGACCGTCTGATCTCCTCATAGTCTTCCCAGCTGAATTTGTCGAATATTGGCTAAGCAGTCAAACATGGTCAGCCCTTGTCCCTCCCAGCACTTCATCATAGCTTGAACCCACCTTGACTATTTCTCTGTTCGGACCCCGAATCTTGAACTGCCCCAAAAGGCCCCATTCGTCGACATTTCCCTCCGTATATCTCTCCAGCGTTATTTTGATATCCCTACGTTCCCCCAACGTCTCTCCCATGAAAAGGAGGCTCAAATTCCTTACACCGGCTGCCCATGCGAGGATACAGTCCTCCGCACAGCACTGCGCCGCCAAGCTCCATCCAGCAGCATACACCATTTCCAAAGACTCTCTATACCCCTGTTTCACCGCAATCTCGATGGCGTACTCGATTCGGCACAGCTGGGGGAGAGGATCTGCAGCAGCGCCAAGCTGAAGCTGAAGCTGGCCGACCATGACGTCGTTGAAGAGCTTGATAAAAACGAGTCGCTGCTCACGTATGTGCTTGTTGGCGGGTTTGTTTGGAGAGGCGCAGATGGAACAAGAGCAGGTAAAGTGATAGGGTTTAAAGTCGAGAGGGATCTCGCTGTTGAAGTATTCATCCCATCGAATGAAGATTTCCGTGTCGGGTGGGATATCGTGAAGCGCTAGGAGATCTACATCCCTGTCAGCTTGCATTTTTTTTTGAGAAGCGAAGGGGTTGAGACTCACAACCAGCTTGCTCTCTCGGATCCATCAGCACCCTCGCATTCCACTGACAGCTCCTCGGTACCCTCCCCATCTTTTCAAAAACACATCTCGCACGTCTACCACTATAACCATACTTGCCCTCCGACACGAACGAGTTGCTCAGCAGTCGGCCTCGCCAAAAACCTATCCCTTTCGTATTATCCGGTAACCGTTCAAACTGCGGCCGAAGGTCCTTGGGTATAGCCTGATATGCGTGGCGTTCTTCAAGACCTTTGAGATCGCCAGGAAGACATGTAAACATTCGTTCCCACATGAATATCTTGCCTTGAGGAATGAAACGCCGAGCGAAGAAACGGGTTTTGAAGGTCTTGAGATGGGGTTGCTCGGTGGTGTAGTACCAGTGGGTGTTGGAGAGTTCGTTGTAGGTGTAGTTGATTCGAGCTCTTTCGAGTGTGTTTCTGGGAAGACATTAGAGAAGGTATTGCATGAAGAGAATGTGACTTACGTTGGCGCCAATCTCATCTCTCGCTTCAGATCCTTCTTTTCTTTTGCCGGTGAGCTCTTCTTCACGCTCGTTTTTGGTTGCTGCCCCGTCTTGTCGACTTCCGCACTATTGTCTTTGACTTGCGTGTCCTCCAGGGTAGTCTGTCGAGAAGCTCCATCGACCTCTTGCTCCGGATCAGGTGTGGCTTGGTCGTGTATCGTAGTGGGCGCTGTCGAGATGGTAGTCTGATTTTGAAAAGTCTTTGAGGTGTCGTTGGCACTGACAACTTGCGCATCACTCGAAGTAGAAGAGTATCGACTGTCGTAGGCGGACCCTGGAGTAGGGAACGACAGGTCGGAGCTGAGGGAAGGAAGCTCATCAACCATATTTCCTCGTCCCTGCTCTCCACCCCGCGCCTCCTCCTCGTTTATTTCCAACTTCTTACCCCTCTCTCGCATATTCCTCATGGACATCTTCTTCCTCTCCTTCGCCCCTAGCCTTCTTCCGTGCTTCTTGCTTGCTTTGACGTTTGGGGTGGTCTTGATACTTGGTTTGTCGTTGCTGTCCGAGGCGGGATGGGAGTCTGGATTGTCTTGAGTTGAGTTTGGGTTGGTGTTGATGAGGTCCACAAAGGTGGGCGTTGGAGACGGTCCCATAGAGGTGTTGAGGAGAGTGGCAGAAGATGAGAGAGAAGAATCATACTGCAGCGGCACTGTCTAGACTGAATCAGATATCATTCGAGGCATTGCGTTGTGTGTACATGAGACTCACCAGACCGGCCTCTGAGGACGACCCCGTTCCATCCTTCCATTCAAGCTCTTCCCCAGCAAGTGGTGGTACCGAATCAGACCGCTTCCTCGAGATATTTCCAGTATACTTGTCCTGCTGCTCCTGCACGTCCGGTAGCGACCCAACGCCCCACAACCCCTCAGCCATCAAAACATCCTCCTCCCCCGGCGATCCCACCCTCGTCTCTCCAAATCCAAACAACTCTTGCGTCACCGCCATCACCCCCGGCGCCGACCTCGGCCTCTCCACATCCTCCCCTTGATCCTTGCGAAGCCGAAAGTATTGCGAACCCGTCCACCTGCTGGTAGGCAGAAGACTCGGGGCAGAAGCGCGCGAGCGGCAGGACCCCGTGTCACTCGCTGCTTCATCATCATCGTTTGAGGGGTCAGGGGCCGGGTGGTGGGGGTTGTAGAATGAGGAGGGGCGGTATAGTCCTAGTCCTGTGCGGGTGGTAGGTTCTGGGGTGACATGGGGGGCTGGTTGTCTTGGGAGGGGTTCAGCGTGAGGCTGGGGGTGGCGGAGAGATGGGAAGAGGGGGACGCCTACGTCCGCCATTGCTCGATGAAAATATGTCAAGGGTCGAAGGAAATCGCAAAGACAAACGCGTCTTTGTTGACACGCGCGCATCGTCTGCCGGTGCGATGCTTGAGCGAGTGTGTAGTGTAGAGTCAAGCATACTCAGTACATTCTCAGATTGTCCGTGGTAGTAATACAGGTGACCTATCCTAGCGATACACTGACACACCCCAACCACAACATCGTACCCGCCTTCCATCTTCTGAGCCATCTCACAAATCCCTCCCCTTCCCACTCCCCCCACCATTCTTATTACCAAGCCACGACACCATCGCCCCAAGACTGGTCGCCAACCTCGGGCTTCCGGGAGGCGATCTCGACGAACTCCTCGCCCCCAGCCCCTGCCCCATCCCCAAGCCCAAGCCCAGCTCTGACTTTTCCTCGACTTCTTTCCTCTGCCACTCTCCATCCTCCACCTTCCCTTTCCACACGCCCAACGGCAAAAACACCCTCGGCTCGCCATTCACTATAGGAACACTCAGCCCCCCCTTCGGGTCCGTCCCAAAAACCTGCCCCGACACCACATCCACCACCGCCAACTCCCCTCTATAACCCGTCTGCTCCGGTGGGATGTAGTGCAGGTTGACGACTTGGTATGAGCCGTAGTTGTTCAAAACAGAGAGGAGGGGGGGTTTGGATATGGCGAGGGTGTGGTTGATGTGTTGATAGGGTTTGCAAAGTGCTGGGAAGGAGGGGGAGGTGGATGCGCGGGAACGGGCTTTGTTGAGGGTTTGGAGGAGAGTGTACTTTTCCTACAAGATGGTCAGTGATGACAAGCAGAGTGTGAGAGGACGTACGGTGTCTGTACTGTATCCAAAAGACCAGATCGCTTCGCGATTGAAAGGATCATTCCCGCCTTCTAGATTATGCTCTTGACCCGAGTATACGATGGGGAAACCGTCTTTGACGAATGGGTAGACCATGGCGTTCTTGATGAGCACCGGGTCTCGTGTCTTGCCAGCAAAACGCGGAAAGTCATGGTTGCTTATCACTTGTCAGTCCAATCAGAGGTCGAAAGGCGGCCTTTTGACTCACTCCAGGAAAGATCCCAAGGAAGACGGGTCGGGGAATAATTGATGCACCTCGGTAATCATCTTTCGCAATTCTCCTATACTGCCCAGAGTATTTTCGAACGCTCGTCTGCAGTTTATATCAGCGACACTCTCCTCCACCAAGAAACAAGCGTACTGTAAATGAAAGAATGTAGCAAAATCCAACAAACTCCCCACACTCTCCCTCTGATAAGGCGCCAAATAGCTCGGATCCCCATGCAAAACCTCCCCCATCGCCCCCACCCCCGCAGCCTCCACAAACCCCGGCCAAAAATCTTTGCGCACATGCTTGACAGTGTCGATCCGGATGAGGTCGATGTTGAAGGTTTGGACGAGGTTGGATATCCAGGTGTTGAGGAGGGAGATGACGCGGGGGGATTCGGTATTGAGGTCTGGCATTTCGGGGGCTAGCCAGCCTGTCGCAAACCACTGGTCAGTAAAAGTCGAAGCGAGGTAGGCTGGAGGGGCTTACAGTTTTCGATCTCGGTTTGGTTGTTCTTATCCCATTCTGGAATACAATACTTGTGAAAGTCGTCCGCCGAGGTAAAGGGGCCGTAATGCGGGCCCGGGGAGAAGGACTCGAGGTTTTGAGCACCGACATGGTTCGCAACGACGTCGACCATGAGGTACATGCCCCTCTTATGCAACGCCTCACTCAGATCCCTCAAATCCTCCGGCGTCCCAAAATGCTTATTCAACTCTTTCCCCCTCATCAGCATCCCCTCATCACCCACGGCCAAAAAGAAACCCACGGTGAATATCCGAAGCCCAATACCCATGATAAGCCTCATGCCCCCTGCCCTCCAGCTCCACATTCGCCACAACAGGCGATATCCAAACCGTATCAAACCCCATCCCCTGTATATAATCCAGCCTTTCCTCTATCCCCTTCCAAGTCCCGCCGCAGTACTCTTTCTTGGTGACGTCGCAGTAGGGGGAGGTGTTGTCGGAGCGAGCGAAGCGGTCGGTGAGGAGTTGGTAAATTGATCTGTCGCGGAGTTGGGCTTGTTGGAGGGATTGGGCGAGGGGGAGGAGGAGGAGGAGGTAGAGGAGGATCATGATGGGGGGTTGTTGGGATATTCAAAGTTTACAGCAAGTTCAAAGAGCACGACGCGAGGAGTGTTGTTGCGTTTGGGGGTGATTACATAATGCCCCTTATGCTCTTCATCTTCAACAAGATGGTCAAGGCAGATATGCTCAACATGTGCAAGAGAACAGAGCCAGAGCTCCACCCCAGCACCATAGCATAGAATAGTATGCCCCACCCCCCAACTGTGATATCTTGCCAGCGCACACCGCTACACGTCTACTACCACCCTCTGCTGCCTCGAAACGAATCATTCAACTTGTTGGTGGTCGGCTCACGCCATCAAACATTCCCATCGGACATTAATATGGTACCAATATAACCACCCATCCTTTCAGTATGGTAGCCATATCACACTTCCTTTCACTCCTGCCTTCCAGGTTCTTATAATCACCGATAAGAAGCGTCGTCCTGCTGCGGCTTCTTTCGCCTTCGACCATTACTAAATTCGGCCGTTGAATTGATTCATTCCTTTCGTCGTGGGAGGTACTCGTGATCGCAAATCACGAAACAGCTTGTCATGTGTATTTGGTAGCTTTCTGATTTATTCACTAACGCGTGTCCTTCCATGTACGATATATATCTGGCTATGTTGATGTTCTCTCGATAAAGTTCTCAACTCACAAGACACATCTTCATCCACCACTCTACATCCACCTCCATATATCCCCTCCCAAGCACCAAAGATATATAATGAGCTGGCCAACCCCAACGATCTCATCCATCTTCGAAACCGCCTCTTACCTAGCCTCACGTCTCACCCCCACCCCCACCCTTACCTCCTCCTCCTCTTCGCGTCATGCTCAATCACACGATAAACCTACCATAGACCTCAGCACGCCCCAGAGCGAGAGAAAGACAAATAGGTTGTATATGCTTGAAGAACTTACTGATAGGGAGCCTTGGACTGAATACGCCTTACCCACGACCAACCACAACTCAGCCGCAAAGAGTAAAGGAGAGGAGGCAGGAAGGCAAGAAACGACCTGGCGAGAATACACCCTAAACCCGCTCCTCGTCTCCTACATCCCCCCCTTGACAAACGACTACATCTCCATCTCCTCCATCCCCGCCCTTCTCCGAGAAGCGGAGTGTGAGTGTGGGTGTGGGGAGGGGATGGTAAGGGATGATAGTGAGGCGGGAGAGTATATGGCTGGGCGGAGGGGGTATGAGAGGGGTGGGGGGATGTTTCGGAGGGTGGGTCATAGTCGTGGGCAGACAGAGACACGGGCAGGAAGGAAGAGGGAAGAAGAAGGGTGGGAGGAGCAAAAGGTCGTAGGAGGTAGTGATGGGTGGGAAGGGAAAAGGACAAAGTCGGCTGGGACGGGGTCTTCTACTTCTATGAGCGCTGGGAGGAATGTGTTATCGTTGGAGTTTGGTCAGGCAACGCGACAATCATCCGCTCAGGGCCAGCAGCCGCAAGCGTCAGCAGCAGGCTTTGATATTGACACGACGGGGACGAGTCGTCTGCCTGAGACGGATTTAGCACTGTCCGACCACGCTGAAGACTTCCTGCAAGGTCTACCAGCGGGGACCACAGCCACCAAACGAGCTGCACTCAATTGGCTAGCAAGTCAGAGCAGCTCAAACTTTTCCGACAAATCGCGACCCCTCGTCACCCCTACAGACAACACTTCCAAACGCGTGCATTTCGCCTCAACCTCACCCCCACACGCCATCCACCCACCCAACGACCCTGACCCTGACCCTGAGAGCGACGACTACGCCTGGGGCGACATGTCCGCAGAAGCACAGCGGTTCCTCACCACGGGCCGATTCCGCGGCGAACGCTGACTTTGAAATCCCATTCAGCGCAGTAAGAAAGAAAGGTGGGGAAGTGAGAAGGAATATCGATACATGTAGTGCGTGTGCTGGTACAACGGTCCGTAGAGATTATAACGAAACAGGATTTGGTGCAATTCTGGATTAACAGCAAGGGATGGGGAAGATACAGATGTTGATTCTATGCACCTGTCAGCATATGACTTGGAGATTGAAAAGAGTGGAGAAGCGTACCGGCAAGGCAAGATGGCTGTGTTCAAAGTCAGATCCATCCTTTCATTCCGACGGTGGAAGAGTGGAAGACTCACGCAAACCGCAGAAATGACCGGGACATCCACCCCGCAGCCTCATAACTTCTTCATCTTCCTGGTTGGATCCAGCAGGGACCTGCTGAGCGTCTGCCATCATGATCAGCATGTGCCATGAAGCTTTTTTTTGGTGAAGACTTACCCATGGAGGGCTGGGTCATGGGCTGTTTCTGGACATAGGGGTTCTCCTGGAGAGCAGGCTGGACGTTGTTGAAAGTGTTGGTGGGAGGGTAAGAAGACATGGTGTATAAAGATGTGTGGGGCATTGTTGACTTGCCAGCCTATATATACTCAAGGGCCATGCGGTGAGAGCGTGACGTCAACACCGTCATTCCCCAGGCACACTCCGGCGGCCCTCCCCGCCTGAACCCCCGCGCCTAATCTGCACAACGGCGAGCTGGGTTGGCTGCCGAAATCCGAGGTCGTTTGAAAAATACACCCACCACGCACTCCTCCCCCCAGCTGCCACATCCCATCACCCAACATCCCGTAACGTCAGCCACCCATCCCTTCGCCATACACCTTTTTCAAGCCTTACAACAGCCCACAGCAGCTCCTCAAGACGCTTCCATCTTTCTCGACCTCTAAACTCGTCGCCTTTCATCAGCATGTCTCAATCTACCGCCCCCAGCCGCCGAGCCATCTCCCACGGAGGATCATCCAGGTTGTCTTTGAGTGTTGATAAGGCTACCAATGCTGTTCCGGCGCCTGTTTTTGGCCGTCATCCTCTCCGGCAAGAGTGAGTCGAGTCTCGTACCGGTATTCAAAACGGCTCAGCTAACGACTGTATCCAGCTGGTCTTTGTCTTACGTCCACCGACCTCCTAACGCGAAGGTGGACTATGAGAAGGAGATTCGCCGAGTCGCTACTTTTGGTTCTGTACGTTCAACCCCCTTTGCAAACTCTTGGAGGATGAGCTGACGTAGAGATGTGGTAGATCGAATCATTCCTCCACCTATACTCCCACCTTACCCCGGTGAACGAACTACCCCCCGTCACCGACATGCTCGTATTCGTCAGCCGTATCGCCCGGCCCGGTATCTGGGAAGAGATGCGCGAGTAAGCCCCTCCCCTCCTCTCCCCTCCCCCCAACCTCCCCCCAACCTCCCATCGCTGACACATATCTACCTATGTAGCGGCGGCCGCTTTACAATCCGCCTCGTCCACCCCATCACTCCCGTCCTCTACGAATCCCTCCTCTTCTCCCTCATCGGCGACCAATTCGACGAATCGGACCATGTGGTCGGGTGTGTCCTCAGTGTCAGGCAGGCGGAGGGGATCTTGAGTGTGTGGGTGGAGGATGAGAGTGATGCTGTCAGAAGCGGTGCCCTCAAGTACGCCCCCCACCCCCTTGAAATAATGAAAGAAAGGGGAAATGCTGATCATATGAAAATAGGGCAAAGATCCTATCATTGTTGAACCTCCCATTGACGACCGTATGCGACTACCGCGCTAACCGCGCCCTCCTCGAAAACGCCAACAAATCCCACACCACCACCTCCTCCTCCTCCACCACCAACCCTTCATCTAATATCAACAGCAACGGCACCCTCCCGAACAACCCGATCCAGAATGGGACCGGCACCACCCCCAGCGGGATGCACGCGCACGCGCACGCGGGGGAAGGAGGGAATGTCGAGTATCAGCCGAGGAGTTATGGGCACCATCATCATGAGCGGGGACACCGGGAGCGGGGCGAGCGTGGTGAGCGTGGAGATAGGGGAGATAGGGGAGATAGGAGAGAAAGAGGAGAAGCCGGAGGTGGAAGTGGGAGTGGAACTTGGAGTAGCGCGTTCAGGGATCAGAGGAGGACTGGTGGACCTGGACCTGGGGCTGGGGCTGGGGCTGGGGCTGGAGGGTTAGGTCTGGGTTCTGGTGCGGCGTGGTGATTTACATGATTACATTCGATATGGTATATGGTATGGTATGACATGGTATGGTATGATGAAAGAAGGAAGGGACGATTGTGCATATGTAGTAGGGCTTTTGGTGATGGCACGCTAGCATTTGAACCCCATCCTGCTTTGCTCGTCGTTCGATCATCGTCCGAACGCACTCGACTTGTACGAGTACTGTACGAGTACGAGTATAGAATGATACTCGGCGCTAGGTCATATACAGTAACATACAGCTCCTGCGAGCCAATGGTCAGACCTATCTTCAAATGCAGCACTAGTATCAAGCACTTTGGGCAATTCGCCGCCCCTTTTCCACCTTCACATCAAAGACCATGGAAGCAGTAGTCATGACTATCGATAGATTGCAAGAATTCATCCCCGCGCTCTGATTTGTCGATAGTTGGGTGGCCTGATTCCAGAAGAGACCACATATATTTGTTTGGGATCATGGCGAAGGCGCTCGGTTTGATGCAAGGATAGGAGGCCGCACCAACTTTGATCCCCGGGTGCCACCAATGGGTATATATTGGTGGTGAAGCGCCTTTCTCGGGCCTGTCCGATTCATCGAACCAATAGGACATTCTCGCAACCGCAAGCCTCGCCAGGTGAGGCATTTCTGAACGAGCAGCCAAGATGAAGATGTCCCCGGGACTCAATCTCTCTTCCGCAACTTGTCGTATTAGGTCGTCGGGATGTTGCAGCGCCTTGCTGAGAATACTCTGGACGTGATTCGAGAGGAAAGGCATGTCCCATTCTTGAGCAAAGTGAAGCATGTTGTGTAGCACAGGAATCGACTGAGATTTAAGGTCATCGACCAGCGCACGCAACGTCAGGCCGTCGTCGAGGATAGAAAGAACGGTCTTCACGGTGGCAGCGTTTTCGGTGTCTCCGGAAAGATCCAGGCGCGCTCTTTCTGAAGGCGACGAAGAATGGGAGGGGAGGAGATCGTTTGAGGAAAGCATATCTCGAAAGACAGAGCTATAGTCGAAATCGTCAGTCCGTGGACTCGGGGCGCGATCATCAGACGTACCTATGAGCCTTGAGCATATAGCTCTCGATCAAAAACCCTGTCCCATTGCTCGAAACAAGTAGAATATCCCCATCAGCGCTCGAATGGTGGTGAAGTAGCGGTTCGCTTTTTGATGGGGTGGGCGAAGGACCAGCAGAGGTCGTGTCGCCTGTTGTCTTTCGTTTCTTGCGGGTCTCTTCGGTCGGGGACGCCATTGATGGATTGAGGAGGAGGAGGGTCTGGTGAGTGTAGTGTTGTATGTGCGGGATTACTGGGGATCATGAGTGAGAAGGCAGAGGCAAGAAAGATGAATTGATGTCCAGCCGACGCCGTCCAGGCGGCCCCGGACATGCCGACGCGTCACGCGTTTGGCTCAGGCTCGGGCATTTTCATCTCATGGTTTCTCAAAGCAGTATATACATGTCAATATTCAGCAGGTGGCCCGCATCAATCAATCAGATGCGAGTCTAATGATGCAGGAGCTATGGAGATGAGGAGTCGGGTGGGCAAGCATGTGTGATGTTCAAAGTAGGCAACAAATCGGGGAGAGCTGAGAGCGAGATTGGGAGTATGAGACGAGACAAAGCTTCAAATGCAGAAGGACTGCCGTTGGAGCCACTGGAAACAAAGTCTGCTCCTCCTTCCATAAACAAGAATATACATGGTCTGTTGGCCAATGGTCAGTACTTGAACCGTTTGGGGAGCTTATCAGGACCTGCCTATGAATCCCATTCTACATCAAGGTTTCGCGCACCGAGACTGGTAACCAATGACGAACTGCGCAAACTGTTCCCCGCCTGCGCAAACTGTTCCCCGCGCACCTTATCACGGAATCGCCCACCGCCTACTTGCATGAGAGCCCACATATATTTGCTAGGGGTCGCAGCAAACGCCGTCGCCGGGTAAGTAGGGAAGACCGTGTTATGATCGCCCCCGGGATGCCACCAATGAGTGAATTCTGGTAGGTAGCTACCGTATTCGGCAGTGAGGGACTGATCAAAGTAATGAGGAATCCTTTCAATCGCAGTCTTTGTTAGATCATACATGTCCGCGCGGGCGGCCAAGATGAAGATGTCCCCATAGCTCAAACGCCGGTCCGTGTCTGGATTTGCATTGTCTTCTTGTCGTAGCGCCTTGCCCAGCAGGTTCTCCAGGTAGTTTGAGAGGAAGGGCATGTCAAATTTCTTGGAGAAGTGGAGGACATGGTCCAGCACGACGATTGACTTACGGCGCAGTTTGCTGACCACCGCAGTCAGTGCTGGTGTCTGGTCGAGGATCCAGAGCACTGTAGACACCGTCAAGGCGTTTTCAGTGTCTTCGGGAAGATCCAGGCGCACTCTTCCTGAATGTGACGAAGAATAGGAGGGGAGGAAATCGTTTGAGGAAAGCATATCTCGAAAGACAGAGCTATAGTCGAAACCGTCAGTCTGGGGACTCGGGGCGCGATCATCAGACGCACCTATGAGCCTTGAGCATATATCTCTCGACCAAAAACCCTGTCCCATTGCTCGAAACAAGTAGAGTATCCCCATTAGTGCTCCAGCGCTCATCGAGTGGCGGGTCGACCGGCGATGCGGCAGGCGTGAGATCAGCCGAAGTCGCGTCGCCTCTTGTCTTTTGTTTCTTGCTGGATTCGTTGGTCGTGGACGCCATTGGTGGGATGGTGGGGGAGGGGGGTCTGGGGATCGCGAGGTCTTGTTGAGAATGCTGGCGAGCACAAAGGCAAACAGATGGCATATAGTCGATCTGACTGGAGGAGCTGCTGAAGCCAGAAAGTGATGACGCCTAAACAAGCCAGAAACAAGCTCTCTCCAAAATGCCACGGATGCCTTTAGAACAGCTTTGGAAAGTTCACCAAAGAGCAGGGAGCATCTACGAGTACAGGTGGAGATTCTAGAAGCCAGGGAGGGGTCGCCGGGGCGCAAAAAGGAGCAAAAATATGAAGCTTACAGGACTTGAACCTGTGACCAATAGATGAACAAACCAGAATTGGAATCTACTACTCTACCACTGAGCTAAAGCTCCCCAACATGTCTACGTTTGTGGCAGATGGGAGAGGTTGGGCAAATCCATTGACTTGGTGATTCAATCCAGTTGCTCGCAAGGATATCTTCGTCTTTTGTTGGAGTGAACTAGTAGAAGACGGCAGATAGCGCAAGAGAGACTATCGATGACAGATGCACTGGCAATGCCATTGCTGCAAGACATTGTATGATGCAAAAGTAGCAAAAGGCAGAGATGATGTTCAAGTCGCGTCCCGAGGAATGTTTGAATTTGACGCGTCGACGCGTTCGAGGCCGAGCGCAACTCTGTGCATTTCTTGCCCTTCCATCTTTCAAGTTTCAACCATCCATCATGCCATGCAGATGGAGCTCAACATTTCAACTCACTGTGACCCGGCACGTCTCTGTCTGCCTCAAACAGTCCCAGCCTTCGGTCGTGCTCACTACTCGGCACGACTTTACGCCCTGCACTGATCGACGCTTTCTCTAGACTCTTCACGGTCGCCCAAAGCAACCCCTCTACTCTCTTCGGTTACAATTGGACTTGACTACAAGTGCCAACTGCCACAAATCTACCAACTCCGAAAGACAAGGTCAAGCGCGTACCAAGAGTCAGCCCAAGACCGGAAGGAACATCTCCAAGGACCCCATTCTGCACACGGAAGCTCTTACCGGACCTGGCGATCCTTCCATTGTGGTATGTATAAGAAACAGCAAATGAATCTGTTTGTTTCGCACATTTCTACTTATACAAAGCAACATTCTCCATCCTTCGCCGCCCACTTCTCTTCGCCCTCACACCCCCCAAGACACAGCAAGCCGTAGCAGAAACTCAAGCAGAGAGCGTCGACCGGGATATGATAGCCGAGATAAAGAAGCAGGTGACAATCAGGGACGTGGGGGACGTCGGTGGAGCGGGGGAGGATGTTGAGGAAGAGCGTGTTGCGGTTCATGCGCCGAGTGTGAGGCAGCAGAACGGCGACAATACCCCGTCCGACCACGGCTCTTCAAGCCGTACCACCCCCATCATCTCTCCCGTCGACAAGAGTCCCACCAACAGCGACATATCCTTTCGGCTCTTGGTCACTTCTCCTACTCTTTCCGATGGCGACAGTCTCACATCCCAAGGTGGTTTTCAGAAGGGCGCAGAGAAGCAGGATGACGAGCATGGGCCAGGCGCTTTCGGTGTGACACATGATGGTGAGACGAGGACCGGCTAGGAGCGCAAGGCTGCTGTCGCGGGTGAGATGAAGGGTCCAGGGACAAGTAAGGAGGAGGGAGAACAACAGGTGGAGCCTGAGAGCATTCAGCAAAGCATGAAGAAGCTTGGGTTCCAAGTCGAGCCGAGGGAGCCGAAGGATGTCAACGAAGCCTCTACAGGGAACGCTGTTGAGTCTCAATTTTCGTGAGTCAAACGGTGTGCTTGGTAGTTAATTGCATAGACTCTGAACCCTCAATAGATCTTCCCACTCCCTCGTCGCCACCAACTACACATACGACACCCCTCAAGAAGCATGGCTCTACACAAAGACCGACCCCACCCTCTCCACGTTCCGCGAACGTTTCCTCGCCAAACGCTACATCTTCAAAGGCCGAGTAATCATGTGGGAACGACCCCTCATCCTATACGACTGTCAAAATGCCGCCAACCGCTTTCTCCACTTTCACTCTCAACTCTCTCAAGGTTCCAAGGACAAGATTGAGGCTCTGCCGAACAATTATCCAAAGCTGGGAGAGTATGGGAGGTGGTTTGGGAATTCGGTGTTGTGTGATAAGCCGATTAAGGGGAGGATGTTTGGGGTTTTTGAGAGGGTTATGAGGGTGCCGAGGAGCTGTGAGCCGAATGCGCATTTTGTTTGGGATGAAGAGCGTTGTGCTGGATGTGAGTCTCTTCCTTTTCATGTTGAACGACAGCTGATGGGCTTGCAGATATCATCGCTGCTGAAGACATCCCTCGTGACGGCGAGATATTCATCAGATGGGATCCACTCTACGTCTATGACCAATCTCCCACCCGCCGCGTCGCTCTCAAAGACGTCGGCCACATTTGCAAGTGCCCCAAATGCTCCATGACCCCCACCGACCTCACCAAAGACGACAAACTCCTCGACAGATACTACCACCTCACCCGAGCCAGCCAAACCAACCACCCCACCAAAGAAGCCGCTTTCACCAACTTTACCCGTCTCCACGATGCCCACCTCCTCGCTATATCCCAAAGCCTCCCCACAGAGCAAGAAAAGCTCATCGGCAATATGATTCTCTGCTGCGTCAAGTGCGCCGATTTGGAGAGTGCGCAGGGGTGGTTGGCGTTGCAGAGGGATGTGGTGTTGCTTTCGAAGGGGGAAGCGTTGGGGAAGCATTGGGATTTGGATAGGGCGGTGAAGGGTGGGATGTTGAAGAAGGATCCGCAGTGGGGAACGTTGGGGGAGATGAAGCTATCAGGACCGAGGGACGAGGCTAGACAGGCAAGTGCCGAACTGCTTTTCCAAGATGATAGCTGACTGTCTTCATGTCCATGCTCGATCGTTATTTGTCCCCTAATCATTCTCGTCATTGACTCCCCGCTCTATCATCATCTCCAAAATCAAACAGGCATTACTCGGTGGCTTCAACTGGGACGACTTCGTCACCCACACCCACAAACGCAAACCCGGCGAACCCAATGCCCCCGTCCTTCCCACCATGCGCGAGAGGAAAGGAGAGAAGTGGGACCAAAGGGTAGATAATGGTGTGGTAGATATGATTGAGTTCTACGAGTAGACTGATAAACGTTTGAGCTCGTAGTATCGTGGGTGGGCGCCTGGTGGGCGCGTTCGTTGGTTAGTACCATGGCATGTAACGGCCGCGTGGTGATAGCATGATGTTGTTTGCGCAGTGTGATCTCTTGTTCATTACAGGCCTGGCCGTCTTTTGCGGAATATCATAGACGATAAGCAGTATAAGCTGCTGCAGAGTGGGCGGCGGATGCTGCGGTCAAATGTTCTTCCACCGCACTCACCTCTTTATCCACAGTTGCGCGTCTCTTTACTACGCTCCACCTAATTCTACGCATTCGTACACAGACTAGACTATATATCTGAACGACAGCGAGATTGCAGAGCCTGCACAATTCGGCAGCCGATAATCAAGTTGCGATCAAGGCAACCCAAACCGCCACACGCTCGCTCCCTCGGTTCCTTCCCGTTTGATTGATGCTTCCCCTGCACATCTTTGCGCATCACGCCACCGTTTCACCATAGATGGGCATGACTCACCACCTGATAGGCACTCGGACGGCCGAGCAATGAAGGGGGCATGCAATTGCGGCGGTCAAAATGGCAGCGACCAAACACGCCAACAAGGATGCTGCACCTGTCTGCACCGGTAAGTCAATCAAAGACATGTTGAGACGGTCGCTAACTTTTATACGCAGATTCACCGGCCGTTTACTCTTGCGAGTGATTCATAAGCTCCTCACTTTACCGGGTGCTGATGATCTTTGCAGTGTTGGCGGTACTTTCCATGCTGGATACTACAGTGAGTTCTTCATCGTAGCCGCAAGTTCCTACCACTGACCTTATCGCAGCTGTGAAATGGGTCAAGAAAGGCACTGTTGCTACTTCAGCTTCGACGCCATTCATCACTGCCGGTATCGGTAAGCTCAACCAAATCATATCGGTGGGACAAAGCTGATGGTGAACGATAATAGTGGCCTGGGCAGCATTCATGTTCATGGGTGTCACTTCCGTCCCCTTTATCCGTACCAGGATCTACGGCTTCTTCTGGATGTGTCACTGGATCGGCTACACTGTCGCCGTCATCGCTCTCGCCTACCACGAGTCTTCTACTGCAATGCTGGCGTAAGCACCCCCTTCAACATCCAAAACCACTTACTCACAACACTCTCCAGTATTGTCTCCCTGATCATCTACGGCAAAGACATCATCCTCCGCCTCGTCCTCAGTACCCGCGTCACCAACGCCCGCCTCGTCCCCCTCCCCGGCTCCCAGTCCATCCAGGTCCTCACCTCCTTCCAATCCGGCTGGCGCGCAGGGCAACACGTCTTCCTGCGTGTCCCCGCTTTGCGCCAAGTTGGCGGTATGAGCTTTTGGGAGAACCACCCTTTCAGTGTGGCGAGTGCTGAGGGGGATGAGATGGTGCTGGTGATGAAGAGGGCTGGGGACTGGACTAGGGCTTTGTATGAACTTGCTATCCAGGGAGAGGCCAATGGCGAGAAGGGGATGGAAAAGGGGTATGCGAATGTTGGAAAAGAGTGTAGGGTCATCGTCGAAGGGCCATATGTGAGTCGGCCCCGTTCGTGGTAGGAGCGTATGCTGATTTGGTAAAAGGGCGGCCCTGGCCCTCTTGTCATGGCGAGCTACTCGAGCGTCCTGTTGGTGTCTGGCGGTAGCGGTGTGACCTTTGCTTTATCAGTACTGGACGATCTCATCAAGAAAGCTTTCATGGGACATTGCCGAGCCAAGACAGTCCACTTTGTCTGGGTCTGCAAGAACTACGGTACGTCTCCTCCTCATTACCAACAAGATCAAACTCTCAAATGGTGGCAGATGACGCCGAGCCCCTCATCCCCCGCCTCGTCGACCTCATGTCCCGCTCATCCACCGCCAACCTCACCCCCAAGATATCCATCTACCTCACCCGCTCCCAATCCAATTCTTCCTATTCCGAGGGCGGTATCGAGATCGTGCACAGCCGCCCCGAGCTCGCCAACATTGTTGATGGGGTTGTCAGTAGAACGAGGGTGGAGGTGTTGAGTGGGAATGTGGGAACTTGTGGGCTTGTGGTGGGCGTTTGTGGGCCGATGAGGCTTGTGGATGAGACGAAGAGGGCGGTGAGGGCTGTGCCATGGCAGGAGAGGAGGGATATTGGTGGTGTGACGGTATGTCATATACTACGCCGTGTGTTAGGGGCGTATGCTGACTCGACGCAGGTGCATACCGAAGCCTTTGGATGGTGAACGGCAGGCCCGTTTACTGACCGCTCTTTTGGATCCTTCGTCATCTCTTGTAGAATACAGTCTCAGTTGTCGATAGTCGGTCCAGCGAGTGCATGCACTGGCTTGCCATATCTCGAGTACAAAGGAAGATCCATTCCTTTTGCTAAGAAGCACGAGACTGATCAGCATCGGCGGCAAGAATGAAGGCATATGAACGAACAAAGGAGTCACGAACGCTTATAAAGTCAAGAGCCAGCTGTTGGAGAGACACCTCGCCCTTTACTGCACCAGCCCAACCACCTCAAACTCCCTCCAAGAGTAAGTCTAAACCACTCCGCCATCTCTGACTGACGTTGTACTCGCAGTGCCGATGAATATCGACCACACCGAGATCCACCACCCCTACGTCAACCCCCAAGAACTCCCCTTCCCAACATACACCCTCCCAGGCGGCGGGCGTATGGCCATCTACCCTGCTGTCAAGACGAGATATGCCGGGCCGAATATCGGGATTGGACCAGGAGTACGTTTGGTTTCAAGTGAAAGAAAGGGGAAGAGGTGAGGTGAAGAGGGGTAGTGCTGACGAGGAGAATGAATAGGCGATGGGTATGCCGCATCCATTGGGGACGTCGTTATCGTGGGGTGTGGGGACGAAGATTGATAATACGGCGGCTTCTTGGAGGCGATACTATGGTCTTGGCGCGTAAGTCTTCCATTTGCGATTATCGGCTTCACTCACGATGCTCTGCTAGGATGATGACTGGGTATTCTCTTCACGGCAGGATGTCAGGCAAGTGCGGGTTTGGAGGGTATGGGTACTTCAACGTGAGTCCTCAGTTTGCCGTGATAGGGGCGTAGCTGACAGAGATGGGTTTTAGGGCTGGGAGATACGAGACTGAGCAAGAGCAATTATTTTTATTTTTATTTTCGTTGTCGCTGAAGATACTATGGATTAGCTTCTTGTACTTGTTTCACGCTATTCGCTGAGCGTTTGGTTGTTGCTTTGAGATGAACACACTACTATTGAAAGAAAGTGTTGGCTGGTGTTAGCTGAAAGGCGACCAGGCACATACGCTAATGCATGTAGACGATCGCACCGTGTTGTGTTAGGTGGGTGGCTTGCTGGTTTTGCGATATGATATGACCATGCATTTGCCGGATGTGATGATGATAATGCTGTTGTTCTTCACGCAGTCTTCTCCACCTGCGCCGCCGTCCATTTCTTCCCCTTCCCATTCTTCTCTCCCTTACTCCCCTTCCCCTTCCCAGCCTTCTTCGCTTCAACCTTCCTCACCTTCGCTTCCTCCCTCTTCCCTCTCACTTCCTGCAACCGCTTCGCCTTGCGCGAATTCCCGTCGGCAGGCTGTTTAGTCTGTATACCTTTGATATGCAGTGCGGCGTATGTCACCGGGGGCAGATTCTGGGGGTTGGAGATGGCGGAGTTGGGAGAGTTGGAAGATGATTGACGACCGGTGTGGACGGTAAGGGAAGAAGTGGGGAAGGGGAGGGTGACGCTATGGCGTGGCGGGGGGAGTTTCGCCTTGGGGAGGAGTTCTTGGAGGCGAGAGACGTCGGGATGCGATTCCTGTTCCTCATCAACACTCTCCCAATAATTATCTCGCATGAGAAGACTCACCCTGATGCCCAAGCACGCCAACCGCCTCAACCCAACAATCTCCGCCATCTCCTTCTCCACAGCTCCCAGCGGCACCACCCTCACCTCTTCCCTCTCCTCTCCCATAACTTCCGCCCACTTTTCCTTCTTCAATCTAGTCTGCAGGATTTTGGATAGTTGGGCGTGTTGGTACGCTAAGGCGTTGTATGTGGCGCAGTAGGATGGGATGGGGGAGACGAGGGATTGGGGGTTGATGGAGAGGAGGGGGACGATGATGAATGTGATTGGGGGTGATTTCTCTTTGGTTGCTGGCGCAGGGTCTGATAGATCTTCGACGTCGCCCTCAGAAGAAGGAGATGGCGAGCGAGGAGCTGTAGGAAGCAGGTCGGGTTTCCCAGGTTTGCCCGGCTGGTTCCCGTTGAGGGTATCACCCATTACCAGTAATTGCAATTTCAAATTATCAATCTGCGTCTCGAGGCCCTTGATGACCTCATTAATTCCCATGACGAGATGAGAGAGGATCTCCGGCTTCTCAGGCGGACCAGAGGTCGTAGCAGTCTTTGCACTTGCTGTGGGCCGTTTGCGCTTTTGGCCTGTTTCGGCAGGCTCTGATTCTGGTTCAGACATTGTCGCGTCTTCATCTTTAGGTGGGTTCTTGGCCTTGTGTTCTTGGGCTCTTCTTCTGCGCTTGTCGGATTGTTGACACCTGGCACGGAGGACATGGTAGTCGGCGACGTGGGACGGGACGAGCTCGTTGAGGAGGTGGAGGACGTTGTCTTGGAGGTATTTTGGCATATTCGGCCTGTTGTTGTATCAGTACTGCACTTCAAGCATGTCATTAAACGTACCAAGGGACGGTCAAGGGGTTGGCCAATACTGCTTTCTGCACATCCTTGCTGAGAGCACTCTTGTCTGCGCTGTCCTGCTTTGGCTTGTCCTTCTTTGACTGTGCACGGATTGACTTTGACTCGTCGTGGACCGCCACTGGGGCTTTCCCCTTCCCTTTTGGTGTGGTTGGTGCCATCTCGCTCGCTGCCGGCTGAAGTCAAAAGTGCAACGAAATGGTAAAGACGATTGCATCCCACGTGGTCTGCGGCAGTCACCGCCCACGCTGCCACGCGTCTTTTCCCCGCCAAAGACCGAGGCGTCGGCGTCCTCCGCCGAGAAACTCTGCCATCTTGTCACACTTTTGGCCCTTTTCGTCTCCGCACCAAAACCCCTCTTCACCTACACTCTTTACGGCTGCTTTAGTGAGCACACCCGCATCGAGTAATCTCCCGCAAGTTTCTGACATCAACCTTTTTTCAACTTAGAAAACAACCCAAAATCAAGCAAGATGGTCCGAGTTTCCGTTCTTAACGACTGCCTCGTGAGTATTGTCGACTTCAAGCAATGGAGGAGGAAGGATCTGGGACTATGGAGGAGATTGAGGGAATGGAGAGCAATGTCGAGATGAAGGAAGGAAGAGGGAGCACGAAAAATCAAGAGAGGCGGCATACTGACGAAATTTTGCAGAACAACATCGTCAACGCCGAGCGACGAGGAAAGCGACAGGTCCTTATCCACCCCTCCTCCAAGGTTGTGGTCAAGGTCCTCTCCGTCATGCAGAAGCACGGTAAGTCGCCTTTCCCATCTTTCCGTCCATCCCCAATCCATCTCGACGTCCACCCGGAGAATAACTGCAACTCTTCGCTCTTCCACACCGAGGAGAGGCTTTAAGTCTCCGGAAAACCAAATTACACTCCCCAACTAATCCAGCTCTTCTCGCTCAAGGCCGCATGGCCGGGGTGTCCCGGAGGGCTGGCTGATTGGGGGAGCACATTCCCAGATTGCTATCAGCTTTTTCTTTCAATAATTCAGAAGCTGACACTTTTGCTCAGGTTACATCGGCGAGTTCGAGGTCATTGACGACCACCGAGGTGGCAAGATTGTCATCCAGCTCAACGGTCGACTCAACAAGTGTGGCGTCATCTCCCCCCGATTCAACGTCTCTGTCGACTCTATCGAGAACTGGGTCTCTCAGCTCCTCCCCGCCCGATCTTTCGGTAAGATCATCCTTACCACCTCTGCTGGTATCATGGACCACACCGAGGCCCGTAACAAGCACGTAAGCTGGATTAGTTGGAGTTTGGAATCATATACTGACTTGGGCCATAGGTTGGTGGCAAGATCCTTGCTTACGTCTACTAAGGGTTTCTTATTGCATCATTGACTTTATGCATTGAGAATCTTTGTTGAAAATCCTCCTCCATTCACCTTTACAATTGATATCCTCAGACCGATCATGGCTTCCGTAACACCCCCATGGCTCGGGCAAAAGTGAGAAGGCAGTAGCATCCGAATCGACATCATTCATCTAAACACAATGATGGAGCTCAATTTGCCGGCTAGACCGAGGCAGAGTAGACATAATCTTCTAGCCTCACTCCTCTTTATCCTCCTGCGCACCACCATCGGAAGCACCAGATGCAGCATCTCCTCGTCCGCCCGACGCCCTGGAAGCCCCCCAGGTACGACTTGTCGCAATAGCATGCTCTAAGCTTTGCGTGTTGTTTCAGCGGTTGCCTCAAACTCTTCTTCAGTTTTGATGGCCTTGTAATCGATGATTAGCTCTTCGGGAACGCTGACTTTGCCGTTGGTGATGAACGACTTCATCATTCGAGTGACACCAGTCATACTATCACGCGTTTGTCAGATTGTTTTGACGTCGTCCGGGGAGAGAAAACGGGACTACGCACTGATTCTCCAGGGCGACTGATACGTCAGTCCCTCTCCCTCAGCTTGACCAGAAATGACGCGTCATGCGTCAACACTCACTCTATCTCTAGGTCATCGGCAGTCTTTCCATTACTGATAAAGGCCCAAGCCCCGACTTCAGATTTGACCATGCTGATATTACGAGTACCTTGCTCAGCGAATCTGCTTGGCAATCAGCACCCTTATATGAGAGGTCAATAAGGTGCGATTGGCGAAGGAGACGGCCAGCTGCCATCAACGTGCCACCCCCCCCCCCGCCCCGGCGTGGCTACCATTCTTCATCCAGTGAACAAGGCGGAGGAGGTACTCTCAGCGCCTTGTCCTCGGCATGAGAGGGATCGCTCAAAGTCTCGATGAACATATCATGGAACCTTTGGGAGCCTTTCTTGAACATCTGTTCTTCTGGGTCATTGAGGTACGATTGGTATGCCCCAAGACTTTCCTGTCTGAATGCTGCCGGAGTCTTCTGCCGCGGTGTCATCATTGCCGTTGGATGCCATGTCGTTGGATTCTTGCTGTTCGCTGTGTTGCTGTATGTTGTTGCTGCTACTGATGTATGCTGTTTCTGGTGCTTAGCAGGCTCTGAGGTATTTTCACGAAGTTTAGCACGAAACTGGGATGATACAGGTTCAGGCATCATCAAATGTAATGAGCATTTGATCCATAAAAGGATGGTGTGAATATCTGAGAGTCAAGTCACAGCTCAAAAGGGTGTCAAAAGTCTAGCTGTGGCACTGCAAGCTATCATAATCCGAGAAAGACCCAATACAGCAAAGCAGCATCAATTTCATCAGCAGGGTGTACATATGCCTTCTGGTGATGTTCACGTCAGCGAATAATGGAAGCAGCGGCTGATCTTTTGCAGAACGAACGGGAGGTCTGATTGACATTGCCAAGCTGACGTATGCATGGGCCTGCAGGAAGAAGCTTCCATTGTGATAGGGGTGAAATGAAGTAGACGGATATGCTACATGCGATGAAAACGACAAAGGCCCAAGGTTGACTCTTCTCCCTCCCTCCTTCGTACTTCTCCTTCCATCCTTTGTATATCCTGCTGATGGGAGAGAAGCTTACAGAGTTTTGACACCGAAAAAGAAGCCGACGATACCAGCGAGATAAGCTCCGTAAATGACTGGCAGATCCATTAGCAGACGTCCGTATTCCTCGCCAGATTGTTGATAGGAGATGGGAAACGGCGAAGAAAGATAGCAAGAGAATGAATGACAACTTACGAGCTTTCTTTCCCGGTTCTCTTCTGATAGCGTTCCCGGGAAAATAGATCCCCATCACATTGCAGAACATGTGGGCGACTAGGGGTGGTATCACTGATCCTGAGCATGATATAAGTGCAAGCCCTTCACTCAAGAGACCGACAAAGGAGCTTACCGGTACGCAGGAAAAGGTATGAAGCGAACCATCCGAAGAGGGTAGTGTATGTTAATTGGAACACTATCCCGGCACGTTAGTCCTGAGCGAAGACGGGAGAAGAGAGGAAATTACGGCAAGCAAAAAGGGCATGAAAAGCTGCTTGAGATGTGCGTCCGTTCTTGCGGTATGACTCTAATCCATGATGGACATGGGCTGACACAGATATCAGTATTGTCCTATCTACAAGTCGCGGAAGACTCGCCAAGTCCGAACCAGAGAGGTGTCCCGAATATGAGAGACTTGAAAGATAGCCCACCGAGAATAGATGCAGCGAGAACAGTGGATCGGAAGACCAGCTCTTCTGTCAACGGGCCCTTGCATATCCATCAGCACTTGCATCGAAATGAACAGAGGCACAACTCACGACGACATAATTTCGGACTTCAAGCAGACCAAATTCACGCTTCAACATGGCCGACCACGACTCTGAGTTTCTCCGCCAGCTGATGATCGGGATATCGTCGCAGAGGTACATGGCGTATAGTGGACCGAGCATCATTGTCGGTGCCAACACATACGGCAGAATCCTCGGCAAGCCGAGACCCACCCCACTCCCCGTCAGCCCCGTTGGCAGGCCCATGAGTTTGAGGGAGGGGATGATTGATTCTGAGAACGAAGAACCGGAGGCGTGTTTGTAGGTGGCGTAGACACCGAGGATAGAAATAAGCGTCGAACACGACACGGCTTTCATCCGCGCGCGCACCGTGAGCGGGTGGTCCCGACTCCCCACTTTGGGCCCCGTTTCGAAATCTTGGGCATCTAGCGCATCTTTGTCGGCAGAGATGGGAGGGAGGGGGGTTTGCCCATTGGCAGCTTCTGGCGGCGTAGCGGTGGGGGTGGTCCGGGGAGAGGGAAGGGCGGCGAAGAGATGGGTAATGTAGAGGGAGCCGACGTAGGAGGAGGTGAAGAGGAAGGAGAGAGCGTGTGAGGTGATGGGTGATAATAGTGTGGTGGAATAGAGCGTGGGATCCATGGCAGGGCTGGCGAGAAAGCGGATGAAAACGAAAAGCAAAAGCAAAAGAAAGGACAAAAGAAAAACGAACCGACAACGCGGCAGATGGTCGGTCATAAAAGCGTGCCTGAGCCACATGCTCTCCGGCCGCCGGTTCCCACAGATCTTTGCACCATCATCTTTACACTGTCTTTACGCCATCCTCTCTCCACTCGCTCAACTCGGCAGCAACGATCCACAGCCTGCGCCCAGAAAGCGATGAATAATTCATTTGGCGATGTAACGCGCTGGCATATCACTCAAAATGGCTCGCTATGTTGTTGGTTCATCCGAACTGTCGTATCATCACGTTGCTGGTCATTTCCCTACTGTCTCTTCTTCATCTTTAGCCAAAGTCTCTTCATCCCCGGCCGTATCTGGTTTCTTTAGCTGCCCTTCCGATACTTTGTTGGAGTCGTAAAATCGCTCCATGTCCATGAATCGTTTCTCGCGAGCCGTCGCCCAATCTTCTTTGCTGGGTGTGACTATGTTTGGAAGAGGAGGGCCGTCCAGGGCGTTTTCTCGGCGTTTCGCATAGATCTCTTCAAAGTGCTTGAAAGTGGAACGGCAAAAGACGACCTATTGACCATCTCCGATCAGCAAGTTCCAATCAACACACAGTATCAAGATAGCCCACATTGATAAGCATTGACGAAGGTTCGCCTACTGTCATAACACCTTGCAGACCCCACTGTCCTTGTAGACCATCCCAGTCCTCCTGCTCAATACACCGCACATACTCGGTCCACTTCTTCCACTGAGAGTGCCGTTCTCCCCACTGCCACAAGTCTACCTCCCTGACGTATCCAGCCCAGACCTTCGCACTCTCCGCATCGCTCCAATGACAACACAGCCAGAAGCCTGTCTCCAGGGCTAAGGCCATGGAGATCACAGAACACTCGCCTAAAGAATCGTCCAAACATCGATTAATAGCGTTGTAGTATGGGACAGGGCTCTGTACGGTAGATATCGGAAGCGATTGGTCGTTGAAAAAGTTCTGTAGCCGAGCTCGCGCCCTATCGCTATAACGGCGGGCTGTGAGTGATTGGGTACAACGGTGACACCCACAGCTATCGATGGAGTATAGGCTGTGGAGAAACGCCTTTCGGGTGGCGTAGTCTTGGAATTCCATGCCTGCTGTCCAGGGGAGTGTGATTTCAGTGTTCCGGGGGATGTCGTGGCGAGCGATAAGATCTGTGAATACTATCAGTCATGCTACACCACAGCTCCCCAGATACTCACATCCCACAGTCCTTCTCTCGTCCCATATATACATCGAAGATGGTTGACAGCTCCTGCGCATCAGTGCGAGTCGCTCATAAAGACCCCACCAGTGACATTTCGACTTCGGATCGTTGGTCAAAATCATCGAATTGCTCCAAAGCTTGCCCTCTTCCCCAGCTTTAGGGAAGCGAGATACTAGTTTGTCATACTTCGATCTCCCTTCGCCTGGCTGCAAGCCTGCAGTGAAAAGGGTGGCGTCTTCGTTCATAGCCGGATCGTTGTATACACACATGAAAGGCCGCTCCCACATGAAGATAGTTCCTCTGGGAATGTATCGGCGTGCATAATATGCGGGTGGCTGTGAAGGAGGGAGGTCCTTAGAGTCGGTATACCACCAGCAGGAGTCGTTGGTGTGATCATATGTATAGGCAGTGAGCGCCCTATTTCGTAAATCTCTGTCGCATGCGTGAGCTCAAAGACAGTCGGATCGTGTGCAAAGACGTACTCGTAGAAGCCTTCCTTCTCCTTCATGATCTCTTCATCCCAAGTCTTCTGTAGTTTCTTCAACCTCTCTTTCTCTCTCTTCTTCTGTCCTTGCGTCTTCTTTGCGGGAGTATCGGCGTCGAGTGTCTCGAGTGTTGTTGAATGTTCCGGCGACCGCGGGGGAGTGGGTATAAGGAAGTCGTCGTCCTCGAAAGGTGGAGGAGGCTTGAGGTCTTGCGACTTCTTGTTCTTCTTTGGAGTCTTCTTCTTGGGATGTTTGCGTTTCGGAGTAGTGAAGATTGGATCCTCGGTCCTAGATTCCGACGGGTCGCAGTCTTGATCGTCCTCATCCAGAACCTCTGCCCCCGCGTCTTCCTCCTCTTCCTTCCTTGCCTCTGTCGTCACTGTCACATCTCTTGCTCGTCTCTTTCGTTCTCGGATTTCGTCGCTGTAGATTCGTCTGGCTTCCCAATGGTATCCTCGAGTTGGGGGGCTTGAGCTTCAGAGTCCGCGAGCGAATCTCCAACTATATTTGTACTTTGGGAGGCGAGGTCATCCAGTGCTGGCGTCGATATCCTTGGCGAGGCGATTTTAGGCGTCGTAGAGTCTTGGTGAGCTTCTGATACATACTGAGAGTTGAAGCCTGAGACATCCAGATCCTGTTCCAGATTACGTGATTGGTGTGAAGCTTGTCCCTAAGCGCCTGTCAGCCCTTCTCTTTGCGATCCATGGTCAGGGGACTCACATCGGCACCGCTTCGGCGCCAACCATCTCCTGCGCTCTCCGCCTTCCCATCACCAGCACCCGGAAGCATATCCTTGACTCCAATCTCTGTCTCCAAAACCTTCTTCCTCTCGTTCTGAAGGGTTTCCGAGCTCTTGCTAGCCTTCAAGTCCTTCCCCGACTTCTTCTTCCCTTTGCCTTTGCCCAAGTTCATGATCGAAGTGGCAGATTTCGAATGCCGTACTGTCTGCCAACCATCTTCATCGGGCTTGGCTCTGGGAGGCTTCAAGCTGTATGAGGGAGTCGATAATGAGAGGGGAATGGGTATCTTGGGCGACTTCGGCTTGGGAGACCGAGGCTGCTCCGGTGTCAGTGATGAACGACGTAGCCGGACCAGTACTCACGTCGAAGCGTCTCGGTGTACGCGTATTGTACTCGGCCTCTGCAGTCAACCATGTCCCGTCCCACTGTGCCGGCTGACTGTCCACGTCCCATCCTTCGCTTTCCTCCTTATTCTCCAACCGAAGAATACCTGGGGTATCGGACGCAACTACCTGTAGGCTTTCTGCCCGAGCTGACCATGGGGCGGGAGGGGTGCTGGACTCCTTCTTGGGGGTATGAGGTGGTGTAGGAGAGCGAGAGGGGCGAGATGGGGAAGGAGGTTTGAGAAGCCCATTGGATGAGAGTTTGGGGTATGATGGCTGATTGACACTGTTCAGTTCACATAAAGTATACTAGCAGAGACACTGCTCACCTCAGGATCAGCTTTGTCCCCCAGAAGACGAGATAGCTGTCGCTTCAGCCCCGCACCAACACGACTTCGGCCTCCTCCCTCGGACTGTCGAGAAGTCTCGGACCCAGCCAGACTGCCAGGACGTTTTGACGGTGAGGCCGAGCGTGAGATGTGTCGGCTCACAAAGCTCGTCATGCTCGCGATAGGCCTTGTATCCAAGAATGATCGGCGTCTGGAAGGGGTGGGTTGCGAAAGAGGGGGTGCTTCATGGACCTAAAGACTCGTCAATTAAAATGCGCGATATGTATGGGTATTGGTTACGAACTTGAGTCTGGGGATAAGTGTGGTCGTGATACTGACTTCCTCTCGGATACTGCCGTTGTTGGCTCTGCGGATGGCCCATAGATCCAGGCTTTTGGGTAAGGTTATGGTCTGCTTTTGAGTTATTCTGTCTCTTCGGGTTCCAATATTGAGCGCTCGTCGTCGCGTACTGCCAATCCACATCGGCCAAAAGGCTTCCGCCATTTCCATATAGAGACACACTGGATTATTATACCCTCCAGATGCCGGGTCACGCCCGAGAGCGACATCGATACTCGAACGATGAAATGCGGGCTCCGAGCGCTGTTTTGCAATTTGATGGTGTATATCGTTTGGATATGTTGATGCTGCCTGTTGATTTAATGAAGGTTGAGCTCGGTACATGGCATACATGTCCTGGCCGGCGTAGTATCCATATTGCGACTGTGCGTTATGCCCGGCATAACTTGAGGGGTCCGGTTGTGGGGGTGGTGGAGGCTGAAGAGCAAGTCAGCGACGGGGCACCCTCACAGTACTCGTGACTCACTGACATGTATCTCTGCGAGAACGCTGAGTCATCGACAAGGTGGGGGCTGGGGGTGTACCAGGTAGAAGACGAATGCAATGAAGGCGCAGATTTCTGTCTGTCTGGATGTAGTCCTGTGGTAGCATCGACCTGTAGCTCAGGTCTTGGTTGCGCATATTTCCATTGGCTGTACATCCATTGGTCGTGGGCCGTGTGAAAAGGAGGCGAACTTGTGGGAGGGTGGACGACGACAGGATAGTAGACGGGGTGGGACTTGTTGACCGTATCTTCATAATGGAACACGGGCTGCGTCCTCGTCCGGTCAGTATCCTCTTTACATGCTCGTCGAGCACTCATGCAGACTCACATAGGGTACATAGTGGGTAAGGACGTATGATGGGCCTGATGGTGCATGTTGCTCGATGGGAGAGATGTTTGGCTGTTCGTCGAAGGTGGGCTGGTCGTCGAAGGTGGGCTGGTCGTCGAAGGTGGGCTGGTCGTCGAAGGTGGGC